CTTTGGTATTGAAAAGAATCATTCAGGTGCATATTAAAAATGCAGATTATTGGACTTGTCTAAGAACTTCTGATTCAGTAGGTCTGAGAGGTATAGACCAGATTTGCATATAGAGAAGATTTCCAGTGATTCTGATGCAATGATCTTGGAACCACACTTTGAGAAATATAACATTAAATTATTGCTGATGGACTGTAGTCTCATACTTTTAATGTGGGCTAGGAAACCCATTTCAGTTAAAAAGTGGTGGTTTTTTTTGGAGGGGATGGGAAGTATTCATGGTTTTATAACATGTTGTTTTACTTAAACCTGAGAAACCAATGTTTCTATGGCTAACATTTTCTGAATATTTATAGTATGTACACACTCATTGTTTAAGCAGTTTCCATGAATTGATATTAACTTACATATACCTCACAAGCCCATGAGGCAAGTACAATTACTCTCATTTTGCAGCAAAGGAAACTGAGGCACAGAGGTTGAGTGGCTTGCCAGTCACACAGCTAAGAAGTTGTAGGGTCAGGATTCAAACCTTAGCAATCAGCCTCTGTTATACTATGTTGCCCCTCTCTTTTCATTTTAACTTGAAGGGGCTCAATTTTCTCATCGGAAAAGGAGTTGGCTTGGTCCTAAATGGTAGGAACTCTGCACAGCTCACTGGAAAGCGTGTAACTATATGTACAGATAAAGCCTTTGGTCTGTTAAAGGATTAAAAGCACCTCTTAGTTAATACAATTGTATAATTTTGTGGAGTAGGTCTGAATGCAAAGGTAGTAGATTTCGTGAGGGTCCTGGGGTATGTTATTAGCTATATATTTTTATTGTATCTGAACTAATGATGGGATGAAATAATCCTTAAAAAAATTTTCTTTTACCATCTATTAACTGTTGAAAAGTCCATCATGGGATCTTTTAGCAACACAGGACTAAAAAGCTAAAACAATCTCAAAGACTGCCTTTCTTTAAATGAATCCAGTGAAATAGTTATCATGTTGGGTAATGTTTCAAATGTCTCTCAGAACCCTCATACTCCACAATTTTTAAGTGACAAACTTTAAACTAGCTCATGTATTTCAGAAAAAAGAAAAAGAAACCATGTGATTTTTCAATTAATGTAATGTATTCATGTATTCATGTAATAAACACCAATTAAATACCTACTATGTGCCAGGATTTGTGCTAGGCACTAGGTAATAATATTTATCATTTACTGGACTTTGATGTTGGTGTTTTTCTTCTCATCTTACTGATGAAGACACGGCAAAGTTAAGCATTTTGGGCGCAGATCTTAAGTTGCACAGTGGCAAAGCAGTATTTCAATCCTCACCAATTTGACTCCAAAACTAGGTGCATTGCATTAACTTTAGTAATTTGGATTACAGATGGATACTTTATTTTACTAAATGATTAACTATAGTAAATAGTGAGTTTTCATAGGACTCTTTATACTGAATTTTTCTTACAATGTTCAAGAATAAATCTACCAATGAAAACCATACCCCACAGGGCAGAGCTCATTAAATGTTGATGAATGAATGCAGCTTAAATAGATTAGTTTTGGGTTACACATGACTACAGTAAAGTTCCCTAGTTTACTCTTTAAGCTTCACATTGCTTATTTGTAAATCCAGGGAAAGTACTTCATCTTAGAACCATTGTGAGGAATAAATGAGATCATCTATTAAAACATCTAGCACTCAGTAAAAACAGTTAAAAAAAAAGCAATATTATAATCCTGAAATTATATGTTTAGGCCATAAACTGGGATCCTAGTTGGACAGATCTAAGAATTATGAGGTAAGAAGAATTATTAGGACCACTGGGGCAAGTAGGAGAAAGGAGTCATTGATAGATATGAGATTATATGCTTGATCTTTATTGAAAAATGTGTGATTAAAGACAAGAATGGGGAAATTAGGCAGGAATATGGGACTGAGGTTGCAAAACTTTTCATCCTGAGGGAGATGTTCTGAGGAGAAACAAAGATATAGGATTGGGAGAGGCAAAGCAGATAGATATTAGTTGAGTGAATATATGAAAGGATGGATGAATTAATGCATGGACAAATCAACAAATTAACTCAGAATATTCATTGAGTGTCAGGCAGTACAAATTTATTGCTCAGTGGGAGCAGGTCCATGGTGGTGGCTTCAGAATTCCTATAAAAGAGAAGCTTGGGTGTAGCAATCTGGTTGGAAGGGTGTCTGGAGAAGGGTCTAGGTGGTGAATGAGATTGTCTAGACTGTATAATCTCTTAGTACCTTAGATCAGAAAATACTAAAGAACAGGGAAGGGGCCCTGATTGAGATAATGGCTGGAACTAATTTCCCTCAGGCTAACCCTCAACTCTGCCACTGCAAATGCACAAAACCAAATCAATGGGCTACTCACTTTAACAGGTCTATGTACAAAGCGCTATGTCAGCATGGAGGCAAAAACATTTAATTCTCCATTGGGACAGAGTAGATGAGGGAAGGATTTCATTAAAAGGTGTGATTTTAGTTGACTCATTTATCACACTTGAAAAATCGACTTAATATTCTAAACACAAGGAACAACATAGACCTTCAAAGACATAGAAAAGTTAAAGATCCTGGCAGACTGTTCAGAACCTGGCTTAAGTGGGGGTCAGGCTGGAGGTGAAGCAGTGGCCCAATAATAATAGGCTTGCATGTTATGCCAAGAGTTTTGAAATTCATCCTGATTGATGGGAACTGCTAAAGAATCTCAGGCATGGGAGTGACAATGATAAAATATTACATAACATTTTAGGAAGATCACTGTTCTACACATTTGAAAGAGGAGCAACATGACCACCCCAACCTCTTCTTTATAAATGAGAAATTCGAAAAAAAAAAAAAGAATAGAACAAAGGCCCTATACACAAGGAATTTACATTCCAGTGGAGAGAGGCAGACAATAAAAAATAGATATACGATGTAATATCAGATTGTGATAAGTGCTAGAAAGAAGAGTAAAGACGGGTAAGGCACACAAGGATTGAGTGGAGGTACTTGTCTAAAGGCAAACAGTGTTCTTTCCACTTATCTCGTAGCCACCATAAAAAATAATAGGGTTTCAAGATCCTCTCTCACTTTCCAACACAACAGCTCCACTATACTGAAATCTCAATGTTGCAAACTTCTCCATGTATTTCATTCATTGTCTAATAACCTCTTTACCTTCTTAAGTATTGTCTTGCCAAAGTCCAGAAAATGAGGAGCAAATTCCCCTCCAAAGGTTAAAGAACTTGTTATCAGGCTGAACTAAAAAGCTGTGTCTGCCATTACTTCTACAGTGTCTCTACACCTCACCCAGACACAGCTTTTCACCATTTCTTGAGTCTTTAATTTCCAGAGGTAGGCTCTGGAAAAACAAAAACAAAAACTTGCAGGTCTCCTTCCCTCTCTTCCTTCATCTTTTTATTTGATACATGTTCTGTGTTGAGTGCTTGTTTCCGCAGACATTTTGCTAGATGCAGATAACACAGAGGCGGGCAAACCACAGCCTGAATTCTGGAACTGTGTGGATAAGCAGTTGTACCGTGTGTGGATAAGTAGAGGCTCAAGCCAGGTGCCTGGAACCTGTGAGGCCAGAGTGGAAGGAACAGTTGCTATTGGGCCTTCAATGCCTGGTTTAAAGTTGATACAATTCTGTGTGCTGTGGAAATTGCTCAGAGGTCTATGAAAAGGTAAGAATTGACTTTCATTAAGGGTATACTGTATTATTTCATTAAGGGTATACTGTATGTATTATTTTCCTCTGACAATTTCAAAGGACTTTTAAAGGCCATTTAGGAGGGGATTAATCAGCGTTCCTGTTCACTTTGTTGTCTTCACTCAGAGTCATGCACATTAGATACTGAAAAAAACATAACAGCATAATTTTGGTCCTAACACTTTCGTTATCGCTCGCTTGCTTTACTTGTCATTTGCCACGAACTTCATTAGCACCGCGTGTTAGGCCCACGGGCGGCAAGTGCATTTTGAGAGGTGCAAGGTTTTATCTGCCTAAAAGTCCAGTGCCCTCCAATCTAATTGGACAAGATTCAATCTGTATCTTTCCGTATTAACCATAATCAGATTTTCATAGAGTAAATAGTTATCGCAATCATTGTTATGAATTAAGTCACAAGTATACAGCTGATGGAAAACTTGTTCCCTATGAGTACTCAATTTCCAATTCGTTCAAAACACCAGAAATTTTATACAAATCTTTTCGTGTATTTTCTGCATTAAAGTTCTCTGAAAAACAAACAACAACAAAAAACAAAACCAAAACGGGTATACTGTAGTTTCTCCAAGTGTTAACTGTTAGCCAAGTCCCACCCTTCAACACCTGAGGCCAATTAAAAGAATGCAGATCCTAAACCTACGGAATCACAATGTCTAAGGGCGGGGCCCAGAAGCCAGCAGTTTAATCATGAATATCCCCAGGTCATTGTTATGTATACTTAGAACTTGAGAGCCTCTGGACTCTCCAAACTTTTTTCAGTTAGCTTTCACCTGAACCTGAAGTAGGTACTATTATCATCCCTATTTTACAGAGGAGGAAGTTGAGGCATAAAACGGTTGACTAACTTGCTAAGGTCACACGGAACTAGGGTTGGAATCTAGACCAATCTAAACGCAGCTCTTAAACATCACAGTACAGTTATCTCCTGTTGCTAAATGATTTGTTGCTAATACTTCAAGAAGTACTGGACTTGCAGTTTGAAGACTCACTAAATTTAGTCTGGTAAACTTCGGCGATTCACTTATATTTTGAATTTCAAGTCCCTCGCGGGTTAAATACGGGCCAAAACACCCCCACCTGCAAGGTGACCTGAGGGGCAGGGCGGGGCAGCAGGCAGGGAAGGGAGGCGATCGATGACTCCGGCGCGCCGCTGCCTGTTGGATTGGCTCGATCCTCTCCCGCCAGGCCTGTCCTACTCCCGCGCGCTCCAGGGCCCGCCCCCGCCGCCATCTTGGTCTAGGAGGGAGCGGGCCGCACGCGTGAGTAAACAGCCGGAGCCGGGAAAGTCGAGGTCGGGCTGCGTCCGGGTGCTGCAGGGCAGCAGCGGAGAGGACGCAGGCCTATCTTCGTACGTGGGGGTGAATATCGGGGTCACAGCGATAGACGGCGGGGAACCGTCAGCCTGGCGCAACCTCCGCCCCCTCGCGGTGAGACGCCTCGCTCCCCGGGCTTCTCCCGCCGCCGCGCCGGTCTCCTCCCGCTGTTGAAAGCTGCCCGGGAAACTGGTGGCGGGAGCGGGCCCTGGGCGGAGCGCGGCGTGGGCCTGGGAGCGTGTTGCGGCGCGCTGGCGGAGGTTCGGACCTTGGGTTTGTGCGCGAGGGGCCCGGGGCGTGGACGCGGTGGCTCTGGGAGGGCGGGGGCGGGCGCGCGGGGCTGGGGCCCGGACTCACGCGGAGCCGGGCGCGCGGGGCTGGGGCCTGGACTCACGCGGGGCCGCCGCGGAGCTGTTTCCATCGGTCACTGGATTGTCTCCTCTTCCGGTCCGGGCTTCAGGGAGGGGCCGACATGACGGCCCCGGGCCACAGCCCCTTCGTGCCGCTGTTGGAGACTTTGGAAGACCCTTCCGCCTCCCATGGAGAGCAGACCGATGCTTACCTGACTCTGACCAGGTGAGGCCTGTTGGGGGTATGGGGTGGGGCACCCTGGTGGGTCTTGGGGAGGAGATAGTCCGGGTGGGGCACGCGAAGCGAGTTTGTGTATTCTGGAAGTCTGGCAGCTGCGGGGACGCCGGGGGTGCGGCGTGCTAGGTGACGTTCCCGGCTGCGGGTGCTGCTGCCCTTAAGGTGCAAGTTTTGAATGAGGAAGCCTGCACGTGTGTCTTGCAAGCGAAGGGTTAAGAAAAGTTTGGTTGGAAGGGAGCGTGCTGGAGTAATGGCTTTTCAGCGTGAGCCACCTGTGTTTCGGGACAGTGGGGGAACCCACAATTGGTTTTTTAATAGAGAGCAATAAACCGAGTTCTCTTTTAATCGCCAGTGCTTCCCACGTTTTTTTTTCCCCTGCAGACCATGTTTTTCTGAGTTAAATGTAGTTTGGAAATTGCAAGGAAAGGGTAACAACTGGTACAAAGCGATAAAGATTTAGTAAGTTTCTTAGTTTTTAACTAGGGATCGATTTCCCTGTTTCCTCTTCACATAGGGAAGCTGTCAAAACCTGTGTACAGTGTGGATGCACAAGTTATTCTGAGGGTTTCTTCGTATTTATATTCTTACACGTTCTTAAGCATCTTAAGCACTGGGTCAATTAATTTGCCCGTGTTCTAACATGATGTTTAAAAAGATTATGCGGGTATTTCATAGTTCAATTTTGTGTCTGCTGTTTGCATAAATTTGTGTTCTTTCTGCTTTTCTGAAGTCGTATGACTGGAGAAGATGGAAAAGAAATCATTATAGAAATTGAGAAGAAACTTCCTCAGCTATTCAGAGTTTTAAAGGTATGTATGTATATTTGTTGTAAATAGTAAATAGTTTTTACTTTGTGGGGAAAATAGGTTTTGCCAATTAATTCAAAAACTTTGAGTCTAAAATAAAATAACAGCAGGGTTATTATAGTACTATTTGAGGACTTACAGTGTATCAGGTGCTGTATCAGGTGCTATCTTAATTATCTTGTCTTCTCTCACTTAATCCTCCCTGTCCCAGTGAGGCTAGTCTTTAATCCCCACTTTGCAGAAGAAATTAGTTTAATGTGCGTAAAGTTGGCCGTGGCCACTTGAATCCAAAACTTGCACTCTTAATAGGAAAGCAGTGATCAGAGATTATTTAATCTGTTTTTTTTCTCCTTTTGTAGCAATGTACTTTTAAATAAAATGAATCTGTAGTTTTGTCATTGGTCTACTTGTGTGGGTAACATTCATTTTTTTATCTTCACTCACCCTTAGTTTTTGCCACTCTTGCTTAGTTAAAAAACTGCTTATGGCTATCTTGTTTGCTTGTTTATAGGGAGGTTGTGTAGTTTAACATTAAACTGAGGACCTGTGCTCTTGTCGTCACTTGAGTATACTGTGCCTTTGTGACTTGACTTTCCTTAACACGTAACTTAATTTCCTTGTTTTTAGAATAAAGAGGTTGAACTAAATCTCCAAAGTCCCTTTGAGTTCTTATTTTTGTGACCCTGTTTTTGTGCTTTTAAATGGAAGTATTCTGTCAAGATGTTCATTATACATTTTACCATGATTTTGGGCCAAATGTTGAGGCATTGGGGGTACTACCTTGCCTACCCTTAAATATTCCTGTTATAGTCATCAGTGGTTTTTATTCATGTAAGCAAGAACTTTATTGTGTAGTAGGTCAAGACTTGTTAATAGTGTAAACAATATTAATGGTATTATTTATTGTCCCATTTTTCTTCATTGTCATTTTCCACATTCTTGTAGTGTATTGGTTGTGATGAAGACATGCATAATGTATTTGGTATTTGAGAGCATGTAGGATCAGAAACTCATTTGTATGCGTTTTGAGTCAAGTTGCGTTGTTTGTAAATAGGGTTTGTAACTAAAATGCCTAATAATTATTTAGAAGCATGTGGGTGGTTAATAGAAAAATCAAAAGTTGATCACACACATATTAGCTACTATATAGGAGATATAGTAGTAGCTCTCATCGTCTTAAGTGTTTAAGACTTTGTATCTCAGGGTGTAGTGTTTTGGATGTTTGGTTTGATTAATTATGAAAGGGGTGCTCCAAGGAAGTGTCTGTTCTTATATTTGACTACTGACATTTACCATTCTTCTCTGTCAAGAGTAGCAGATAGTCGAGGATTCCTTGGATATTGGATTCAGAGAAATGGGGGGATTTGAAGATAAATCACTTTGGAATTGGAAATGGTACCAAGAATGCAGGGTTACAAGTAAATGTAGGGTTGGGGCATATGGCAAGACTCCCTTTGACAGGTTTGGGATTTTATAACTTTTACATATAGAATATGCGTTTGGCTTTGAATTCCAGATGGTTATGGACTCAAATTCTCCTGTCTGTGAAGTATTGAGATAATGTTTAAAGGTCCTAGCACTTTAGCTACTTAGTAAATGTTACATTCCAGCTCCTTCCTTCTCTGTGTTAGAGGTGTTGCTCCACTCCATAGCTAATATGTCAGCTTTTGCCTTTGAGTCTTGCTTTCTTTCTGTGGAAGGGTTTTGCTCCTACTCTGTTTCCTGTCTAGTGTCTTCAGCATCTTCCATTTGTTGGCTTTTTTTTTTTTTTTGCTTTCAGATGTGTGGAGATGTTCTTTTCCTTTTAAGAAAAATATTCTTTATTTAGCTGATCTCTACCTAGTTTCCTTCTTTCTTTGCCAAGGTGTATCCATGGCCTCCTGATCTTAATCCTTTTTAATCTGCTCTCAAAGATCAGTTGATTGTTGGAATTAAAATTAATTTTGTTTTTAATCAACTTTTGCTGTCTAAAAATTAATTTACAGTTGTACTTGTTTGTAACAAATGTTATTTTGTTTTCGAAGACTCACATTGCCAGTCAAAACTCAGAGCTCAGTAGTGCTGCTCTGCAGGCCTTGGGGTTTTGCTTATATAATCCGAAAATTACCTCTGGATTATCAGGTAAATTTATTGTGATATAGTATTTTTAGAGTTTATAGTTTGATACTGTTAAAAGTACTGTTACCTCTCTATTAGTTTCATAACCTGTAGTTTAGGATTTGCTTCTGAGAAAGTGTTAAGGTTATATCCTTGTTGGAAGGTTTCTTTTCCTTAGATGTAGTTCTGACTTTGTTACCATAAAGTTTGCTGTAAAAGAAAATAAAATAAGCCTATTTAAAAATAATTGTTGCAAAAACTGAACCTTGTCCTTTATAAAAACACACCTGCTTTGGAAGTTTATAATTAGATGGAATTAATTTTGGAAGTTAGATGGTCATTTATTTTACACAAGCATGTGTTAAGGAACATGCTGTAATTTGAAAAGTTCTTTCACCTAGTGGTAAATGAGATAATTTGGAGCTAAAAGTGGTAATGAAAGCACAGGATCTGATGCTTTTCTGAGTTTTCAAGCATCCTTGGCCCTCTGTATCCTTGGATGCGGAACCCACGGATGTGGAAGGCATAAGGGACATGAGCATCTCTTGGATTTTGATATTCCTGAGAGGGGGTCCTAGAACCAGTTTCCCATGGATATCAGGGGAGGATTGTGATCTTAATTATTGTTCTGTAAGTAGCTTGTCATGGTAAAGGAAACCTGGGAGGTGATCTTTAGAGAGAGGAAATTAGGAATAGGGATTAAGGATATCAGAAAGTTGTTACCATCTTTTTTTCTGAGGAAAAAGTTTCTGCTTTTTTTATATATAGAAATGTTAGCAATCTAAAGTAAGAGTTGTTCATTTTGGAGCAGAGATAAAGGATTCATAATGTCTTGCCAAAAATTGACTTTTATGTTCATACCTAATAATAAGACCTTATAGAAATATTTTAGTTGAAAAATATCTGATTTAGAGGCTACTATCTGTTTTCTCTGAGAATGCCTTCCCTCTGACCTGAGTTTTGTGTTTTGGGAAGAAGTTTGATATCAACATTGGTTCTCTGGTCCTTTTCTCTGGATATGCATTTAACTTTTTGACACTGAAGGGAACAGGATTTTTCTCTATTTTTCTGTTAGAGATTTTAAAGGATGTAAATGATTCCACATAATTAAAACTGCTTATTTTTCAGAGACAAATATTCAAGAACTGCTTTCAAAACTGAATGATATTGTTAAGAATTCAGATAAAAATGTACGTACTAGGGCACTTTGGGTGATATCCAAACAGACGTTTCCCACTGAAGTTGTTGGCAAAGTAGTGAGTATAGTTTTTGTATATGTCTTCTTAACCACATGCCAGTTAAAAACTTCAGACTTACTCGGTTTGTATTTATTTGGTTCTGTCTTTCAGGTATCTAGTATAATTGATTCATTAGAAATAGTCTTTAATAGAGGAGAGATGCATTCTGCTGTTGTGGATTATGAAGCATTAAATGTCATCATAAGGTATGAGTTTGTATGCTATGGAATTTAGAAGAACAGTTTCAGTAAATTTAGAATTTACTTTAAGGAGTAGTCTTTTGGGACTTGAATTTGAGTTAAACATTAAAAGAAGGAAATGTCTTCTAGACTAAAAGCAAGTAACAGGAAGAAGGAAGTAGATGTGCATAAGTTACTAGGTTTCTTTATTTTTACTGAGACAGTCCTTAAAATACAGCCTTGGTTCTGCAGCTGCTGCTAACACAGTTCTGGTTTTAAAAATTATTTCTGTTAAAGCTTTTGCAAGAGTTTAAAAAATAATACAGACTTTTACGTGAGCTGTAACAGGCATTTAGGAAAGCATTAAATAATTCCTAGCAGCAGATGAGGGGAACAGGAAAATCCCCTGTCTTCTTCCTACACATCCTTGCTTTTCATAATGGATGTGCTGACAGCATAAACTGTTGATGTGCTTTGCTTTAACTTGTTTTTCATTCTTTGAAAGTTTTCTTTAGTTGTTGAGCTCTGTTTTAACTACTTAGTGTTCTGATGCCCTGATTGATGTTCACAGTGTATCATGGTTCTCTAGCTGTCCTGTCTTTTAAGAATATTGAACTTAATTCTGTAAAAATAATTAGTATTTACACTTTTTTAATCTGAAGGAAAGATGATACGTTCTCCTTATTTGAAAAGTTTATTAAAATAATAGGGAAGTCTACAAATTAGCAATTAAAAATTAGATCTATTTTTGTGTGTGTATATATGTGTATATAGTATTGTAAAACAGTTGGACCATACTATGCATATTTCTGCATACTTGTGTACTGTATATTTTCCTGGTACTTTAGACGTAAAAAGTGAGGTCAAACTAATTTAGTCATTGATTTCTCTACACAGGCTAATTGAACAAGCCCCAATTCAAATGGGAGAAGAGTCAATTAGATGGGCAAAATTGGTCATACCATTAGTGGTTCATTCGGCCCAAAAGGTACATTTGCGGGGAGCTACTGCTCTAGAGATGGGAATGCCGTTGTTACTTCAAAAACAACAAGAAATAGCATCTATCACAGAGCAGCTTATGACTACCGTAAGTAATACTTTAAGGATTTTTTGGATACTGCATTGTAAGGTTTTGCACCAAGCTGAGGGCTCATATTGGTGTAATTGTTCTATGATCTAGGAAGTTCCTCTTTGAATTAATACAAAGAATTGTTTAAGTTAATGTAGTCACACTGATCCTATATTATAGTAAGGAAGGGAGCTGTCTATTCAGTGTTATTACAATCCAGGCATTTTACCCCATCCCCAACGAATGGTGATTGCAAGAAATTGCATTTTTGGAAAAGGGAGAACATTAACTGATTCATCGCTATCTGGATTGTTATAGCATAATCCCAGTAGATACAAATTTAATGTACACAAGTGCATCTAGTGTGTACAGTTTCCTAAAGTTATTACTTGCCCCAGGTTTTAGGTTTTTCAGCCTTTCTCATAACATATTTATTGAGCACCTGTTATATACTGGACGTTGTTTTAGGTACTGTGTGTATAGCAGTGAACAAAAGCAACTTGTGGAGCTTATTTTCTAGTGGGAGAGATAATAAAGTGTATAGTATATAGTATCTCTATATAGTATAGAGATAATAAAGTATGTAGTATATATAGAGATAATAAAGTATATAGTGTATTTAGTAAAGAGCATTAATGGAAAACAGCAAGGACTGGATGGAAAGTGCCATCGGAGAGGAAGGGTGAGGTGGTCAGGGAAGGAAAAAGAATAGGTTATATGGAAGGTGATTTGAAGGTGATATAGGAGTTAGCTACCTGAATAATATGCAGTAAGCTCATTTGAGGCAGGAGGAACCATGAGCGCAAAAGGCCTTGCTCTGATATGAGTACTTGGTTGTGTTCAGCGAACACTGGGCAGTAGGATAGAGCGATGAGGATGAGAGGAGGAGGAGATGATACCAGAAACAGGGCCAAATCACATAGGACCTCGGGGGCCATTGTAAGGCATTTGGTTTTTACTCTGGGTAATATTGAAAACCGTATTTGAAGCTTTTGAGTCTACAAGTGATATGCATACTTTGGTTTTAAAGGGATCACTTTGCGTTGAGAAAAAAAAACTACGTAGGAGCAGGGAGACTAGTTGGGAGACATAACAGTAATCCAGGAGGTGGTGGAGGCGTCCAGATTCTAAAACCTGGGGTTTTGTTTATTTTTTAATAACCAGGATGCCTCATGGTAAGGTTTGGAGTCTAAAAGTGACGCTAGTGTCTTCGTAAGTTTTTTTTATTGATAAATTTATTTCTTAAGAGCGTACACAGTCAACCCTTGAACAACTTGAGTTTAATCCTTGTATAATTCATAGTCGGCCCTCTGTAGTCGTGGTTTCTCTGCATCCTTGGATTCAACCAACCACGGACTGTGCAGTACTGTAGTATTTACTACTGAAAAATATCTGAGTATAAGTAGAACGCACAGTTAAAATTCACATTGTCCAGGGGTCCACTGTATAAAATTCTTAATAAATTTGAACTTAAATTTTCTCAGATGTGTTACCCATGAAGCTATTAATTTTTAAAGTTAGAGTGAGTGGTTAAAGCATTATCATTTGAACTCTAATGATAAGCAAGCTGAAGTGTTTAGGGGAAAGTATATTGGTAGGGAAAAAAACTGTGTTGATGGATGGAAGAATGGCCAGATATGTGATAAGACAAGCATAGTAAAATGTTAGTGGTATTTATACTTGGATATTTACTGTAAAACTCCATCAGCTTTGCTATATATGTGAAAGTTTTCCTGATAAAATACTGGGAAAAGTTACTTTGCTGAGGTCAATTTAATACTGCATTCTTTTTCTTTCCAAGCGTCTTTGGTAAATATTTTTGCTTTGGTTTTTAGAAATTACTTTCGGAACTCCAGAAGCTATTTATGAGTAAAAATGAGACTTACGTGTTAAAATTATGGCCTTTGTTTGTCAAACTTCTTGGGAAGGTAAGTACTCAGTTAATGAACAGTTTTTACATGCCAGACCCTTTAATTTCTTAACTTTCCATAGTACAGTTGATCCTCATTATTCATGCATATGCCGTATATGAAAATTACTAAAATTTATTTGTTAACCCAACATCAGTATTTGTGCTGCTTTTGCAGTCAATTGTAGGCATGTGTAGTGGCAAAAAATTTGAGTCCTGCAGCATGCATGTTCCCACCTGAGGCTGAGCAAGGTTACGTTCTGCCTTTTTGCTTCAATTCTTAATGTCCTTTAAACAAATGTCCATTTCATGATCCATTTAATGCCACATTTTTCACGTTTCATGCTTTTTCTTGATGATTTCAGTTTTAAATGGCCCCAAAATGTAGTGCTGAAGTGCTGTCTGTGGTTGCTAAGCAGCGGAAGGCTATGATGTGCCTTAAGGGGGAAATACATGTGCTAGATAGACTGTTCAGGTGTGAGTTACAGTGCTGTCCGCTGTGAGTTCAATGTTAGTGAATCAACAAGATGTCTTTAAACCAAAACAAACATAAAACAAGGTTGTGTGTCAAATGGTCGATGAAAATGTGATCAGAGGCTTGCAGGAACCTAACCCTGCATTTTCCCTACAAGCCATGGCTCAGTATTTGCTAATACAGTGTCAAGGCAACTTTATAGAACATAACTGTGGTGAATAATGAGAATTAACTGTATGTTCTATCTTTAAGCCAGGTTTTTTTGAGGGGGTGGAGTTGTGATTTTCTTTATTGTAAATAAACATAACATAATATTTATCATAATCATCCTAAGTATACAGTTCAGTGGCACTAAAAGCATTTACAGTTGTGTAAACATCACCAATGTCTACACCCAGAACCTTTTCATCATCCCCAACAAAAACTATACATGTTACATAAACATTGACTCCCTCTGCCCCTCCCTCTGCAGCCTCTCGTAACCTCCATTCTGCTTTTTCTCTGGATTTGCTAATTCATAAATTTTGATCTTTGATCCATTTCGAGTTTATTTTAATATATGGTGTAAGGCAAGGGTCCAGCTTCATTTTTTTGCCTGTGGATACTCAATTTTCCAAACACCATTTGTTAAAAAGACTGTTTTTTGTTGAGTGGTCTTTGCACTCTTGTTGAAAATCAGTTGACAGTGTATGTGAGAGTATTTTTGGGATCTCTATTCCATTGGTGTGTTATGTTTCTCCTTATGCCATTACCATATGCTTTAATTACTGTACTGTTGCAGTAGGTTTGGAAGTCAAGGAAGTGAGTCTTCCAACTTTATAATTTTTTTTTTCACAATTGTTTTGGCTATTTGGGGCTCTTTGCAATTCCATAATGAATTTTTGAAGATCAGCTTTTATTTTTCAGTGAAAAAGGCCTTTGGAATTTTGCTAGAGATTGTGTGGAATTTGTAGATTGCTTTGGGTAGTATTGACATTTTAATGATATTAAATCTTCCTATTCATGAACACCGGATGGTTTTCCATTTATTTAGGCCTTTTCAAATATACTTTGTAGGTTTTAGTTTAAAAGTCTTTCACCTCTGATTAGATTTATTTCTAAGTGTTTAATTCTTTTAGGTGCTATTGTAAATGGAATTGCTTTCCTGATTTCCTTTTTAGATCATTCATTGCTGTTGTATAGAACCACAACTGATTTTTGTGTGTTGGTCTTGTACTCTGCAACATTGCTGAAATGATTTTATTGGCTCTAGTAGCTTTCTTGTGGATTTTTGTGAATTTCTAAGCCAGTTGTTTTTGTTACATTTATATTCTGTTCAGATTATGTGTGGACTATAGTCACTTATGACTATTAAAGTTCTTTTTGTGTATTTTTTCTTGGGATGCATTGTTTACTTGTCATTTATCCATCTTTTACTTTTTTCTTGGGATGCATTGTTTACTTGTCATTTATCCATCTTTTACTTAACTGTTTTTCCTGCCTGTTTCAGTGTATTTGAAAAGATTATTAGTTTGAATTTCTTATTTTTCTTTAATATTCAGATTTTTTCATATGAATACTTTTTTTAATATGTTGGTAAAATTTTGGATTTATCACATTTCTCATATTCTCTAACGTTTTAGAAATGTGTATTATGCATTACCTATTTCATGGAGCTTTATATTTTGTGATGCAGAATTTTGCATACAAAACTTAGTACTTTAAAAAGTTTAAATTCCTTAGATTTTACATAGTTAACACTGGGTGAGTTAGATAAATGAATGATGATAGTGCCTATATATTGTTTCAGGCAGGTAAGTAACTTAAAGATTCTTCCTTTTTAGACCTTGCATCGAAGTGGGAGTTTCATCAATTCTCTATTACAGCTAGAAGAACTGGGATTTCGTAGTGGAGCACCCATGATTAAAAAGATAGCTTTTATTGCTTGGAAGAGTTTAATAGATAATTTTGCTTTAAATCCAGGTAAGTAATATTTAAAAATTCGATTTTTTATGGCTTAAGATGAAAAACAAAGCTCTTCTGATTTTTTTTGGGGCGGGGGCTTTATATCGAATATTTACCTATCATTGAATATTATTTTAGGGGAATAAATTTGTGGCTAAAAGTAGAATTCAAAGGCCAGGCATTATTGAAAATCACAGATATAAAGTTTATTTTACACTATTTCAAAAACTGAACAAAGTGACAGATGCTGTTTGTGGCTTTCTTAGTGAATTCCAGCACTTAGTTGAGCATTTTACATACTTCTCATTTAATCATCACAGTAGACCTTAGATGGTAAGCATTATCGCTATTTTCAGAAGATTAAGTAGTTCATCAAAGGTCACACAGCCAATAGATGATAGCAAACAATTTTGATTGCTATGGAATCAAAGTATCAGAGACTGAGGAACTTTTTTTCAGGATCTTTAGAACAGCGCCTGATAGTGGGCTAACATTAATATGTAGAAGTGATTCCTTTTGATGTACCTTACCCTTATCTTTTTATTGTTCACTGGAAGTGCTTAATATATATATGTGCAAAAGTATTTCGCCCAAAAGTGGGTCAGTATGAGTACCTACTTAACTGGGTAGTTAATCTTAGGTATAATTGATAGTTTACAAGATCTGCTAAATAATGTTGATTTCATCCTATGTTTTCCCTTGCCAAAGACCATTAATCCCTTTTAAAATGTGTTTTGTAAATAACTATTTGCATTAACTACAAGTACTTTTATTGAAAATATTGCCAGACACAGATTTTAATTGGAAATGTCACCTTTTTTTGGTTATTGTTTATGAACCTCAGTGTGAGGTATCCAGGATTAAATCTGGTGGAATTATGTATAGTTGTGTTAAAGCGTAAAATAGGAGTGACTTAAAGAAGGTAAATAAAATGCTGTCTCATTTGAAATAAGTCAAGAGCTAGAGAGTCTGTGACTGGTATTATGGATCCAGGAAGTCATTAAGGAATCAGATGCCTGTCTTTTTCTGTTGTCATCTTCAGTATGCCTTAATTGCAGACTACAGGAAGGAGGGGAAGGCAGAAGGGGCAAAAATGAGCTTCTTGGCAGCTGAGTCAGCCATCTGTAAACAACATTTCAGAAATTCCATATACAGTTCTACTTAAAAATCTCATTGGGAGAATGGCTAAATGGGAAACTAGATAAAGTAGTCAAAGAGTAGATACCCATCACTGTTCTGAGTGAAAGCAGATCTTGTAACTAAAAGAGAATGGGGTATTGCACAGCAGTTGTTGGTATTCTCCTCTCATAGATAGGAGTTCAGAAAGGATTAGAGGATCTGTTTCCACAGTGGTCTGACTTCATTTTCTTCTTATAAAAATGTTAATTGAAAGCTGAATGGCAGAATACTTGTAAGAAACATTGATCAATGTTATTCCACCAAATACATGACTTGACAGATGCTTCACAATCCTTTTCAAGTCTTTTTGATAAGTTGATTTAGCACAGACTGTATTATTTTATATATCCTCCCGTCACTGATATAGCAAACACTTCAGGTATAAATATTTTGTTTAAAGTGTATTTAGTGTTTGTGTGGAATTTAAGCAGTCTGATTATCGCTAATGTAGAGTAGAACTAAATCTAAATGAATATTTAGATTTCCAAAATCTCATTAATTGCACCAACAGTTAAAGTGTTTGATAAAATAAATTACTGGTAATGACAACTTTTTTTGAGGTAAAAATATACCTCTATTTTTTAATCTGTAAAATGGGGATAATGAGAATACTAAAGCAGCTTAGAAAGAGTTTCTCAACATTTTAGTATATTAGGCTGGACAGTTTGTTGTGGAGAACTGCCCTGTGTGTTAGAGGAAGTTTAGCAGCATCCCTGGATGCAGCCCACTAGATACCAGTAGCAGTCTCCATATCCCTGCCTCTCAGTTGTAACCAAAAATATTGCAGACATTGCTAAATGGTGGAAAAATCACCCCTGGCACACAGTATCTAAAAATATTAGTTATTATTTTTTAAAATAAGCCTTAACTATTGTGACCTGGTCGTACTAAAGTTTGTCAAGATGAACATTTGGGGTAGAACAGGAACAGCTGGTAATTTAAAAAAAATTTTTTTTAAAATCTATTCTCTTGCTATAGTAGGCTGTTGCATACTATCATTCTTAAAGTTTAATCTTTACCTCTTTAATGTTTTTCCCTGGGTGCTAATTTTTTTTTTTTTTTTTAAGAAATACTATGTAGTGCAAAAAGACTGAAGTTGTTAATGCAGCCTTTGAGTTCTATCCATGTGAGAACAGAAACTCTAGCGCTGACAAAACTAGAAGTCTGGTGGTATTTATTGATGAGACTAGGACCTCATCTTCCTGCTAATTTTGAACAGGTAACATTAAAGTGTTGATTACAATACTTTATGTGTTTTTTTTTATTAATGTGTTCTTAGATTCTTACCAATTTAATCTTTCAGTGCTGTTTTTGCTGTGTTAGCAGAGCACGTTATATAAAAGATTTTTTCACCCAGACACAGAACTTGAGTTCATTTTCCTCAAAGGATACTCTCCAGTCATCTGAAATGGAGCATCTAAAACCTTTTTAATCAGTAACACTCAAATATTCTTACTCTAGAGGCATCATGAAAGATTTTTTTTAAAGGAATTGCATGTGACTTAGAATATAATTGAGAGTAGAGTCAGCATTACTGAAATAGAAATCATGTGCTACACAGAGTTGGATCAATTCTAATTTTTTGTATCTCCTTTTTCCAGGCTACATAGTGATAACCAATCATTTAATCCCATTGTAGCTTTTCATTATTGTTACATGTGAGTTTTACAGATTCCTTTAGATTTTGATATCTTTGCTGCATTTAAACATGAAAGCTTAATCTTATTTTTGTTTAAGTAAAAAAGGGTAGTCCTGATAACTCCTTTTATCTTTTTTTTGATTTATTTTTTATTGAAGTATAATCAATTTACATGTTGTATTAGTTTCTGGTGAACAGCAAAGTAATTCAGTTATATACATATATTCTTTTTCATATTTTCCATTATTTAGTACAGGATATTGAATATAGTTCCTTGTGCTATACAGTAGGACCTTGTTGTTTATCCTTTCTATATATAATAGTTTGCTAATCCCAAACTCCCATTCTTTGTTGTCTTTTCGTTTTGTTTATGGTTTCCTTTATGGTATAGAAGCTTGTAAGTTTGATTAGCTCCCATTCGTTTATTTTTGCTTTTATTTCTGTTGCCTTGGGAGACTGACCTAAGAAAACATTGCTACAATTTATGTCAGAGAATGTTTTGCCTATGTTCACTTCTAGGAGTTTTATGGTGTCATGTCTTGTATGTAAGTCTTTAAATTATTTTGAGTTTATTATTGTGTATGGTGTGAGGGAGTGTTGTAACTTCATTGATTTACCTGTGGCTGTCCAGCTTTTCCAACACCACTTGCTGAAGAGACTGTCTTTTCTCCATTGTATATTCTTGACTCCTTTGTCGAAGATTAATTGACCATAAGTGTGGGTTTATTTCTGGACTCTGTATTCTGTTCCATTGATCTATATGTCTGTTTTTGTGCCAATACCATGCTGTTTTGATAACTTTGTAGCTTTGTAGTATAGTCTGAAGTCTGGGAGGGTTAAGCCTCCTGCTTTGTTCTTTTTCCTCAGGATTGCTTTGGCAATTCTAGGTTTTTTATGGTTCCATATAAATTTTAAGATTATTCTAGTTCTGTAAAAAATGCCATGGGTAATTTAATAGGGATCCCACTAAATCTGTAGATTGCTTTGCGTAGTATGGCCACTTTAACAATATTAGTTCTTTCAATCCAAGGGCATGGGATATCTTTCCATTTCTTTAAGTCATCATTAATGTTTTATAGCTCTTGGCATATAGGACTTTTACCTCCTTGGTCAGGTTTATTCCTAAGTTTTTGGGTTTTTTTTTAACTTTTTAATTTTATATTGGAGTATAGTTGATTAACAATGTTGTGATAGTTTCAGGTGTACAACAAGTGTTTTATTTTTTGATGTGATTTTAAAAGGGTTTTTTTTTTTTACTTTCTGATGTTTCAATGTTAGTGTAAAGAAATGCAACAGATTTCTGTATGTCATTCTTGTATCCTGCATACTTTGCTGTTTATCAGTTCTTCCTCAAGTATTGGATTTTTTTTTGGCAAGTTCTCTTTAAATTTTTAATTGCTTAATACATTGAAGTTTTTAAGCTTGATAGAGCATGAACTGATTAAAATTGGGCATTGATTGTAACTTGTAACTGGGGTTATAATTTTTTTCAAATTCTACCATTTTAAGTTCCTAGTAGGCTGATCTTACCCAGTTGTCGACCCATTCCTTGGCACAATCTACTCATTGGCTACATTTGACAGGTATTGGAATGATCTTAGAAATAAGCTTGGAGTTGTCTTAGTTCATATTTTCTTAAGGTGTTTTTAAAAATGTTTAAAATGGTCTGTTTACCAGTAGCATTAAAACTCATGTAGATGTTATTTGTAAAAGCTGTAAAAGCTATTTATGTGTATAATTTTCCATCTGGAATGTAGAGTTGAAATTTATAGATAGTACATATTTAGGGCAAATATATTTGTAATAAAAATGTTCACTTTTCCAAGTTTCAGTTTTTACCCTCTGCATCAAAAAGGCCAAAAAAATTTCAACATATCAAAACAATTGAGATCGCTTCTTAAGGATATTTAACTGTATTATGCAAGACTTTTTTTTTTTTTTTTTTTTATTGCGGTACGCGGGCCTCTCACTGTTGTGGCCTCTCCCATTGCAGAGCACAGGCTCCGGACGCACAGGCCCAGCGGCCATGGCTCAAGGGCCCAGCCGCTCCGTGGCATGTGGGATCTTCCCGGGCCGGGGCACAAACCCGTGTCCCCTGCGTCGGCAGGCGGACTCTCAACCACTGCGCCACCAGGGAAGCCCCTATGCAAGACTTTAAAAAAATAGGACAGTTATACATATTTACAGATTCAGTTCCCTCCATCTCTTTCTCTTTTTAAACCCCAATAGGTCTGTGTGCCTCTGATTCAAAGCACAATAAGCATTGATTCTAATGCTTCACCTCAAGGCAGTTCATCTCGTGTAGCTACTTCTCCAGCTTTAAATCCTGCGACCCCTGTACACAAAGGTAAGAGATAGACCTACTTGGGGTTTTTTTCCTTTATTTTTACGAAAAGGCTTTGAATCAAGTCTTTGCTCCATGTAATTCACATAATTTTGGCTGCCTTATCACAAAATCGTTTTGTTTGTTTTCTGTATGTGTTACTGTGTACTGCTGTCATTGTATTGTAGTTGGATAAGATCAACTTTTTTCCACTACATTATATGAAGTGCATTACAGACTCTTAACATTTGTTTCAGAATTAGAATATTAGAGTTATAATTTAAAATGTCAGATCTTAACAGATGTAAGGAATGTGGCTTAGTATGTATATCAGTGAAAGAAAATTATTTGCTGTTCCTATTTTTTTTTTTTTTTTTTTGCGGTACACGGGCCTCTCACCGTTGTGGCCTCTCCCGTTGCGGAGCACAGGCTCTGGACGTGCAGGCTCAGCAGCCATGGCTCACGGGCCCAGCCGCTCCGCGGCATGTGGGATCTTCCCGGACCGGGGCACGAACCCGTGTCCCCTGCATCGGCAGGCGGACTCTCAACCACTGCGCCACCAGGGAAGCCCTGCTGTTCCTATTTTACGTTAACTATTCTGAGTCAAATTTTTATATTTTAAGTTTTAGGAATGCCTGCATATTAATGTTAAGGTATGGATTAATGTCTGAGAATTCATTTAAATGGTGTGTGACACTAGTCTTGTTCTTAACCCAGTAAGATTAGTATTTAATTAGGAACTCTGTTGTGGGCTTTAAACAAAAACTCTTCAACTTTTATTGAAAAACAAATTATTTACTTTTAAAAGTACATTGCATTGAAATGAAGTAAACAAAATATATTTATTTGGGTAACTAATTCAATCGTACATAACTTAGCAATTTTGTTTGTTTGTTTAAAGGTGCTTCTCCATATGGAACTCCCCGGATGAACTTGAGTTCAAATTTTGGTGGAATGGCCACAATCCCCTCTATACAAGTTTTGGGGCTTGAAATGTTGCTTCATTTTTTGTTGGGTCCAGAAGTCTTGAGTTTTGCTAAGCAAAACAAACTTATGCTGAGCTTAGGTATTTAATTGTTTTTAAAATCATTTCAATTACACAGTTCAGAACACTGTACTTTGGGGTGAGGAAAGATTTTATAAATCTTCTTTTTTATAAATTATTTATTTTTGGCTGCGTTTGGTCTTCGTTGCTGCGTGTGGGTTTTCTCTAGTTACGGCGAGTGGGGCTACTCTTCCTTGTGGTGCGTGGGCTGCTCATTGCGGTGGCTTCCATTGTTGCGGAGCACGGGCTCTAGGCGCACGGGCTTCAGTAGTTGTGGCTGAGCGTGGGCTTATTTGCTCGGCATGTGGGATCTTCTGGGACCAGGGCTCGAACCCGTGTCCCCTGCATTGGCAGGCAGGTTCTTAACCACTGCGCCACCAGGGAAGTCCCTAAATCTTTTTCATAGAAAACATAATCAGACCACCTAACATTTTACATCGAGAAATTTATTTCATAAAGCTTTGGTTTTGCCTAATTGTCTTTTTTTCTCTTTTAGAGCGACTTGAACATCCATTAATCAGCAGCTCTTCTTTTTTTTCCAAACATGCAAATACATTTATCACTGCTGTTCGTGATAGCTTTGTTGCAATTAGAAAAGATGCTTCTGGTAAATGTTTAAGAGAAGATTTTTATTATTTAAACCTGTGTTTAAAAAGAAAAATAGTGAATGTTTATATAGTGCCACCTGTTTCCAGATTGTGCTGCAGGAGCTTTACATATAATTCATTGACTCCTCACAGCAACCTTCTGTGTTAGCCTATTTTGCAGATAAGGGATTGTGTTATACTGAGAAGTAAATAACTTGTGCAAAGTTACATAGTAAGTGATGGAGCTATGATTCATACCTAGGCTCTGTGATTTTAGTATCTACACCTAAACTCCTGTGTTCTAAAGCCTATCAAGTAATGATGACAGGTTTTAAAAATTAAATAGAGTGCTATTGTAGTGGTTGGAAAATTTTTTTCTAGTGGCTTTCAGGTATCCTTCTCAGTCTTTAATCCTTGTCTCAAAAGTGAAAGGTTTTCAATACAGAAAATACAGTCGATGAAAAAAAAGAATTACCCTGAGTATGTTAACAGTCCTTTTGAAAAATATTTCTTTAAACAAAAATGAGGTGAATAGTATATTGTAAACTGATTACAAGGTTGACTATTACAAGGAGAATTATATTTTAAATTTTTAAGTATTGCTCAGTTTATTTCTGTAGTATAAGCTTGAAAGGGAGAGCTTTTGTAGTCATATCTATTTCATTCTAAAGTACCTTTTATTTTGTTTGGCAGATGTAATTGTCAATGCTATTTGGAAGGAGCTAGTTAGCTTGGTGAAGTCAGTTATTGAATCTGGTAAGCACTATAATGATCAAAAGATTTTTATAGCACTCAGTGAATTGTTTGGCTTTCATATATAAAATTAATTTTAAAATCCTTTTTTGAAGTATTTTATCTTCCAGACTTTACCTTTAAACAAAGCACTTTATTTAGTAAGAAAAAAATTACTTTTTAATAGCTCTTTGAGCATATATTTTTACCCCTGAAAAGACTGTATTTTCACCCCTAAAAATACATGTTTAGAACTGTACCCCTCCTTTTCCTTTTTGATAGGTAACAAAAAAGAGAGACCAGGTTCTGAAGTTTTGACTCTTCTATTAAAATCTTTGGAAAGCATAGTGAAGTCAGAAGTATTTCCTGTATTGAAAACACTGGTAAGTATAAGACCTATATGTGCTGGAATTTTAAAACCATATTCTGAAATTGAATTTTATATTGAAGGTACTACCACAGATCAGGATTTGGGAAAATATTTTATATCAAGTATTTATCAGCCATTTGGCCCTGTAGTAAATGCTGTTCCATTGACTAAATAGAGTCATTTGAAACCTTCTTAATAAAGTAAATGATGACAGTGGCAACTACAGAAATCTTCCAGTGTCATAGGAAAAAGAATAGGCCGTACAGAGAAAATGGGATAAGGGGCATGAAACTTGAACTGAAGAAACTCGGATGAACACTAATTTTGTGACAAGATTGCTGGGTTCCACTGATTGTTAGTATGTACATTTAAAAAAATATCTGGTAATAATCTTGGAGAGCTTTTGCATTTTAAATATGTCCTATATAGTAGAGAGGGAAAAAGTGAATTGGATATACTTTTTGTAATAGTGAGTTTCCCAAAATAAACTGCAGATGGAACAAACTACACCCGTAGGTAGATTCTGAGTGATTCCTTTATGTGCCATGACAACCATATCTACTGTGGCAGTAGAGGATAGTGGTTAATAGCAAGGGCTCTGGTACAGACTAGGTTGAACCTCAGCCCAGCTATTAACTGAATGAACTTAGACACTCTGTCTACTTTCTTGTCTCTCTATAAAGAAGAGATGTAGTAGTAGTTCATAATTAAATGAGTTGATAAATGCAGAGCATTATGGGGCTGGAACAAAATAAATGTGTCGATGAATGCTAATTATTATTGTTAGTGTCTGTTCAAATGAGAATACGTGAAAGCTTATTTTCACCAAGTTATTTTTGTCATGTTATTCACTTATGTTATATAATTCAGGTTAATACAAGTATAATAATATTTTTGGATGGCAGTTTGGTAATCTCTGTCACATTTGAGAGGCGTGTCTTAGATACAGCTTCTAGTTAGCAGTTCTTTGAAATACTTGCTTCTGGCACTATTGAGTACATAATTGATTGCAGAATTTCTTTTTGTACTATAAAAAATGAAAATAGCCTCAAGGACCATTAATTTTTAAAAAGTTTGAACAAACGGCACATTTGTTTATCAGTTAAGAACGTGTCTACATAGACTGATGTGAAAACTCTGTAACACAGTCAGGTGAAGAAAATTAGTTCCAGAGTATCTTACAGTACAATATCATTAACGGTATAAAACAGGTATAAGACAGCTAGCCTAGGAAGTTATGTTTCTCTCTGTACTTACATATATGGAAATTTAGGTCTAAAAAATAAACTCCAAACTGGTAACATTGATTATTCCTGGAGATAAGAAAGGACTTCATCATTTTATTATTTATATTTCTGTATTTGAACATTTTAAGCTAATGAGAATGTATTTACATTAATGAAAAAACATTACTTGTAATAAATTGTTAAAAATATAGTTAATACTATAAGAGTTTTACTAAGTAAGGTACTACTTTTATGGCTAATGTACAGTAAAACCTTTTGTCTTTCTTAGGTTCTCATGGAAATTACAATTAAAGGACTTCCTCAGAAAGTATTAGGTTCTCCAGCATATCAGGTTGCTAATATGGATATTCTTAATGCAAGTATCTTAAATGTAATGATACTGAATTAGCTAATAAACAAAAAGATCCATGGTATTTTTTTTCGTAAGGTAGTGAAACTTAGATTGCAAAGTTCCAAGAGAATTGAATTTGAATACGCTGATTATGTTAAAGGAAAAAATGATAGACAAAGTACAGGTGTACCTCAGAGATACTGCAGGTTCAGTTCCAGACCGGTGCCAAGAAAGTGAATATCACAGTAAAGAAAGTCACATGAAATTTTTCGTTTCCCAATGCATGTGAAAGTTAATGTTTACACTATACTGTAGTCTGTTAAGTGTGAGTAAATAGCATTATTCCTTAAAAAAAACAAAACAAAAAACCATACCTTAATTTAAAAGTACTTTATTGCTAAACAGATGCTACCTATCATCTGAGCCTTCAGTGAGTCATCTTTTTACTGCTGGAGTGTCTTGTCTCCATATTGACGGCTGCTGACTGATCAAGGTGGTGGTTGCTGAAGGCTGGGGTGGCTGTGGGAATTTCTTAAAATAAGACAACAGTGACGTTTGCTGTGATTGATTCTTCCTTTCACAAATGATTTCTCTGTAGCATGTAATGCTGTTGGATAGCGTTTTACCCACAGTAGAACTTCTTTCAGAATTAGTTAGCCCTCTCAAACCCTACTGCTGCTTTATCAACTAAGTTTATGTAATATTCTAAATCCTGTTGTCGCTTCAGCAGTCTTCAACATCTTCACCAGGAGTAGATTCCATCTTAAGAAACCACTTTCTTAGCTTATCCATAAGAAGCAACTGCACATCTGTTGAAGTTTATCATAAGATTGCAGCAATTCTTTCACATCTTCAGGCTCCAATCCTAATTCTAGTTCTTTGCAGTTTCTGCCACATCTGTAGTTATTTCCTCCACTGAAGTCTTAAACCCCTCTAAGTCATTCAGGAAGGTTGGAATCAACTTCTTCCAAACGCCTGTTTATGTTGATACTTTGACCTCTTCCCGTGAATCATGAATGTTCTTCACGGCATCTAGAATGATGAGTCCTTTCCATAAGGTTTTCAGTTTACTTTGCCCAGGCCTATCAGAGGAATCACTCTTTATGGCAACTATAACCTTATGAAATGTATTTCTTTTTATTTTATTTTATTTTATTTTATTTTATGTATGCGGGCCTCTCACTGTTGTGGCCTCTCCCGATGCGGAGCACAGGCTCCGGATGCGCAGGCTCAGCGGCCATGGCTCACGGGCCCAGCCGCTCCGCGGCATGTGGGATCTTCCCAGACTGGGGCATGAACCCGCGTCCCCTGCATCGGCAGGCGGACTCTCAACCACTGTGCCACCAGGGAAGCCCATGAAATGTATTTCTGAAAAAGGCTTGGAAGTTGAAATTGCTCCTTCATCTGCAGAATGGATGTTGTGTTAGCAGACATGAAAACAACATTAGTCTCATTGTACATCTTGGTCAGAGTGCTTGGGTGTTCAGGTGCATCATCAATGGGCAGTAATATTTTGAAAGGATTCTCTTTTTTTTTTTTTTTTTTTCCTGAGGAGTAGATCTCAACAGTGGGCTTAAAATACTCAGTAAACCATGTTGTGAACAGATAAGCTGTCATCCAGGGTTTGTTCCATTTATATAAAGCACAGGCAGAGTGGATTTAGCATGATTCTGAAGGGCCCTAGTATTTTTGGGATGGTAAATGGCATTGGCTTCAACTTAGAATCACTAGCTGCATTAGCCCCTAATAAAAGGCAGCATGTCATTTGAAGCTTTGAAGCAGACATTGACTTTTCCTCTCTAGCTGTGAAAGTCCTATATGGCTGCTTCTTTCAATACGAGGCTGTTTTATCAACAGGTAGAAAATCTGTTGTTTACAGTAACCACCATCATTATTAAATAGCTAGGTCTTCTGTATAACTTGATGCAGCTTCTGTGTGAGCACTTGCTGCTTTACCTTGCACTTTGATGTTATGGAGAGGGCTATTTCCTTGAATCTCGTGAACCAACCTCTGCTGGCTTCACACTTTTCTTCTGCAGCTTCCTCACCTCTCAGCTTTCACGGAATTGAGGAGTTAGGACCTTGTTGTGGATTAGGCTTTGGCTTAAGGGAATGTTGTAGCTGGTTTGATCTATCTAGACAACTAAAATGTTCTCCATATCAGCAATAAGGCTGTTTTGCTTTCTTACTATTACTTGTGTTCACTGAAGTAGCACTTTTCATTTCCTTCAATAACTTTTCCTTTGCGTTCACAACTTCGCTAACTTGCACAAGAGGCCTAGCTTTTAGCCTTTCTGACATGCCTTCCCTATTAAGCTTAATTATTTCTAGCTTTTGATTGAAAGTGAGAGACGTGCAACTCTTCCTTTTGCGTAAACATTTAGAGGCCATTGTAGTGTTATTATTTAGTCTAAATTCAGTATTGTGTCTCAGGGAATGGGGAGGCCAGAGGAGATGGAGAGAGACAGGATAATGGCTGGTTAGTGGAGCAGTCAGGACACACAATGTTAAGTTTGAAAAATCGTGAGAATTACCAAAATGTGACAGGGACATGAAGTGAACAAATGCTGTTAGAAAAATGGCGCCAATAGACTTGGTCGACATAGGGTTGCCACAAACATTCAATATGTAAAAAATGCCATATCTGCAAAGCACAATAAAACAAGGTACACTCATTATAATTAATGTGAATAATTAAGTATGGCACTATTAATGGAACTATTTTCCTGGATTAAACAAAGGGTCTAGAAGGAAAGTTTTCTCTTTGCTTTTATATAATAATAGTTTTGGTTACTGTTATAAATTTTGGAAGCTTAGTAGCATTGGGTTACTTATGGTGAAATATATTTAATATCTTCTGGATGTAGGTATTATTGATCCAGCAAGTTTTAAGTCAACAATTTTTTTATATCTGGAATCTCTCTCTGTTCTTTAATTGCTCACATAGATGTAACAGCTATGATTAAAATATAAAGAGCTTGCTTTTTGTGTGTAGTTTGTGGAAGTACATTTGCTATCATTTTTGTCATTTCCTAAGTAATTTGGAAAGTTAAATTTCTCAAGCTTAAAATGGTCGTATTTCACATAATTGATTGTAGAAAACAAGTATAACAAGAAGAATATACTGTTTGTAACAGGAAGATTGATTGCCATCTCCCATCTTTTTTCAGGGGACTCCTGCTTTGTTCTTAATTCAGTTAATTTTCAATAATCTGTTGGCATGTGGTGTAGAAGATGAAAGGTAATTTTAAACAAACTATTTTGTTTATCTTGGAAAGTTTGTCATGTGATGAATGATTCTTTTGACTTACTCTAAATTTTTTAAAAATGAAAAAAATCAAAATAAGAGTTGGGATTCTTTTTTTGTCAGTTATTTTTATAACCTTGCTATAATGTAATTAATGTATTTTCGAAGAACGTACAGTTAATGCATAGTTGAAAATTTTTTCCTCCAGGTTTTTTCTCAACCTGGAAACACTTGTAGGCTGTGTTCTTTCTGGTCCAACTTCACCGCTAGCTTTCAGTGACTCTGTCTTAAATGTTATTAATCAAAATGCAAAGCAGTTGGAAAACAAGGAGCATCTTTGGAGAATGTGGAGTATTATAGTCACCCCATTAACTGAATTGATAAATCAGGTATGATATAAGTTAGCTGCATGTTTCCCCCAAATTTAATATCTTCCTTTTTTTCTTCCTTGTTAGAGCACAGGGGTATATGAATAGAAGTTTGTATTTGAATGGAAGATATTGCATATTTTTTTCTACAGGATTGGTTAATTTTCTACTCTTTAGATTAGCTGATTTCATCATGTTTCTGCCTTATTCAAGAAAGTATAACTTAGTGGGGACTAAACAGTCCATTTTCTCCAGTAATTAGAAAGCCAGAAGGCTTACATGATATATACAGATTCCCCTGTTTATATCTTGGATTCTTTCATTTGTACTATGGGGAATAATATGGGTATCTTGACTAGACTGTATATTCTTAGGATCCCATGGTTGATGGGATTCTATGTTGGTGATTACCTTAAAGCCATATTGTAGTTCCTAAATCATTAGTTGTTGAGAGTTGACTAACCCTTACATTTAATTACTTTATAAAGTGGCAATATTGTCAGCGTATGGAGCTCAAGTTCTGTCACTATTAATAGTTCATCAGCTGCTTTATCTGTTCATCAGTCTTTAAATGGAATTATTCTTTGGGAAATAGTCTGTTATAACTTTCAAATGGAGTGAAGACTCCAAGGAATTTTTTATGTGGTTATACAGTAGCCCTTATTTTGGCTGCTCGAGCCAACACTCCATTAAACATATTCTTCCTGAAGAAAAAAGTTTATGTTCATAAATAATTTCCAACTGTTTAAAGGATGCTAGAGGCCCTTTTTATAAGTCCTTGCTTGAATGTACCTTCTGTGTATAGTAAAAGATTTTGGAGTCACCTTTGGGATTCTTTTTTAGGACTTAAAACCAGTGTGTTGGTTCCCAGGGTTGCTTAAAAAATTACCATGAACTGATGGCTTAAATCAATAGGAATTTACTTTTTTATAGCCCTTGAGGCCAGAATTTGAAAATCAAGGTGTTGGCAGGTTTGGTTTCTTCTGAAGCTCTGAAGGAGAGTGTGTTCCATGCTTCTCTTAGCTTCCAGTAATTCTTGATGTTCCTTTGCTTGTGGATGCATCACTTCAGTCTCAGCCTCCATTTTCACATGGCATTCTTCAAAGTAGCTTCTGTCTATTCAACTTGCCCTTTTGTTATAAGGATGCCAGTTATTGGATTAGGGCCCACCCTAAACCGGCATGACTTCATTATTGCATGATTACATCTGCAAAGACCCTATTTCCAAAGTTTGCAGAGGTTAGGAGTTCACCATCTGTTGAACATCTCAACATTGGAGACACAATTCTACTGACTACACATAGTAAGATGTTACTACTTCAGGCTAGAATTAGATGGTAATTTGTCTAACTTCTTCATTATTTTTCTTGTTTCAGACCAATGAAGTGAATCAAGGTGATGCCTTAGAACATAATTTTAGTGCCATCTATTGTGCACTGACTTTACCAATAAACCATATTTTTTCAGCACAAAAAATTCCAGCGGTAAGGCAAAGTTTTTCTTGATGAATTTGCATTTTTCTGAAAATATTATGTCACCCTTTATAATGAACCCCTACAGTAATTTTACCTAAAACAAGACTTTCTTATGACCTATAATCAGCTTAGGAGAAAGGAAAGTGGTGAAGGAAGAGAGAAGTTCCTCTTGACCTTTGATAATTGTTGGTATTGTGGCATTATTACAGTTCTTCAGTTAGAGCTCTGTGGAGGTGGGCAAACTCACTACCCTATACTAGTCTCCTCTTTGACACCTATAAATGTTACCGTGTTTTTAAAATGTTAAAGATGTATTCTGTTAGGTGTTCTGATGTGTAGATGTGTTTTCTAAATTTCTTTTTTATTGTTACTAGGCCACCATGAAGACCTTACTTAAAACTTGGTCAGAATTATATAGAGCATTTGCTCGCTGTGCAGCTTTGGTGGCAACTGCAGAGGAGAATTTGTGCTGTGAGGAACTTTCTTCCAAGATAATGTCCAGTTTGGAAGATGAAGGCCTTTCAGTGAGTTTATCCTGATACTGACCTTTTTTGCATGTAAAGGATTCTTTTCAAGTAAATAGAGATAACATTTGTGAACTGTCATTTAGTAATGCTTTTAGTTTATAAGTAATGAAGTTAGTGTATAAAACGAGTAACAGCTTTGCAAAAAAGTTTTGTGTCTTTGGACTCTAAGGTCCATGTATCAGGACCATTTAACAGTGATGTGTTTTTACTACTCTGTTGTGTGTCTGTGCCATTCTAGATGAACCGTACAAGGACCTTACTGTCCTGGACCTTGCTTTATCATATCTGTTAGCTCTTTAAAGTCTATCCTCTAGAAGTTTGTAGATCTAAAAATGTAGGTTCCTATTCACTCCTTTCCCTTATTCTATAAAAAGAGCAACAACTACTGTCAGCAGTTTGGTATGTATCATTCTAGAATAGACCTCTTTCTTTCTACCCATAAGTTACATATTTATGCTCACATATGTACATGAATACAGTGTTCTTGCCAGTTGAAATTTATTTATTACTCTGAAGAATGTTTTTTTCCATCTAAAAAGATAGATTTTCTAGCTCTTAATAGTGGTTACCCCTACAGAGAAGAGTAGAAGTATTTATAATCTCTTTTTTAAAATATTGGCATAATTCTGATTATGGTATTTTGGTACTATAGTATTTGTCAGAGCGACTTTAAAAATGTAAATCAGATTAAAACACTTCTGTAGCTTTTTGTTGCATTTGGAGTAAAAATCTGAACTGCTTACAACTGCCCTTGAAGCTTGTGCTTCCTTCTTCAAAGAATCTTATTTAATTAGTCTTGTTAATTTCTATCTGAGCATCTTGTTATCAGAATCGTTTGTGTACTTCATTCTGTAACTTCCCCCCCACACTCCATGAGGTTAGGGACTTTCTGTCTTGTTGATGTATATCCCTGGCTTTTATCTGGCCACCTAGACAGTGAATTTGTTGAAGGCTTTTATAATTGTTAGGGAGAAGCTTGACCCTCAGTTTTCACCTTTAAATTATTGTCTTGGGTAGGCTTACATCTTTATTCTCTTCTGCAAGAAATGTAGAATATATCAAGTTTTATAAAATACCCTGTTGGGATTTTGTCATTGGTTGGTTATATTGCATTTATAGATTAATTTGGAAAAGAATTTACATCTTTATAATGTTGAGTTTTTCTATTAAGGAATATTTATTTAATTCTAAACTTAACCAAGCTTGCTTGATTTTTTTTGGAAGTTTTAAAGCTGTTTTTCAGCTGTTATGTATGGTCTCTTTGCTGCCCATATTTGGTTGCTGCTGGAGTATATGAGATCTGTTGGTAATGTGCATTTCCGTATGTTAAACCAAACTTGTGTCCTTGAGAAGGGCACTTCTTGGTCACAGTGAAAATCTTTTAAAACATTGTAGATAAGTGTTTTAAAATTTTTTGCGTATATCTTCATTAGTGAGATTGGAGTTCCTCATTGTCCAATTTTTGTATTTTGGGAATAACACACATGTATGTGACTGATAATTCCTTGTCAAATATGTAACTAAGTAATTAGTTACAATTTTTAGGTTTCAGAAAAATTTTTATCAGTTTTGAAGATACTGTTCATTTCATTTCTGTAAAATTTTTTTCATTTTTACAAAATATGCATCTAAGACTATTATTATTTTTCTTACTGTTACAAATGCATTGTTTGATACTAATTTTTTAAAATAATTTTTAAAACATTTATTTATTTTGGCTGCAGCAGGTCTTAGTTGTGGCATGCGGGAATCTTTTAGTTGAAGCATGGTATGTGGGCTTCTTAGTTGTGGCATGCGAACTTGGTTGCAGCATGCACGTGGGATCTAGTTCCTGGACCAGGGATCAAAACCAGGCCCCCTGCATTGGGAGTGTGGAGTCTTACCCACTGGACTACAGGGAAGTCCCACTAATTTTTAATTTTTTTGTTATTAACCTCTTTTTTAGTTTGTAAAGTTTTTGGGTTTTCTTCTTGCCTTTAGAATTTAGACATTTCACCATGGTGTGTCTTGAGGCATCTTTTAAACTGTTTTAAGTACTTGGTAGACCCTTTCAATCTAAAGAGCTGTGCCTTCATCTCAGGAAGAGTGCTTAGATCTTCAGGTGTCATCTTCTATGTCTGTTACTTTTCTTTCTTTATATCTGTTTGTGTTTTGCTTTATTTTTGGTACTGCTTTCTGGGACCTTGATATTTCTGTTTCCATTCTTTGTTTAAATGCTGAGGTGTTTTATAATAGTTTTATTTTTACATTTATGTTTTTAAGTGGATATGATTTCCTCTTTGAAGATAGTAGTTTTCTTCTGTTTCTGTTATTACCTCTTTCCTCGTGGATTAGTTCTATTGGTATTTAGCACACCTTCTTCATATTTGTCAGTAAAGGTTAATATTGAACAATATTGGTAGCTGGAATGTGTTTTCTAACCCAGGAGAGATCCCCTGTTTTTCTGGCTTTGATAGCCAATTGTAGTTACAAGCAAGCTTTGCCTTGTAATTGTGAGCAAGAAGGAAGCACTGGAGCTTTAACATCTTTTCTATATGGATGTGTAGGTTATCATCTGTACTGAACCTTCCATGTGGTTTTCTTAGGTTAACTGGGGGCTCTCCCTTCCTCCTCTTGGTCCTTAACACTGACTGGGGGAGGTTGTCTTTAGTGGCAGACATGTGAATTAGTCCAGTGAATTGGACAAGTGAAAGGTAATGGAGAATAAAAGAAGAGCAACTGTGTTATAGAACTTTAATTTCAGTAGTCTTAATTACCCATTTGATTTTTATAATGACCATCATATCTTTTTCTCAGAACCCTCCCTGTGTCTTCTGTTACTCAGTTTCTTCTTGGAAAGCTCACTGTTTTTGAGGTGTTCTTTGACTCATGGTGCTGGGATTTACTTTGTTCTATTTTCAGTCTCCCTTGCACCCCTGTCTTTTTTTTTTTTTTTTTTTTTTTTTTTTGCGGTACGCGCCCTCTCACTGTTGTGGCCTCTCCCGTTGCGGAGTGCTCCGGACGCGCAGGCTCAGTGTCCATGGCTCACAGGCCTAGCCGCTCTGCGGCATGTGGGATCTTCCCGGACCGGGGCACGAACCTATGTCCCCTGCATCGGCAGGCGGACTCTCAACCACTGCGCCACCAGGGAAGCCCTGCCCCCCGTCTTTAAAAAAAGTTTCCAGAAAAATGTCTGATGCTTCTAAGGGTTTATTTTTATTTCATTTGGATTTGAGGAGGGAGGAGGAAAGGGTATCGGGGAGCTTTAGCAACATTTCACATTTTGTTTCTGCTGGGTTTAGTGAACGCTTTTGTAATTTTGAAGAGAAATTTGGTAAAGAATCTTAAGTTTGAACCTAGCTCTTCCATTTTCAGTTTATTGGCTTATATGCTGAGTTTTATGGGCATCTTAAAGCTGAATTATTTTCCATAAATATTGAGAAACAAAAAAAAGGTATAGTACTTGGCACACAGCAGTTAACTGGGAAATATTCATAACCATATACTTAATGTACCTTAAATGGTATAAGCTATGACATGTGTGTTACTATATGTTATATGTGGGAGTTAGTCTTATATTTTTGTTCATGCTTATACTTTATATAAACCATGCCAGTAGTTAAAAGATTCTAATATAATACTTAACTATTCTTTCCTAGAATTTATTGTTCTTGGATAGGATCACTCATATTATTACTGTAATGGTTGATTGCATCGACTTTTCACCATATAATATTAAGTATCAGCCCAAAATTAAATGTAAGTATTTTATTTGCTTACCTTATATATCATAAACATGGCTGTCTGAACTGTTGTCAGGGCAAATCCTAATAGCTTTTCCCATCTCATTTTACCTACTTTTGATGCTGTGTAACCATGTTAGTTACTATGCTAGTAGCTCACATGCTTGCTCTCTTTCTTTCTGTGTGTGTGTGTCTCTCTCACCCTCCCCCCCCAATCTAACTCCTTTTTATGATGCAGAAACATAAATATTGTCCTATTTAGAGATTGTCTGATAATACAAATGATTTTACTTACTCCATCTGGTACAAGGGATTATCTGGACAAAAAACTTGGACATTTGTTAAAATGTTCTTATTTGGTAGCCTGATTTGAAATAATCATTAAATTGACATTCAACTGCATAGAAAATCGTGGCAGTGATTAATCAGTTATGGTTCTACAGGAAATTTAAAATGATGCTAAAAGTTTAACTCAATTTTTACTGTATAAAATTGGACAATTAAAATCATAACAAGTTGTCTTATTTTTATAACTATGTTCCTTGGTTAATTCTAAATTATGTTGTAATAAATACTGAGTTATTTTATTCTACTAAGTGGTTCTTTGAACTTATATATTTCTACCAGTGATTATATATTTTCATACTGTATAGGAAAGAACCTTCCAGTAATGAAAAATGTGGATGTTTAAAGGTTACTTTTCCTGTTGAAAGATTGGGAACATACTCAGTTTTCTTTTCTTTTGGTTTTTTTTTTTTTAAGGTTCATATCCTTTTTTATTTTTTTTTTTAATTTATTTTATTTGTTTATTTTTGGCTGCATTGCGTCTTCATTGCTGCGTGCGGGCTTTCTCTAGTTGGAGCGAGCAGGGGCTACTCTTTGCTGCGGCGTGTGGGTTTCTCATTGCGGTGGCTTCTCATTGCGCAGCATGGGCTTTAGGTGCGCGGGCTTCAGTAGTTGTGGCATGCGAGTTCAGTTGTTGTGGCTCGCAAGCTCTAGAGTACAGGCTCAGTAGTTGCGGCACACGGGCTTAGTTGCTCCATAGCATGTGGGATCTTCCTGGAACAGGGATCGAACCCGTGTCCCCTGCATTGGCAGGCAGATTCTTAACCACTGTGCCACCAGGGAAGTCCCTCAGTTTTCTTTTAATAAGATCTATCTTTGATGAATTAGTGTAAAGATTACTAGAACATAAAATATTTTTAGGGTTTTTTGGGGGGGAGTTTTTGGGTTTTTTGGGGGGTGTTTCGGTTTTAAATAGTAATGTAGAGAAAGATGTTATGTGACTAAAGTGTATTACAGGTCAGAGCATCCCAGCCTTGATGCCACAGAAATGGATGTGCTTGGATTTTTTGTTTTTAATCTCAGCCCCCTTTTGGGCTGAGCAACACTTAATCTGATTACCTCTTAGTCCAAAAAATAAAATTCTCTAAATATCTTAACTATAACAGTTATATAACAGATGATAATCAGAAATTATTTTGTAAGCCACCAAAGTTTGATAAGGCAAGACGATGAGCTCCAGGTGGACATAATTTTACCTATTTTGTTACTTCTGAAAAATTAGAATTAACTGAATATCCATTCTATCCATGATCTGTAAACCCAGAATTTAGAAGTCTTTTGTCTTCATTCCTTGTCTTGCAAGAGGTGTTCTTGCTGTTTAAATTTATGGAAACTAGGGGAGATTTCTAAAAGCTGCCAGCAAAAGTTGAGGAGGAGAGGAGACAAAAATTAGAACTAGTTGAAAGAAAATTATTATTATTCATAAATATGCATAAGGATCACTTTGAGAGTTTTGGGATAACTTTTATTTTGTAATTTGTTTTAGAGAAACATTGCAAAAGTTATACACAGACACTAAACTTTTTTTTTTTTTTTTAATGTTGAGCCTTCTTTTAATTTATTTTTATTTTTGGCTGTGTTGGGTCTTCGTTTCTATACAAGGGCTTTCTCTAGTTGTGGCAAGCGGGGGCCACTCTTCATCGCGGTGCGTGGGCCTCTCACTGTCGTGGCCTCTCTTGTTGCGGAGCGTCTCCAGACGTGCAGGCTCAGTAGTTGTGGCTCACGGGCCTAGTTGCTCCGCGGCATGTGGGATCTTCTCAGACCAGGGCTCGAACCCGTGTCCCCTGCATTAGCAGGCAGATTCTCAACCACTGCGCCACCAGGGAAGCCCAGCACTAAACATTCTTTACTCAGATTCCTCAGTTATCAGTTGATTGCTTTTGTCTTATTATTTTCATCCCCCACTCCCCTTTATACTTTTTATTTTTATTTCCTGGAACCATTTCAAAGTACTTGTAGACAAGTCTTTGATCTAGAACATTTCCCAAGTCTTGTCTTTCACGACCTTTAAAAGTGAAGAGTACAGGGCTTCCCTGGTGCAGTGGTTAAGAATCCGCCTGCCAATGCAGGGGACACGGGTTCGAGCCCTGGTCTGGGAAGATGCCCATGCGCCACAACTACTGAGCCTGCGCTCTAGTGCCCGTGCTCCACAACAAGAGAAGCCACTGCAGTGAGAGGCCTGCACACTGCAACAGAGAGTAGCCCCTGCTCATCACAACTAGAGAAAGCCTGTGTGCAGCAATGAAGACCCAAGGCAGCCAAAAATAAATAAATAAAATAAATAAATTAATTTTTTTTAATTAATCTTTTTTTTAAAAAAGCAAAGAATACAAATAAAGTTACTTTCTGAGCGTCTCTCAATTGGGCTCTGTCAGTATTTCCTCAGGATTAGATTGAGATTTCATTTCTTCACTGGGATACTACAGAAGTATATTTTTCAGTGCATTATGTCAACAGGCACACAAGTCAGTTTGTCCCATTGCTAATGATGTTATTAACATTTACTATTTGGTTAAGATGGTATCTGCCAGGTTTTCCACTGTAAAGTTAATTAGTAAATACTTATAATTAATAAGTTAATGTTTTGTGGCAGGTACTTTGAGACTGTGTAAATATCTTGTTAACCCAGCATACTTTTACCCATGAGTTTTTCAGCCACTGATGCTTCTTGCTTAAAACACTATGATGTTTCCCAAAGTGGTAGTTCATGTTGTTTCATTTAATTACGTTACTTTGTATCAAGGAGTTTATCTCCTTTGCTTTAATTACATTAATTCTAAAAGCTGTCCCCATTTTAATTATTTATCTCATTATGTTCCCATAATAAACCATTCTACAATTATTTATCAAGCCACTAAGCACCAGACACTTACAGGTGCAAGTGACATCCTAATGTAAGATATAGCTTCCTTTGTCCCCTATTTATTTTGTTTTTATCAGCATGGATTTCTGTTATTCAGTAGGCTATAATTTATTTCTATTAAAATTTAATGTTCTTGTTGGTGTCTATTAACCTTTTCATATGTTTCCATTATTCTTTGAGAACTTTGACATAAGATGTTTATATTTTTCCCTGCCTCAGCCTGGAACTAGCCATATCTCCAAGAAATATGGTTCCTTTTAGCTGAGAATGGCATTTAGAAACCAAAATCTGTTCATTGCTATTAAGGTGTCACTGCTTCTGGATCTCTGAGTGGACAGAGGTGGGAAATACATTGGTGTGTTTGTGAACTACACAGTTATGTTTCTCTAGAATTACTTTCAGTTATTTTCTCATATCGTAAGGTTTATTCTAGTCTTGGATATCCCTTTTCTCTATTTATCTGCCTCAGCATATATACTGTTTGATCAGTCTCTTGTATGTAACTGCTCCCCTGACTACGGGCTGTCTTCAGCCTCAACATACTAGGCAAGAATTTCTGGGTGGCCTTTCCAATTTAAATTATTCATGTATGGAAAACTGATTCTAGGGAAGAAGGTTGATTTCCTTTCAGTAGCAACACTTGTTTTTCATTTCACCACATGATATTTTTAATTAATAAGCATTAGAGTTTTCTCTTAAATCTGAGATATCTTAACCTTAAAAGAATGGATTCTTTGAGGGAAACAAAGGTAATTTTGGAATAGGTACGATTTTCTTGAAAGACATAATGGGTTTATCCCTGGAGAGAGATGGAGTCTAAGAAGGGTGCAAAGGAAAGTTGGACAGATACATCTTTTTCTTTCTTCTTTTTTTTTTTTTTTTTTTTTTTAACTGATATATACAGGTTAAATGATACAGTGCTCTTCACAGACGGCTACAGAGACTGTAAACTATCATCCAGAAACATACAATCATACAACACAGACCACTTAGCCAGATATAAAATAAACTGGCTTCTTGTAACTACCCTGTAAACACTGCAGCCCTTCTTCCATCCAAAAATGACCCTAATCTCACATGAAAACAGTTATTGTAGAGGAATCAGAAACCCAGCTTTGTGGCCAAAAGTAAAAACCAAAGGAAAAATAGCAACTCAGTGGTTAACTGGTGAAAGCAGGAAACCTGGTGCCCTTCACTGCGCTGCTTTGCTCTTCTTACTCTTGCTCTTTTTGTCCCTCTTCTTCAGCCCATCCATGTTAGCTCTCAATAGGTTTGAATAAGCCATCTGAAACTTATTCACTTCTTTGGAGCTCACCACAGTGCTGATCTTTTTCCGATCAGTAGCTCTTAACAAACACTTGTTGTCTGAGGGCTCAAAGCCCTCCGCAGAACCCTTCCTTGGAATGGGTTTAGTTCGACCATCATCAGGTGGAGGACGGTACGGGAAGGCGGGGGACGCGCGGCAGACAGACTCTGCCTTTGGCGCCCAGTCACTGGGCACCCGGGCCGGGGCATCGCTCGGCCTCCCAGCTCCCTTCCGGCCTTGCTGCATCCACGGCTGCTTACACTTCTTCAGGGTGATGAACACGCTGCCCGACAACCGGCACTTCTGGAAGAGCCTGGTCAGCTCCATCAGGAACTGCTCACTTTCCAGCAGCACCATCCTGGCACTGCCAGATCTGCTCCGTCAGCATTAAGTCCCAAGCCGTTGGAGATACATCTTTTTCTTTAAATCTAGGCTTTTTCCCTTGTATTATTTCTGAGGATTTGGATCTCTGACTTGTTCAGTATTAATTTGTGGGGTTTAGTGTACTATAGATGAGCCAGGAAGCAATGATTCTAAGGGAAATCTTGTTTCTTATTTTTAAAATGGACTTTAAACTTTTAATTTTGGAGCACAGCTTATATAATTTAGTGTTTTCTTACAAATTAGTTGTTGAAATTCTGAGACTATAAAATAAAAATTTTAATGCATTTAAAAATTCCTTAGAGAAAATAGAGTCATTTTTGTGGAATTCTTATTCTAGCTCTGCCAGTTTTCCCTTATCTCTGATTCTCTTTTAGAGATAATGTTGTAGTGATGTTTATCCACTAATGGTATTTCATTTTAAGATTTGTGGGTATCACTCTACAGAAACACATGTATTAGATGTAGATGTCATGTAAACATGAGACATAAATTGTAAATATGAACAGTGACACTTTTGAACACACTTGAGTTTTTAATAAGTTTAATTTTATCCTAGCACCACAGAGACCTTCAGATTGGTCCAAAAAGAAGAAGGAGCCCTTGGGAAAATTGGCTTCTTTATTTAAACTTATTGTGAGAGTGATCTATTCTTTCCACACTCTGAGCCTCAAGGAAGTACATTCTGATACTCTCCTCGCTATTGGCAACTCAATCACCAGCATTCTTTCCAATGTACTTGGACATATTTCTTTGCCTTCTATGATCCGAAAAATATTTGCAACTTTAACAAGACCTCTGGCATTATTTTACGAAAACTCAAAGTAAGTATTTTGGCTTAATAACTTTGAATTAAACATATATAACTAGATTTAGGTAGCAAACGTTTATTGTTTTCATATCAGCTTTGTTGTTAAAGATCTTAATCTTTAAAGTTTAGTGGAAAGGGTAATATATGAAACTATGCTTTTGTTAAAAAGATAGCTCAAGTAATAAGTATGAGGTAGAAATTGGAAGTCACTTTATTTTTCATGATTAATCCAACCCTCTTTTTACTTTAGTGCATGTCTTTTCAGAACTGTTAATACAAAAAGCATACTCTTAAATGTATGATATATATGACTTGACATACTGCTTTGCAGTTCAGTATTATATATGGTATGCACTTAGTATATTGGATGCATCTTGCATCATACACCTAAGAGTCTCATTGTTTTTAAGGTCTGCGTAGGGCTTCATGAAACTTTACCCAATTTCCTGTTGGCGGACATATGTTTTCTAGTCTTTTTCCTTATAACTAACAATATCACATTTGAACGTATGTGTACATAAATCATTTGCCACTAAATAGCAGAACAGGGCCCTAAAATTGAAATGGTTGGTTCAAAGGGTATATGCATTTAAATTTCTGAATTACCCTCCAGAAGTTTGTATTAATTTACATTACCTTTTACATTTGAACCAAAGAAAGCAGTGCCTAAAAAACAACATGAAAAAACCCCAAGTAACATACTCGAAAGAAGCATTTTGGAAGAATTCATTAATGTTCTTTATAGCAAGGTTGTGTGGTTCAGTTATAATACAGCTTGTCTTTCATAAATTCACAGAGAAACCTTTAGGAACAGATTTTATAAACTACAAAATAGAACTCCAAATCCATTAAGTTTTTGCAAATCTTTTTTAGTCCTTAAGCTTCATCAAAAATAATAATGCTTTTTAAAAAGCATGGAAACAAGTGACTGGTATTAATACTTCGAGGTCTATTCCAGATGTTTTTCTTTAACTCCTATTTTGAAGACAGGTTTGTTTCATGTTTAAATGTTTGCAGTTTGACAATTTTTGTTAGGTCTTGGGGCACCTTTGTATATCACTACACGTGTCTCATTTTTTTTGTGCTGCATTATATTTCTAGGTTTAATGTTCTAAAATATAAATGGTACTCTGTTTTTCTTCATAGGTTTGATGAAGTTCCTAAAGTATATAGTTGTATGAACAACAAGGTAAAAATAGACATTGTCCATAAAATACACTTTCATGAAGAAAAATTTTAGGATTTAAATAATTGTCTTCCTTAAATATAATTTTGCTGATTTTTTTTTAAAAGGGTCATTATTACACCTTAATTTTAATGAACTTTTAGTAACAAGACGTGGATATAATCAAAGGATAGTTTTTTAAAGGAAGATTTAATATTGCTTTAAATTCATATAACTCATCTCCTGTCTCATCCCTTTATATATGAAAGTAATTGGTTCCAAGGTTTTTATAGGTAAAACTTATAATTTATGTGAAAACATAATTTTTTCTGTTAATGGAGAATAAGCTTGAATTCAAGCTGTTGTATCGATAAAGTAAGTTCTTGCCTATAAAGAGTGTTATATATTGAAGGTGATGGGAGCTTTAAAAAAAAAATTGAAATAACAGCATGTTCTGTGAGTTTAATTTAGTATGCTTTGTGCTTTTATTTTTTCTGTTTGAAAAGTAACATTTCTAAGTGTTATCCTAATGAACTTTTTCTTTTTCCTAGTTAGAAAAGCTACTAGGAGAAATTATTGCTTGTCTACACGTCAGCTACACTGGGACTTATGACAGTGAACTTCTTGAACAGATCTCGCCATTATTATGCATAGTATTTTCACACAAGAATAAACAGATTAGAAAACAAAGTGCTCAGTTCTGGAATGCCACATTTGCTAAAGTGACGATGTTGATTTATCCTGAGGAGTTAAAGTATGCTAACAACAAAACTCTTTTATACAGTTACTCTGTTCTGATTATGTATTGACATTTTGGTTTTAACCAAATAAAATTTCCTTATGAGGAATCATTGCAGAGGATTTCTTAGTTGAAATATTATTATTTGGAGTACATGGTGATTATTAAAATTATCTGGCCCTTTGCTTTGGTCCTTAGAGTAACCTTAGTTTTAGGAACATAAAAAGCAATTTCAGATTATCCTTAACAAAAGAAATTTCCAGCAAAAGGCAGGAAATTGATGGCTGTTAAATCTAAGTGACATGTACTTAATGTAACAGTCTACTTTTGCTCAAAATTTTATGATTAAAATTTGGAAAATTGGAAAACTTTTTAAAGAAGAAAATTCAGAAACTGAAGAGTTTAGTGAAAAATTCAAATATTGTCTGTAATTTCTCCCAGTTTTATGTATGTGGAGTAAAAAACAGTCTTTAAGTTGGCTGTATTTTGCCACTTTAAAATTATAATTAAAGTGTTCTTGTTAATGTGTCATCGGTACTGCTTACTTAAGGCATATATATTTATGTATTTTTTTGAAGACCAATACTAAAACAAGCCAAACAAAAATCTCTGCTTCTGTTGCCTGGTTTGGAAAATGTTGAAATTATTGAGGAATCCAGTGGACCATATTCAGATACAGTAAGTTGGGGGGGGCGTTGTTTACTTTTGCTTGATGTTTGAGTAGTTCTTTTATTGCGTTTCAGTGTAGTTTTAAAAAGGACAAAAGCTTAGAATGTTTTACTGAAGTGATAAACAAGTAAAACCTGAACAGAAGTGTTCCGTAACAGTTTTCCATAAAGTTAGTTGTGTGGCCTAGAAAACTTAAGGGCAGTCAGTTTCACCATGGAGTCTCATTTAAATAATCTCTGGTTCTTGTTCATTAATGATCTTTTTTATTTAACTATGGCACCTCGTATATTGTTTTGCAAAGGTTGGAATTATTGAAATATATGGTTAAATGTTGCTTTATATAAACTGGGAATACTAGTTACTAATCCCTATGTAAGCAAGAGCTACACTTCATTTTCTCATTTCTTTGCATTGAATCTCATTCATTCTGCCAGAGAAACACATCCTTGATATCACATTATCCATTTGGACCAAGGTTACTTTGGCTAATAGTACTTGATTACTGTCTAAAGATTAAGGAATAAAGATAGAAGCACTATATATATACTCATCAGGTAGAACACCCTTAGGCACTTTTTTCCTATTCAACAACAAATGGAGTCTCACTATTTTTTGTTTAGAACCTTAAGAGAAAAAGTGTTATAGCTAGCTAAATGCTCTTACTTAGTTTTGGTTTTTGGGTAAAATAAAAATTCTTATCAGATAATTATCTAGACTTGTTTAGACTCCTTCAGTGTAATTTGGCCTGAAAAAGCCATATATTCTGTTGGGAGGGACCTGATAGTATTTTCTGTCATGTATGTTTTATTGTTTAAAGTTTTATGGCTTTGGTTTTTCTTTTAAAACAATTTCCAGTAATAAGAGGGGTATTTGAGTTCAATAATTCGATTCATTTTTATAGTGTTTATTTGATATATCTTATTTTCAGGATGCAAAACAACTATTGCTATATAAGTTGGAGACAACAAATCTTTGCTGTTACTGCATTAGACAGTGGCTTTCTTTGACATGATCTTAGTAGATATGAATAGTCAAAAGAAATTTGAAATGAGTATTGATTAGACTGTAATTATCAAAATGTGAAAAGGATAAATAAAAAACATTTGCACATAATGAAATTGTTTTACTTTTACAAAAACAGACAGAAAATTCACAGTTAAATATGAAGATAAGTGGCATGGAAAGAACCTCAAGTGGAAAAAGAGATTCTTTTTTGGCACAAACAAAGGATACAAAAGACAATATGAAACCACCAGCTAAAGTATGTTTTTCAAAGTGTATTTAATAGAACTTTTAAAATTAAAGTATGTGGTAGCTTGCAAATATACAACTTCTGATTGGAAGAAAAACCTGTTAAACACTAAATAAAAGATGGGATTGTAGGGAAATAGTAAAGTGTGGCCTGGGAAGACTATTAAGATGACATGGTAACCTAGAAGCCTTGGGAGATGATTACTTCTTAGTAAAGTTAAGTCTGCATAACACTGAGCATTTGTTTAGTATAGTTACTCGAGGCAGCAGCCCCCTTGAGATGGAATGAAACTAAATAAGATTAACTATAACATAGGTAGCATGAAAGGAGAATGTTTTAGAACTTCTGTTACTGAATAGGAAGAGAATGCATCCGCAAGACATCTGTTGTAAGCTCATATATAAAACTAAATATCTAGTAGCTAGTGACCAATTAACCAATTTTCAGATAATAATTCTTCTTCCAGGACCTCCAGTAAAGGAGTGTTCTGGAATCTTGAGACCATGGCCCTGGCAAAATGAAAGAAATACGTTATTTTTAAAGAATAACTTTGACACAGTCTTGTAGCAACTGAAAAGTAGAATGAAAACAACTGTGCTGAAAATTTGTAAAAATGACATTATGGTACCAATATTATTGGTATGTAGGACATATTATTTTGGCACCTTTTACTTAATTTGAGTAGTTTGTGCTTCAACTTGAAACTGCAGATATACTTTCCTCCTGCCAAAACACTTGATTTCTGTGTGTTGGCCTGAAAAACATTTGCCCATGCTTTTTTGGTAAGCACACATTTGCCAACATTTTTTTTTAAAGGAAATGGAGATCCATTGTTTGTTTTTTTTAATAAATTTATATATTTTATTTATTTTTGGCTGCATTGGGTCTTCACTGCTGCACGCTGGCTTTCTCTAGTTGCAGCGAGCGGGGGCTACTCTTTGTAGTGGTGCGTGGCCTTCTCATTGCGGTGGCTTCTCGTTGCAGAGCACAGGCTCTAGGCGCATGGGCTTCAGTAGTTGTGGCACGTGGGCTCAGTAGTTGTGGCTTGCGGGCTCCAGAGCACAGGCCTCAGTAGTTGTGGTGCACGGGCTTAGTTGCTCCGTGGCATGTGGAATCTTCCTGGACCAGGGCTCAAACCTGTGTCCCCTGCATTGGCAGGTGGATTCTTAACCACTGTGCCACCAGGGAAGTCCTTGCCTACTTTTTAAAGAGGTATAATAATTTTTATTTTCTGAGTATTTAGTAGAGGCAGAGTGAAAGTTAAGGACATGGTACTAATTGTTATTAACCAGGAATATTGTATGAGTTTGAACTTCGAACTTCCTAGTCATTATCAAAAACCTTTATCAGAGTGCCTGAAGAGAGATTGAAGTATTGGAAAATAATTTGGAAACTCAAAATGCACATTAACGTTTTCAATTTGCAGTTGAAACTAGAGTCTTCAACTCCAAAAGCAAAGAGTGAAATGCCTTTGGAAGAAGAAAAGTCTACTGACTTTGTGTTTATACCTCCAGAAGGAAAAGAAACAAAGGAAAGGATACTAACTGAACACCAGAAAGAAGTACTCAAAACAAAGAGGTTTGTAGTACTTTTATCTTGAATAGAGTATTCCATATTTACATTTAGATTTCATGTGGCAAACCATAATTTTGAGTTTATAACTAAGATACTGTGTATTCTGTGATGCTATATTTTAAGTGTCAAAAAGATAGACTGCATAACTATATTTCATAATGTATAAGGCTGCCTTGAAATGCGCTAAATGTTTCTGAACAATTCCTTTATTGAGGTATGGGAGGAAAAGGTAGGGGAGATGGTTTCATGGAAAATCTGGAAAATAAGCATTTAAACCTTGATTTTATATTATTCTTAAAATGTAACTAGATGTAGAATTGTAAGTTTAATTTCTAGTTGTAGGAATATCAGATATTGAAGTTGCTTATAAAAAATCCTTTTCAGGTGTGATATTCCTGCCATGTATAATAATCTGGATGTTTCACAAGATACTTTATTTTCTCAGTATGGTCAGGAAGAGTCTATGTAAGTATGGAAGTTGTTGAAGTAACTGGTTTTCTAATTTTTAATTAACAGTATTCTAATTTATGCAGTTATTTATTTCAGGGAAATTCCTACTTTAACTGAAAAATCCAAGGAAGATTCCAAGATGATATTTAAGGTATATTTGGTATTTCATATTTTGGGGTTTTTAGAATCACCCTTCCATTATTATGGAGTCTCTTATATTAATGTTAAGATTTATTGTATAATCTCTTAACTTTCCTTAGCAGACTTTAGCAGAATTATAGTCATTATATGTGTGGGTCTGCATCTGTGTGTGAGTGCATGTGTGTTTAAATGTATTTGGCTTTATTGAATACTTACAATTGGAAACATAAATTAATGGGCATCTACCATCACCTTTGGAAAATTTGCAAAATATTGAAAGTCACATTGCCCTTTGAATTACTAAAGCTTTACACAAAAATTTCCCCAGAAAGTCAGACTTGTTTGCTGGTTAATCTATATGTATATGTACATTTCTGTGCAGGAGGAACAAAAGGAGAGTGACATTGTCATTCCTCAACATGTCATGGAAAACTGTGGTATGGATGAACACCTTGAAAAGGCTTCCCTTTCGAATAATGAGTGTGGTTCTATTGAGGAAACCAATGCAGAAATACTGAGCAGTAATGATGCCAGAAAAAAGGCTTTAATTGTATCAAAGAAGACGCCAACTGAATGTGCATCTAGTACAGAAAATACATTTGGTGTCAGCAGTAGCTCGGTTTCTAATGCCACTATTTCTGGAACTCCTCCCCCACAGCCTACAAGTCGAAGGCAATCCTTTATTACTTTGGAGAAGTTTGATGGCTCAGAAAATAGACCCTTTAGTCCATCCCCCTTGAATAATATGTCATCAGCTGTTATAGTGAAAAATAATCAGGAAGGCACGGCTAAAACAGATAATCCACCAAAAGCAAAGAAAAAAGAAGTGGCTCTTTCAAAATCTGACTCTGCAAAAACAGTGCATGGGATTAAGAGATCAGTCCGAAGGTCGAGTAAGCCTGAACCAATAGGGAATAAAAAGTCTAAGCCCTTGATGAGATCTGATCAGGAGAAAAGTACTCGGGAATCTGTTGATGGCATGGTAGCCTTAGAAAGTAACCCACCTGGTTTGCTTAATCAAACAGAATGTGCATTAGATAATCAGGTTCATCTCTCTGAGTCTTCAGTGGAGTATGAGGATATGATGCTTAAACCAACAATAGAAAATACTATACTATTAGAAAACAGTACTGTGGAGGAGAAAACCTTAGAAATTAATTTGGAATCCAAAGAAAACACACCCCCAGCCATAATAACAACAGATCAAACAGCAAATGAGGATAGTCATGTTCAGATAACTCCAAATCATAAAACCCTTAGACGATCTTTAAGGCGACGTTCAGAAACAGCAGAGCCAACCACTGATAGCCAAGATAAAGAAAATAATCAAAAAAGGGAAAGACGTAAGGAAGAAGAAAAGACACTGCAGAGGAGTCCATTGCATGTAAAAGATGATGTTTTACCTAAGCAAAAATTGATTTCTGAACAAACTGTACAGGAAAATTTAATTGAGAAAGGAAATAATTTACATGAGAAGACTTTAGGGGAAACCAGCGCTAATGCTGAAATCGATGAAAATAGAAGAAAGCCAGATCTTGAGACTACTAAATCTGAGGGAGATGGTGCCCAGGACATTGCAGATAAATCCTCTGAGATAACAGTAAGGGGACGAACACGGTATCAAACAAGAAGAGCATCCCAGGGTTTACTTTCCAGCATTGAAAACTCAGAATCTGATAGTTCTGAGGCAAAAGAAGAAGGTTCTAAAAAGAAAAGATCTGGAAAATGGAAAAACAAAAGCAATGACAGTGTTGACATTGAAGATCAAGAAGAGAAAATGGTAAAACAGGAATGTATAAAGGTTGAAAGTCAGGCACATGATTATAAAGGGAATTCTGAAGTAGACAAAGATACAAAATCTCAGATCTGTGAAAAAAGAGAAGAAAGTAATACTGTAACTCTTCAAGATTCTACAATATCTTCAGAATTATTACAAGTTTCTGGTGATGTATCAAATATTTATGAGGGAAAAAGTAAAACTAACAAATGTGCAGAACATTCCTTTTCAAATCCTTCTGTACCAGAATCAAATCTAAGGACTAGAAATGCCAATAAAAAATTGCATAAGCGAGATTCTCTAGAAAATAGTGTGGGTGAATCCTCAAAAACAGAAACATCAGACATTTCTTTGCTTTCTGAGAAAACTCTTCAAACACTTGAATGCCAACACAAGAGAAGTAAGAGGGTGAGGAGATCTAAAGGTTGTGATTGCTGTGGAGAAAAATCACAACCTCAGGAAAAGTCATTCATTGGGTTAAAGAATACAGAGAATTATGATGTAAAAGTCAGCGAAACAAAAAAGACAGATGTGCAGACACCTGTAACTATATCAGAAACTTCTAAAGCTGATCTGTATTCAGAAGTAAAACTTTTAGATGAGCATCATAGTGTGAATTTTCATTTGGATCTCAAGGAGGAGAATGATACTATTAATGATTCATTAATTATATCTGAAACTGAGTTGAAAGAAAATACTATTCAAGACTTTCTTCCTTCTGAAATGGTAAATTTTAAAGAAGAAACTTGTGATAGGGATTCTGAGGTAGCAATATCTCTTGAAAGCCAGGAGCCATCTAATAAAAAATGTAAAACTATTGACCCATGTTTGGGTGACTTCAAAGATATTTCACTGGAATGTTTAACTTTGGAGACCAAAGAAGAAAAGCCAGAGGCTATCCCCAAAAAGGAATTGAGTATTATAGAGAACCTTGTTAATGTTGAAGCAAATGCAGAATTGAATCCAGGAGAAGTAGATGCTATGGAATTGAATGCAGAAAATGATAAATCTGAAGCTAGCTTCTCTAAACAAAAGAGTGTCAAAACTGATATTTCAGAGGAAGAGGTAACAGAGAAAAACAGTCAAAGTACGGATGCACCTGAAGAACTCAGTGCTGATGAAGCAGTAGCTGTGGAATTTAATTCAGGTATTGGTCGTTCTGATAATACCGCACCTGTAAAAGTGAGTGCTCAGTTAGAGATTTCTGAACAAATAGCAGTTGGGGAACTAGACAGAGGAAGTGATGAATCTGATCCAGGCTCATCTGGAGAAATGAATGCTGAAATGGGAAATTGTGAAGAAACAGTGATTGGTGAGGTGACTACTGAAACTGACCGTGTCAATGAAACAGAGGATGAGGACTTAACTACCAAAGCCTCTAAGCCTATAGAAGCTGAAACAAAGAGATTGAATGTAGAAATCGATAGTTTTGTTCCCAACACACTTGAGATGAGCTCTGAAGAAGGAAAGGTTGACTGTAATAAAACTGAAACAAATATTGAACCTAATAAATTTGAGGAAACAAAATTAGGTGACAGTCAGATGGTAGCGGGAAATGATGGAATTTTACCGGAAGTTCACCATATTTCAGAGAAAGTGGAGGAGACACCACAACCTCTGACAGCTGAAACAGGTGTTTCTGAACTGGTATCAGAAGACAATAATACATCTCCTCAAAAATTAAAGGATGTTGATCCTTTACTCATGTCAGCAAATGACAGTCCTAGTGGCATGCACACACGCTGTGTCTGGTCTCCTTTGGCTTCTCCATCCACCAGCATTTTAAAGAGAGGACTAAAAAGACCCCAAGAAGATGAAAGCTCATCACCTGTTCACAAGGTAGGGGGATTGAGGCTGAATATTAATGAGTCCATGTTTAATTGGAATATTTTGGCCATATGGTGATACCTGGTGAATGACAGAATATTAGGTTTATATGACCATTCATTTTGAACATTTACCATGGTGGCTAGGGAAAAGGGCAGGTAGAAGGAAAGGTTGAGAAAGACTGAAGCCCTTTAAATTTATTTTATTTATTTATTTATTTAATTTATTGCTTGCTTGCTGTGTTGGGTCTTTGTTGCTTCCCATGGGCTATGTCTCGTTGTGGTGAGCGGGGGCTACTCTTGGTTGCAGTGCATGGGCTTCTCTCTCTGGTGGCTTCTCTTGTGTGGAGCACGGGTTCTAGGCCTAGCAGGCTTCAGTAGTTGTGGCACGTGGGCTCAGTAGTTGTGGCTTGCAGGCTCTAGAGCGCAGGCTCAGTAGTTGTGACGCACGGGCTTAGTTGCTCCGTTGTATGTGGGATCTTCCTGGACCAGGGCTTGAACCCGTGTCTGCTGCGTTGGCAGGCGGATTCTTAACCACTGCACCACCAGGGAAGTCCCTGAAGCCCTTTAGATATTCCTTTATTTCAGGGCACTAAGCTACAGATCTTCATAGAACCATCACCATTGTTCACTTTCTGAAAACTTTAGATAATCTCTTATGGTGATTTTTTTTCTGCTCTTCGTATCATAATGTATGAGGAAACACTTAGAAACTGATAAAGTAGCTTTAGTTGGCACTTACTATGTACTAGGACATTATGCTGTTTCACATTTAAGTATTTATATAAACTTATTTTCACACCTTGTCTAATTAAAAAGAAAAAAAATCTTTTTAGGCTGTGCCTTCATTAATTTCTGGATATGATTTCATTTGTAATTATTTTGTTTATGTCCCCATTTTCTTCACTAAAGTTTATCTACTTTGGTTTGTAAACATATGGATTACCTATGTATCTGTTTTAACCCTGGCCCTGTGACTTGCACATAATTTGTTGAATAAATACAATTTAAAAAGGAAAAGTTGCATGTGCTTACATAACTTGTCCTCTCTATCAAAGTAGATGTTTTGAAAAAGTACAATGTAGGCATTCCTTAACTTAATTTTGAAACTGAACCTACCGTTTACTGTAGAATACATGTGTTTATATATACAAACGTGTATATATAAATATAATTATACTGGCACTTAATTTTGCCTTTAGTCAGCACATTTTGAAGACTTCCCCAAGATATACTGAAAATTCTCATATTGAGAATTCAGAGATTAGTTCTTGGGAAGACTTAACACCACTTGAGGTTTTTTCAGTTTGGTCTTGGTTTGCTTTTGTTTTGAGGCTCTTACTATTATTATTTTTTAAGTTTAAATAGGCCATAAGGTAAAATGCATTTGATTTCTTCAGTATACTTTAGATTGTTAATATCAGTTAACTAGTCATGTTTTGTTTCATAGTAGCTCATTTAATTTTTATTTAGGCAACAGTACAACATACAGTAGTTTTCTGTAGCAGATATGTACAAAATCTGCCCAGTCTTTTGGGAATCAAGACCAGGAGGCATTTATATACATATTTAATGGTTTAAGTGCTCTGTTGTGTGCTTAGATAGCTGAATGAGTGATGAATAAAGAGTTTAGAAGAGGCCAAAATGACTTCAAGCTGGGCTAAGAAAGACAAAAAAAGCCACCCAATTGCTGACTCTTGGACCCTCAAAAAGTTAAGAACTGAGCTTAGTAAGATATACCAGAGGCCAGTTAGTACTGTCTCTGCCTCTTTACGTTGTTCTTTACAGTCCATAGTAAGCCTGTAAGGTTAATAGAATTTGATTATACAATTTTAACTGTCACATGCAATTTCATTAAGTTTCTGCTGTTATCCTTCTTTCACTCTCCTTGTTGCTGTATTATGCAGTTTAGACTATAGATAATTGGAATGACCCTTGGTCTTGAGTAATATCTGTGAAAGCAGTCACCAGGAAGAGCTACAACTATGTGCAGTTGGCTTCTAGTGAAATAAATTAAGCTTCACATTCTGTTTTTGGCTAACCTTATAATGAGAATTTACAGTGTTGTGTTTTTTTTTAAACTTTTAATTTTGTTAAATAAAAACATGACCTATGTTTTCAGGTTCGCCGTGTCTCCTTTGCAGATCCTATATACCAGGCAGGATTGGCAGATGACATTGATAGGCGATGCTCTATTGTTAGGTGCCATTCTTCAAATAGTTCTCCCATAGTAAAAAGTGTTAAAACTTCACCTACTGCGCAATCTAAGGTAAGCTGTAGGCTTTAAAAAATACACATGCAGACAGAATTGTGTTGGGTAATTTGTCTTAAAATTAACTAAGACACAAAACTTATTTGGTTTGGTTTATTGTTCTTTTGTCTGCTTACTTGGTAAGCAGACAAGAGGTGGTAAGAGGCAATGATGATCCAACAAGTCATTGATCCAGTAATACTGTTACATTTTACATTTTCTGAAAATTTTAAGACATTACTGCAGGCTTAAGTTGTGAAAATAGAGTTGTAAACTTTACAGTTATCTAGGGTTCTGAGTTTTTTTTTTCTCCTTTCTTCTATCTAGCATAATACTACTTCAGCCAAAGGATTTCTGTCCCCAGGATCACGTAGCCCTAAATTTAAGAGCTCAAAGAAGTGTTTAGTAAGAAGTGCTTTAGTTTTCATGCAACTTTATATTTTCATGTTCAGTCAGGTGACCTCTATTTAACAGCTTTTGAAATTTATTCTAAGATTGCAGAAATGGCTAAGGAATCTGTGCCATGCCCAACAGAAAGTGTCTACCCTGCTTTGGTGAACTGTGTAGCACCAGTTGACATCATTTTACCTCAGATTACGTCCAACATGTGGTAAGTGGTTATTTAGGCTTCTGGCTTATACCTAGAGATGCCACTTACTTAAGAGGGATATTTAAATGATCAAGGTTCTCACGTTTAGAATTGATTTATATGTACTTTCACACACTTTGTTTTAGAAATGAATGAAAATGCAGCTGGGAAGATGGGTGAGATATGGCAATAATAGAAGCATTGATCATAATACAGTAATGGCTAAGATAATTGTGTGCTTAATATTTGCCAGGTTTTGCATACATTATCTTATTTAATCCTAATATAAATACTATAAGGAGTATAATTAGTTCCACTTTATAAGATGTTTGTAAAGGTTAGTCTTGCTTAAGCCAGGTATACACATCACATTCAAATTTTAAAGTAAATGCACGTATGCCTGTCCTCAGAGTGGGCTAGGTGGGTCTGTATAAATTCAGTTATGATTGAGCTTAAATCAGGAAATTCAATTGGGTAGGCCCTTACAAACAGAATAAATATAAAACTATATGACATTTTTCCTGTTTCTGTCATCTCTTTAGGGCAAGAGGACTGGGACAACTCATTAGAGCCAAGAATATAAAAACAATTGGTGATTTGAGTACTCTTACAGCATCTGAAATAAAAACTCTTCCTATCCGTTCTCCAAAAGTGTCTAATGTAAAAAAGGCTCTCAGAGTATATCATGAGCAGCAGGTAAAAACTTTGATGTTAGTCATAACATCATGTATAAATAAATGATCGAGCAATACAGTTACAGAAGTTTGCATTTAAACTATTCTTGCTTAAAAAGCTCATTTTATATGATGCCTTATCTTCCCTTCCCCTGCAGTTAAGAGTAACTTAAAAGATTCATTTATAATTCCATAGATTTGCTCATTTTGTACTGTTGTGTATAATACCTCTTTATTCTTTGAATTCTATTTTCCTACCCTCTTATCTCTTTTATTTCCACCAAATAGGTTTCATGGCTACCATTTCTAAAACCTAGATGTTCAAATCTAAACATTTACAAAAATCTTGCGTATTTGTAGTTAACAGTATTTTGATTTTGATATCCAACACAATTGTGGCCAATTTTTTTTACTTGTTCTTCCTATCAACTTTTAACACAAACATTTTAGGTCATGGACATTTCTCAAGATTCTTATGAAAGCCAAGATGCTTTTGCCATATAAAAATGTATCAATATATGGAAAATTTTGTGTATCATTTCAGAAGAATTCACAGGCTCTCCTGAAACCCATTTAGAAACCCTTTATGTATTCATTGATACTATGCAAAACTGTGAATATATGAAAAATAGGGTTTGTTAAGGGTGAAAGCTGGTGTTCTATTAGCATTTCTGGGACTGGAGTTTGCAGACTACTGAAGACTTCTGCTGTATTCGTGAAAGTCCTTGATTTACTATTAATTTTACTTGATCTTTAAAAACATTTAACCAGTGGGGAAAAAAAGAACTATTAGTAATTTTCAGTCTGATAGCTGAAGCATTTCAACTGCTTTATTGAGATCCAGCCACATACCATAAAAGTCACCCACCCAAAACACACAATTAAGTGGTTTTTTAGTATATTCACAAAGTTACACAACCCTCACCAAGACCTAAATTTAGAACATTTGTTATTACCCTGGAAAAAAAACCCCTGTACTCATTAGCAGTCACTCTGCATTTTCACCCCCAAGGCAACCACTAATCTTTGTCTCTGTAGTTTTGCCTGTTGTGGACATTCCATAAAAGTGGAGTCATATGACCTGTAGTCTTTTGTGAATGACGTCTTTAACTGAGCATAATGTTTTCAAGGTTCACAGGTATTAGTACTTCATTCCTTTTTATGGTTAAATAATATAATACCCCATTCTATGGCTATACAACGTTTTGGTTATCCATTCATCACTTGATGAACATTTGGGTTGTTTACACACTTTCCTATTATGAATATGCTATTAGGTACATTCATATACAAGTTTTTGTGTGGACATAACATTCTTTATTTCTCTTGGGTATATATGTAGGAATCTAATTGCTTGGTCATATGGTAACTCTAACGTTCTGAAAGTAGTATTTTCTCAATCAACAATCAGTAAGCCCTGGGAATACCTTTGAAAATTGTGTTCTTAAATTTTAAAAAAAGAAGTCCATATATTATTTAAGCTTGGAAATCTTTGCCTTAGATTTGCTTTTCCCCTGTTCCTGAACCTGGGGAATATAGTGTAGTTTTTCATGGCTACCATTTGCAATAATTCTTGACAAGTCCATTAGGAAATATTATAAACCCCATAACCACCTCTTTGAAAAAACAGTGCTATGTAATGCTATTTTTGTGTGTTGTTAGTAGAACATGGGTTCTTAGCAGTATTAGCTAAGCTTATCATGTAATGGGCTGTGAAACATAGTATGTCAGATTGTTTTCCAGCATTAGTGGTCCTGTTACTATTAGTCCTGTTAAAAATTACTTTCAATTTGTCGCTTTTGTTTTTTTTTTTTTTTTTTTACTGGTCTGAATGTATAAATCAAGGTGAAGTCTCGTGGACTAGAAGAGATTCCAGTTTTTGATATTTCCGAAAAAACAGTAAATGTAATGGAAAATAAATCTGTTTCTCCTGATGAAGAAAGACTTGCCTCAGGTATATTTTAGCAAAGTGGGACAATTTTATTTTAGCAAAGTGGGACAAGATCAGCTGACTTTCTTGAAGAAGTATTTTGTTATTGTTCTTTTAGTTTTAATTTGACCATGCCCTGTGAATTAGACAAGTATTTTTTTGTGTAATAGTTGCCAAGTGTGTGAAAAAGTAACTGATACGACTTCAAGTATGTCTAGTTGCTTTTTCTCTAATTGTCAACTTCTGCTCTATCAAGGCCTCAAATGAGGATATAAACTATAAACATTGCATTCCAGTTATGTTGTTCATAAAAATGAAGTAGTCATGATTTCTGTAATGGCACAGAATAAGCTATGGTAATTTTTCTGTTGCCTATTCTCTTGACCTTGAGCAGGTATACCTCAGCCTGCATTCTTAATTTGAAACCTGGGCACTTAAATTTTTATTACCTTAAAAGGAGAGAGATAGAATTTAAGATTTATCTGGAATAGATTTAATTGTGCTTTTTTTCCTTTCTTTTAGATTTAATTGATCCTGTTGCTTTAGAGACTCCGTTATCTAAAAATCTTGTGGCCCAGATTAGTGCACTTGCTCTTCAACTAGATTCAGAAGATCTCCATAATTATTCAGGAAGCCAGCTATTTGAAATGCATGAGAAACTTGGTAGCATGGCAAACTCTATAATTAAAAATCTGCAGTCACGTTGGAGGTCACCAGCCCATGAAAATTCTATTTAGTGTTTTAAGAGAAAATTGAAGTATAAAAAAAAAAAATCACTGGATTTGTTGATTCATAAAGTAAGTTCTGAAATATAGCACAATTTCAGACTGAATGTTTGCAAAGTTGGTAACATTTCAGACGCTGAAGGGCAATATCTTATTAAGTTCAGTTTTGTTAGTGAGATCATTTTTTCCTGTATAACATGTTTTCTTGGCTGCTATGCGTAGTTTTTCCAAAAATTTAAATATTGAAATGTGAAAGCAAAAACTAAATAGCATACATTTTATTTCACTTATGCGTATTTTAATGGAACATTTTATGTAATATACCTGTTCTCAGTAAGTAAAAATGAAAAATTTTATTTGAACTTTTTGCTGAACTGATAAGGTATTTATACTTGATTTCCTTTTTTAAAATTTCTATTTGTTGTGCCTGAGGTTTAAGAAATTTGTTCTTGGTAAAACACCCCAAATGACATGCAAGAGAATCTTTTGGAACGCTCTTCGCAGACATCAACGTTATTTGAACAAGAAAATACTTATATTTCAAGAAAAATATTAAAAGTTTCAACTTTTGGGGTTAAATATTAAAGCAGAATTTACTAAAATTCCATTCATTTGCGTTAGCAAATATTTGTTCAGCAGCATTTGCCTGTGAAAATATACTTATGAGACATATAATATTCATTTTAAAATGCACGACTATTTGTACATTATGTATAGATTAAGTTTTTAATTTATAAATTTCAGTCTTCGTTAATTGCATGAGTTTTTTTCTGCAGCTTCTTGTGAATACCTTTGTGTTGTTTAATAGAAACATAATTTTGTATATATTGAATACTGAGATATCAGTATGGATGGTAGAAGTGCTTCATGGGCTTGCTGCAGATGTTTGTAGGATTCTGTCTCTACAAATAAAACAACAAATAGTTTTGTACTTAGTTAATAGTGTTAGTTAAAACATGAGTTTATTTTCTAAAGTAGCCAGAAAGAGTAAAGTAATAGAAATGAGAAAGTGTTACATGACAACTTTGCCATTCATTCCCATAACTTTCCCCTGCAACCCCCATCCCTTTTGGTTTAGAAGAGGGTATCAGCCACTAGAAAGCGTGCCTCATTACATTTCTCTTTAATGGGGATTTAGCTTGAGTATTTTCATTATAACTTGGACCATAAGGAATCTAGAGTTTATCTGCTCTTTTTACCTATACCTAAAGCAAACTTGGGAGAAATTTGAAACTGTTCATTCAAAATATTTATGTTTTACCAAGTAAAAAAGTAGGGTGTATGTAATTAAACCATTTGTAGATTTTTTACCAACTGGTATTAGTGCCTGACTTTCCCATATTTGTTTCATCTTTTTAACAGTGAGAGTATTTCATTTGTTTTCGAAATAGAATGAGCGAGTGATCTTCTCAGTTTCAGACTTATTCAGAACTAACCCTTACTTGAAAAGGCACACATTCTTCAGCAACTTATAGAAAGTTTAATCCTTGTGTCTTGGTTAGCTTTACATTCAGAAAGGGGCTGCCACCCATTCACAGTAAAAGTTGGTTTTTCTTTAATAATAAATCCATTATCAGTACATCGCAAATATTTTAGGGTCTAAGTGTGATATTTATATGCTGAGGATGATTTTAAAAGAAATTCTGGGACCACTAAACTGAGGATTGTAGCTTGAAGAAATAACTAATGAAAAATTAGGAATTTTTTAAAACATTTATAATTGTGGTTTAAATTGTCTATCATTTATTTCCCAAGTTGTATTTGACAGTAAAGAGGCATATATGTTTTTGCAAACATGTGTAAGAAGGGATGTGTATGTGTGTTGAGAGGAGTCAGAATTAGCTCATTTCATGACTTCGTATCTTAATATTTGTGTGAACTAAACTTACTTGCTGGTGGAATGAAGTTCTTGGGAAGGTGAACAGTATAGCAGAAAATGTGACCAAAATGGTTACCGTTTACTTAAATCACTGAGTTTGATGCAAGCACAGATTTTAATTTTAAAACATTGTGGTTTAATAAGGATATATTTTTAAATATTTGAGGGCAAAAACCAGTTTGCTAAGTGTTCATTGTTGATATAGTTATAAGTGTGTATGTGAGGCACCTTATTTTCAATTTTCTTGCCTTAAAATTTTCTGCAAATTTTTTCCTGAGTGATTCCAGAAGAGCTGAAAGCATTAATATTCCTTGATCAGCTCCAGTGTGTTGTTCACTATTAAAGTGAAATCAGTTTTTTCAGATAATTCCTAATGGTTAATAAAACATGGCAAACGTTACTGAGAACACTCAAATGTGATTTCTTATTTTATGTATTTATAAAGAATCTAGTTGAATGCAGAGCCATAGTATAATTTTCCATGTTCCAAAATGTATTTCATAGTGGATTTAAATTTCCATTATTTCAGTGAGCCCATTATTAAAGATGCTCTGCTGTTTGAACAAGTTCGAAAGCCATTGTTGAATAGTGGAGAGCTTTTGCTCAAGTAATTATGCAGTAGGATAATACAGTCAAAAATAAGATTGAAATGTGAACTTTATAAGTATGGTAACCCTGACATTGCCCATGATTCTTTCTTTCTGTGCAGCTTGGTGTAGTAGTTAGGGATTCTGTTACATATTTAAGAATCATAAAAATGTCAAGAAAGTTGGGTTATATCTTGCCTTAAATAAAGGTGGCAGGACAGGAAACAAAAGTTTGGAAAAATGGGAGGAGTATGTGGAAAACATACAAGTAGAGTTTTGTTTTTAAAGGAATGAGTAAAAATAAGTGCTGTTTCAAAGGCAGGCTTAGTTGAAATTTACCAAAAATACGAGTTACAGTGTCACATTTTTCTCTTAATGCCATTCCTTCCAACTTTGACTTTATAATCCACTAAGAAAAGCCTAGATTCCATCTCATATTCTTCATAATTGATTTGCAGGGAGATAATTTGTGAGCTAGGCTTGGAGGCCATAAAATAGCAGTTGTTAATAATTATTAGGCTAATAACTTGAGTCAGGGGAGTTAGCTGCTTGCTCATTAGTTCAGCACAAGACCATTTTATCCCTAAGCCATTGGAAAGGTCTTGTACGTTGTATACAAACATTAGAGTGAAGTTCTGACTCTTAACATAGTACTTCTCAAACTTGCATGTATTTGTAAAAATGCAAATTCTGATTCAGTAGGTCTGTGATGGGGGCCTAATAGTTCATTTCTAACAATTCCCATGTGATCCATACAAATGCTGATGTGGACTGCATTTGTGGTCGTAGGCATAAGAGGCTTCAAGATCTAAATTAGGTTTTGGTATCCCAAGCAGATTTAAGTCCCTAGAATTATTGCCACAAAAGATAAAAGCTAGTCTTTTTTAAAGAAACTTTTCCAAATGTCTGAATTGAGGATTCAGATTGGTCTTGAAGGCTTCAAATTACAGTACAAAAATTTAAATAAAATTGTAAAAGGCAGAATTTTGCCTCATTTGGAGCCTTTTAAATATGGAAGATAAATATGTTATAAAGAACCTTATTAAGTAGTTTGGACAATGTGGAGTCTTACGAGTATATGTGAATTATGTTCTGATTTTTTTGTTAATATAAAGGTAAATTTTCACAATATTAGAGGTGCATTTAGAAGGCAAGATTTCATTTAGAGACTAAGTTATGGGACTTCATTATTTCATTAATAAACCTTGAAAACAGACTACCCCTAACTAAGTTTAATTTGGCAGTAAAGTTAGCAGTGCTGTAGTAAGTCAATTCTGACAAATGTGCCTTATAATCATTTTACTGAAGACCTCTGGTGACTGCTGCGACATTACATGGTTAAAACTTGCTGTTTTGTTGTAAAATGGAGTTGAAAGAGTTGACTAATCTGATTTTCCAAAATGAGTTTTTCTTGGCATTCTGTTAAGATGTTATATTTCCTTCATATTTAAATACTTTTATTGTAAGAGCTGCCCTCATCCAAAGCACTTAAGGAAATGTCACCAGAAGTTAAGTAATGGGTTTTAAAAATAGATTATCAATCTGTGATAGATAACTCAATCTGTGAAACAAATCTGGTCTTTGTGGTTTCTCATGGCCCAATTAATGATATGTCTATTATATGCCAGGTTTTGTATATTGCTTCTTGAAAGTATCCATTAAAATCTGAGTCATTTGGATTTGAAGATCTATAAATAATAGAGTAGTAGTCTGATATAATTATGAGTGTCTACTTAGTTCTTAGAGTAGAATATTAAATTTTACAATGTGGTCTTTACCGTTTTTTTCTTCATATGCCAATCCTTTCACCAAAGAACAGTTAAAACCAAGTGCTGAACTGTAAATGCTTACTCCCCTGAAATATACCATTAGAATAAAAGATAACCTCTCTCTTTACATGTGAGTATAAAATTAAAGACAGTATTTTAAATTGATGTCACATGGAAGAAGAAAACCTACATAGCTTTTGGTCTTCTACTTGTAGTAGAGGGAACAATATCTTTACACTACAGTGAACCATTTTATAGCTGGATGAAACTAAGCTTATCAGATGGCAGACTTATATGCTGATAGAAATTGATGCACTGATAAATGATAAAATGAAGAGAAAGGGAAAGAAAAATTGAGCTGAAATAGTAATAAAGCAATTAGGGCATTAAGTATAGAGACAAACAGTTCTGTGTATTTTGAAAATAACTGGCAGCCAGTGGTCCCTGAGTTATCCTATACATAATACAGTACCATAATTAATGTTCATAAAGCCCTTGAATAATTATTTAGAAATACATTATTATTTAATACTCTGACCCCCCCCATCAGTAAATAATTTCCAACAAAAGACAGTGTTACTCCTTAGATGGAAAAGCTGCATATAACTAGAAGGTTCACTTTCAAAATAAAATGTCATGGAACCGAAAATGGAATGTATAATAGCTATTTTGATACTTAGCTGAATAGTTAACAGGGGTCTGAGGAATTTTTAATTTTTATGGAATGGAAATTTTCTAATAGAAGAATGGAATTAAGAATCGATTTTGAGTATAGGAAACGAAAGACGGCAGTTTTGCCTAGTAAGTTTAAAGAGCAGAGGTTGACAAACTACAACCTGCTGCCTCTTTTTTATATCTGATGAGCTAAGAGTGGTTTTTACGTTTTCTAAATGGTTGAAAAAATCAAAATAATAGTATTTTGTGGCACATGAAAATATATAAAATTAAAATTGTATTGTTTGTAAATAAGGTTTTACTGGGACACGGTCATGCTTATTTACATATTTGGCTGCTTTCCAGCTACAGTGGTAGAATTGAGTAGTCTGAAGGACTGTGGTGGCTTGTAATATCAAACATACTGTCTGACACTTCAAACATACTACTATCTGACACTTTACATAAAGTGTGCCAGTCCTTGACATAAGGGAGAGATTTGTGCATACATGGCAGTTTGGCTACTTCTGGCTGGCAGGATAGGAATATTAATTTAATTTCTATTGCCATTATTTAGATTTTATTTTATAAAATGGGTTCCCCTGATTCCATTTATATCTTACCATCGCTCAAATACACATATACTAGGAGATGCTAGTATTTTTTACGTACGCCTTTTTCTCCCAAACCCTTAAAGCATTGTTCTGTGTTTGCCATGGATATTAAGGGACCTGATGTGTGAAGGAAAGGCATCTGGCACTAATTGGTTAAATCACACCTGTAAAACAATTGGGGCTTTGGGGAGTTTGCTTTCTGTGTTGTTGAGTAATGGATCGCTTTCAATATAAACACTACCTCCTGTGGATAGACTTGACTAATGTGCACTTAGAAAAGGACTGAGAGAAGCCAAATCAGTCATTTATTAGCCCTGTAATATTTTTGTTTTCATCACTTGATAAACTCTAAGAGAGCTTAGTTTTACATTCAGAAAGTATTTATATTTGATAAGTCAAATGATGTAAGTTGAAACTTCACAGAAGTACCTGTTCATTCCTCAATTGACTGTACTAGTAGATGGGAAATAAGGGTGCAGTCAGTTTTGTTTGTGTAATGCTTTATACAACGTTTGAAGCAGGTAGACCTGTACTAAAATTGTATTTTCAGGTTCATTATGACTGAGTGGAGGGAGGGAGAATCTGTGTCTGATCCACAGTAAAACTTTCATAATCTGTTGAGAGTTGACTGTTACCACTTGCCAATTGAAACTGGACATTGAAACATTTTTAAAGAAATGCACTTTAATCTGAAATAAACAAAAAAAATTATGGTACTTGTTGTTCTTTGGTTTTTGTTTTTTTATTTTTGTGTTTCAGTGAGGCCTCCTGAAATGAATGAGAATAACATAATCCAGATACCAACCTAAAAGTGAGCATTGTATTCCTCCACGAGCACATGAACCATTCATATTCTTCCCCTCTTTTATGGCCTATTTTTAACCGTAGAGGATCTCTCTTTTATTCATAGTCTTATGGGTTCCACACACTTCTAAATCCATTTTTTTTTAAATTGAAGTATAGTTGATTTACAATATTGTGCTAGTTTCAGGTATACAGTGAAGTGGTTCAGTTATATATATGTTTTTCAGGTTATTTCCATTATAGGTTATTACAAGATATTGAATATTATTCCCTGTGTTACACAGTAAATCCTTGTTGCATATCTATTTTATGTATAGTAGAGTTTATCTCTTAATCCCATACTTCTAATTTATTCCTCTTTCTCCCTCCCTGTCCCCTTTGTTAACCGTAAGTTTGTTTTCTATGCCTGTGAGTCTCTTTCTGCTTTGTATAAAGATTCATTTGTATTATTTTATAGATTGTGCATATGTGATACAATACTTGTCTTTCTCTCCGTATGATATTTTCTGTGTCCATCCATGTTGTTGCAAAGGTCAATATTTCGTTCTTTTTTATGGCTAATATTCCATTGTGTGTGTGAGATCTTATATATATATATATATATATATATCTCACATCTTAAACTAATTGTCTGTTGATGGGCATTTGGGTTGTTTCTGTCTTGGGTATTGTAAATAGTGCTGCTGTGAATGTTGGGGTACATGTATCTTTTCTAATGAGAGTTTTCATCTTTTCCAGATATATGCCCAGGAGTGGGATTGCTGGATCATACGGTAGTTCTATTTTAGTTTTTTGGAACCTCCATACTGTTCTCCATAGTGGCTGCACCAGTTTACATTCCCACCAACATTTCTGCACACCATCTCCAGCATTATTTGCAGGTGATGGCCATTCTGACCAGAGTGAAGTGGTACCTCATTGTAGTTTTGATTTGCATTTCTCTAATAATTAGCAATTTGGAGCGTCTTTTCATTCGCCTGTTGGCCATCTGTATGTCTTTGGAGAAATTTCTGTTTAGATCTTCTGCCCGTTGTTTGATTGGGTGGTTTGGTTTTTTGGTATTGAGTTGTGTGAGCTGTTGGTATATTTTGGAAAGTAACCCCTTGTTGGTTGCATCATTTGCAGATATTCTCTCCCATTCCGAGGTTGTCTTTTCGTTTTGTTCATGGTTTGCTGTGCAAAAGCTTGATTAGGTCCCATTTGTTTATTTTTGCTTTTATTTCTTTGCCTTAGGAGACTGTAGATCCATACTTTTAAAGTAAGGGGAAAAAAACCCAAAATACTTAGTGATGTTGAAAAATACTGTATTAGTTTCCTGTGGCTGCTGTTAACAGCCACAAGCTGAGTGGCTTAAATAACAGAAATTTATTGTTTTGGTTCTGGGGGCTAGAAGTCTGAGATAACTTTGTCAGCAAGTGTTGGTCCCTTCTAAGGGCTGTGAGGAAGGCTGTTCCATCCCTCTCCCCTAGCTTCTGTGGTTTGCTGGCAATTTTTGGCTTTCCTGGCATGTAGAAGCATCACCCCAGTCTCTGCCTTCATTTTCACATGTACTCTTTGCTCTTGAGTCTCAGACACACATTAAGAAGCTTTAGGACAGCAGTATTACTACGGCTCTAAAGTATTGTGGACAGATCTTTTGCTTTTTAGAAAGGATACTGTATAAACTTAAGCACAAGCCATTATTGGTTGGCACTCCACCCTTTGCCCATGCCTTTGCCACAAACTGCCAGCCCACTGGATACACACGGGGAAGATCCCCTTTGGGATCCCACAGATCCCACAGCTATTGGATCCCACAGTTATTTCTAAAGCGTTATAAGCCAAGCCATAAGGAAAGCTTGCTGAATACAAGTATGGATAGAGTTTTGAGAAAGTCTACACTTGTGCATTTTTATTTTAATTGAAGTATAGTTGATCTACAATGTTGTGTCTGGTGCATTTAATACTTTTTTTAAGTTTAATTTTTTTAGTGAAGTCTAGTGTAGGGGGTTTGCTTTTGTTGAAGTTTTTATTTGTAGATCTTTAAAAATAAATAATGCTCATTCCATCAGTGGTGTTTGTTGCAGAATTGCAGATTTTATTAGTTACTAGCTTAACACCAGTTTATATAGATTAGCCGCTTTATAACTTCAGAACTACAGTCAGCAAGGAAAAGGTGAATATCTGCCATTAAAAACAATGTGTTTAACATGTTTAGAACTCTTGATTTAGAAAAGAAATACTGTTAAAACATTTTCATAATGGAGAAGATTCTGGGTTGAGGCAACAGTAATATAACAACAATGCAGAAACTTAAACATTTTAAAACCCAAAGGAAAATTTAATAATGGCAATTAAAAGACCTATGGGTTTAATGTCTCAGGTTTTATGTGCAAGTCCAGAAGATAGAAGTCTAGTTTAATAATTGGACAGATTAGTTGTACTAACCTTTGTTTTCCTGGTGAATTATTGGGGTACATATAGAAACAAGGGATGGTACAACCATGAATCATATTGACACAAAAAGCACTACGCAGCTTCAGAACTCGGGGAATAGTGGAGAGTCTAAACAAATGCTGACGGCAAGATCTGTAGGTGCTGTAGACAGATGCAGTGCTTTGAAGTTCCTAAATAGCTTCAACATAGTTGGCTGGGAGCATGCCCGTCCTGCCAGTCCTCTGCACGGTGCCATACATCCAACCTTCATCAACAGTTTGAACGTTTACAATGGCATCCCCATCTTTGAAGGACACCTCATCTGCATCTGCAGCCATATAGTCATACATGGCACGGAAGATTTTCTATCGGCAAAGACAAAAAAGGGAAATATATATTAGATTTGCAGCAATTAACCCGAACACCTAGTTTTAGTTTCCACCAACTTAACTTGCACAAAACAGAATGTGCAACTACCTACCACCAAAACTAAAAGACAACTCACAAACTAGGAGAAAATATTTGCTAATCATATATCTAATAAGGGATCACTATCCAGACTATATAAAAAAAAACTCCTATAATTCAATACTGAAAAGGGACAGGGGCAAAAGATCTGAATTCTCCAAAGAAGATGATAAACCAAGAGCCAATAAGCCCGTGAAAAGATGCTCGACATCGTCAGTCATCAGGAAAATGCAAAACTACAATGAAATACCCCTTCACACACACTGGAATGGTGATAATTGAAAAGATAGTAACAAGTGTTGGGGAGGATATGGGAAAATTTGAATCTTTATAAACCGTTGGTGGGAAAGGAAAATGGTGCAGACACTTTGGAAAACAGTTTTGGAAGTTCTTCCCCTTTTAAGAGTTACCATGTGACCTAGCAGTACTACTCCTAGGTATATACACAAGAGGAATGAACATAAGTCCACATAGTAACTTGTACATCCGTATTCATAACGGCATTATTTGTAAAAGCCAAAAAGTGGAACTAGCCCAAATGCCCATCAACTGATGAATGAATAAAGAAAAGGTATTCCCATACAATTAAATATTTGCTAATAAAAAGGGATGAAGTACTGATACATGATACAACATGGATAACCTCAAAACATTAAGAAGCCAGTCACAGAAGACCACATATTGTGTGATTTCATTTATATGAAATATATCCCAAATAGGCAAATATATACAGAAAGTACATTAGTGGATGTACTAATCTAGTGTTTTGGAGAAAAAAATTTGAAAAATCATAGCAATATTGCATGTTTTTCTTTGGGAATTTGGGAGCATACCAGTAGTAAAAGTTTGGAAAGCTAACCTCCACGATGTTTTTTTTTTAAAGAATTGTAGCATGGTGGGAAAGGAAAATGGAGCATTACTAATCAACAGGCATAAAGTTTCAGTTAAGCAAGATGAATAAACCCTAGAGATCTGTTCTAGAGATCTCTAGGGATCTGTACACAACCTTGAATCTATAGTAAACAATAATGCATTATACACTTAAAAATATAAGGGTAGGTTGATCTCGTGTTCTCACAACAATGAAATAAGGTTTTTTAAAACTGTAACAATTTAGAGATAAAAATAAAATTTGATTTGAAAGTGCCCAAATTTTCTTTATAGGAGCAGTCACTGGTTAGTAATTTGGTATGAGACCTACATATTTTTTCCTAGCATTCTGAAATATACACAACATATATTCACATTCAAGGATAGGTTCCCCCCTGCCCCACATAAGTGGAATACTACTATAAATAGTACTCTGACTTGTTCCTTCCATTTAATATGGCTTGGAAGTCTTTCCATATGAATATAGATTGATCACATTCTTTTTTACTGCTGTAGAGAATTCCATATTTTAGTACTATCGCAAATTATTTAGCCATTTCTATATTTCTGGACATTTAATTGTCACCATGTTTTTGTCACCATGTTTTCATCCACTAACCCTATAGTGTTTGTCTTTGGGCAGATATTTCAAAAGAAAGCTTTTAAAAGTAAAAGTATTTGGTGAAAGGCATGTGCCTTTTAAGTAAGTTTTTTTAGAAAGTTCACTACTGTAATGTTCTAATATACTTTTATTGTTGCATATTTCTGGTTAGTAGTCAAATGGTGAACATGGTTTTTTTGTTGGCCATTTTTAAAAATTTTTCTGTATATTGTCTATTCATATGCTTCCAGGTTTTATTTTGAAGGGAAGGGGGATAATATGTCAATGAACTTTGGATACTTTTTGCGTTTTTAGATATTAGTCTTTTTATTGAGTATAATATTTTTTCCCAGTTTGACATTTCTTTTTGCTATAAAAGCATTTAACCTTTTATGGTCAAATCTGTCAGTCTTTTCCTTTACATATCTAGATTTTGGAGTCTGCTGAGGAAGGCTTTCAGCATTTCCAATTGTAAAAGTAGTCTCTTTTTCTATAGTATTTTAGTTTTCCTTTTTTTTTTTTCTCTGCTGATTTGTAATTCTTTTAGGGTCCATTTTTGGACTTCATCTATTTTACAATCTATTCTCATGCTAAATTCATATTTAATTACAATAGATTTATAGCATATTTTGCTCTTATGGTTAAGTCCTTTCCTATTATCATTTTCAAAATTTGCTTATTCTTGCATCTTTACTCTTTCAAATAAATTATAGGATTAATGTATAAAAATTTTTTAAATTTTACTAGGATTTGATTGGAATTGCCTTGAATTTATGGATTTATTTCTGGAGAAATGACTTCAAGATTCCCTTCCTGAACTATAATGGGTCTCAATACTTACTTAAGTCTTATGTCCTTTAGTAAAGATAGTTTTCTACATACAAATATTGTTCATTTCAATCCTAAAGAATTATGTTTTTGTAATACTATGAATGAGATCCAGGGTTTTAAACTAGTCCTGGTGAATTGTGAACATGATTTGACTTATTTCTTCAATGTATATTAATAGGGGATATCTAAGATATGACCAGATTACATGTGTGACATGTGCATACACATATATTTGGGTTGGCCAAGAAGTTCGTTCGGGTTTTTCTGTAAGATGATGGGGAAAAATCCGAACGAGCTCTTTGGCCAGCCCAATATATTCTGGAAGAATGATTCCAAGCCACAGATGTTTTGCGTTAAGATAGTGGGTGGGTCTAATGAGACCAAAATGATGACTTTGCTTTAGGCTTTTTTTGTTTGTTTGTTTGGTGTGTTTGTTTTCAATCACCGAGTAATGCTTTTTAATTAATGTGAGTTGCTAATGAAGGTTTTCTGATAATTTATTACTGTTAGCATGAGATGTGTAGTAAAAGAGCATTATGTAAAAAAGAAGATTCGGTTAATAAAAAAAAAAAAGACCAGAATACCTATAATCATTATTGCACATATCAAAAAGTGAGAATGACTTCAGTAAGTTACTGTTACTTACTCCAGCAGTAGATGGATGAGATGGGATGGAGGATACCGTTGTCTGCTGGGTAGCAACTGAAGATGATCGTTGCTGTGGGAGCTCTGTGGTTTTTGCATGTTTGTAAGCTGAAAAGGGAGAAAATGGTTTATTAGGAGAAAACGTGACTAGACCTCATTTAATCTGTGATTAGCAACTGAGCTAATCTTTTCCCCTAATTTAAAAAGAATGATTTCCAAGATTGGAGGAATGAAAATGAAATAGCTAACTGCGTGTACCTCTCCACAATTCTAGTCCTCTCATTAGAAGAAAGGATCCAGATGTTTTTTGTTGTGTTTTTACTCAAAGCATCTCTTAACAGTAACCTCCAGGGAGCTAGCTGGTTGGCCGTGGCTGTCAAGGTCAGGGCCATCCACGTGTACCTGGTGAGGTTGCAGAGAAGAAGACGCCCCCGTCGCTGTAGGTGGAGAGGTGGGCACCTTCTGAATGCTCGGACTTCTCCTCGCCGCCACTGACGCTCAGCGCGCTGGCAGATCGAGACTGCTCCCGGCTCCGGCGCTGAGCTTGTGCTGGGGAGGTAAGATCCATTGGAGAGGGAGCAGAGGTGAAACTTTTTATAGCAGCAATGCCTAACGGTAATTGACTCTCAGTTGGCTTTTGTTTGTGTCATGCATGCAGGGTTTTAAGTAGATTTCTGTGGATTAAACCCTCAAAAACTCTTATGATGCATTTTCCAGATGACAGTTTAATCACCCAAGGTCCCCTATCCGTTAAGTGGTACAGCCAGGCTTCCAATCCCAGAGTCTGTCCTTGACTACTACTCCATCCCTCTATCCTGCTCATTTTCCGGGCTCACTAAAATGAACAGATAGTAATGTGCACAAATTCCACCTTTCAACTTCTACAGAACGTGCCCCCTAACTTCCAAATTTATTTAGATACACTTTCTCTGTGTTTCCGCAATCTGTGTGCAGACCTTTAAAATTGTACATGTCAGGGTGTAACCACTGATTTACTGGTCTCTCTTCATCAGTGGACTAGAGTATAAATCCTTTGAGACTTATAGGCACTACATATTGTTTTACTTTTAACATGAATAGAAGGCATAAAGGTATGTGGCCTGTTTCGTTGAGTGGCTAATCTTCCTTGACATAAGAGTTCAGAAAGTTGTTAAAGGGCAAATCCATTCTCTTCCCTTTGCTTATGTATTTCTTTTTTTTTTTTTCCATTATTTCTCCAACAGAAAGATGTACTACCTTTTTTTCTTTAGGAAAAAAAAAAATGATAATGGGGACTGAAGGGGACTTATCCTTAGGCAGTGAAACAATCTTTCCTAACTTGAACTTGTCTAGAAAATGAGCTTGGCCCACTAGTCAAGGAGGTGTTCTTATGCTGAATGGGTGACTCAGGAAATTGAAAGCCCTGGAGGAGACGAACTTCTGAGCCTAAAAGCCACTGGCACTAGCCCACTAAATGGTGATGTTTACGTCGTAAGCCTTTTGTGGCATCACATACCATTAATCATGTGTAAGCTTCGGGACTGAATGTTGTCTTCTGCTGGATCATAGTCAAAAACTGAGCCAGGATTTGTACGCCAGACACGTAAACCTGAAAGTGAGATTCAGGATCAGCACAGATGTTCTTGGATGCTTGTGATAGCTTGGAGACCAAGGCATGAACCTAAACAACCACAGGCAGATTGAATAACACTCATTGAGCTTAGTTCTAGGAGGGGAACAAAGCATAAAGTAGATTTCAGCTTTGCAAACAGTGAAATGATAGGGGTTTTCTTTCACATCTAATGAAAACACAGATTGAGGTCCTCTGGCCTTTGCTTTGCTCTAGATAATGTCACTTGTGTTCTTCTACCTTCCTTAACTTAACGTTGATTTTTCTCCCCAGGCTCCAATTACCTGTAATAGTTTCCTGATCCTGGTCATTCCGTTTTTGTTCCATTTCTACCACTTTTCTCTGAATACCTCGGTAGTTAATGTCACTGAAGTCCTGTGTGTTCTTCTTTACTCGTTCAGTGATGGGGTCTGTCACCACTGGTGTGAAGCAACCCTTGTGTTTCTCGAAGTCTTCATGGTATTTCACCTGAAATTTCACGAGTTCACTTGGTGAAAATAGGATGGTGTGATCATTTCCTTTTTTACATGTTCCAACAGGCCGTCCACCCAATCTGAGGAATTCCTCACTCACCGTTGAGATGTGGCGTTGGGTCTCCCTCACCCGTCTCATCTCTGGCGTGTCCAAGACATAGGCAGCTTTGCCTTGTATTTGTTTCCGGAAGCTATCAGAATAAAGCACCTGACAGAGGAGAGACCATGAATGAGGACAGGTTGTGGTACCATCCTAATTCTGAAGCCTCAAAACCTTTCCAACAGATGGAGGTGAAAGAAACTGGGGAGGGAAGCTTGAGTCACCTGAAAAGCCCCAGCTAGCCCGTGGCTGACAGAGGAACAGTTAGCATGAGGGTGGACAGGCAGGGCTTGAATGAGACAAAGGATTTCTTTTGAGTTTGAGGAGACAGGGCAAAGTATAATTTTGAAAGGAAGGGGAAAAAGTGATCTCTTGAATTTGCTGGGAATTGTAGCACCAGCACATTGGATGATATTTGGAGCTAAACGTGATACTGACGTTTGAAAGAACTATCCTTTAAGACAAGTGATCATTTTTTGAAGGATTATGTCCAGATTTCATAAACCAATATGCTAATACAGAAATCAAAGTCTCAGAAATGAAAAACCCAAAATATCAAAGTCAGAGAAGGCTTCCATTTCAGAGTATTACCTGTTTCATAAGGTATCTTAAAAAAGTATTGCTGAAGATTGAGGATGTTAGGAAGTCAATTTGTTACACTTGGTTACATAAGACTACCTCAGAGTAAAGTAAAACGGAAGAGGAAACACTGGCAATTAACTTGTTATGTCTTAGTACAGTCATTTGGAATTTAAAAGCACAGTTATGTTAATTTTAGTGTGAATTTTCAGTTGAATAAAAACACTTTTTTATGATGTTAAAATGTTATTTTCCAAGTTGTTGCACTACTCCTTCTTTAGTCCTAGAAAATACCGAGCTAATGTTTTCTTGGTTGCGCTTAGCTCTCTCCATCTCTGGAGTGACCGGTGTCGGAGTTGCTTTTCTCATATTCTCTTTGTACAATACCTAGAGGGGCCAAGAGAGCATCCAGATATCAGAGAGCAGAAACCCAGTTCTGAAAACCATCATCGAGCTGTTGTTATGGCTCAGTTATGTCACACTCTATAAAAACACCTCAAGAAGAGAAAGCCATTAAAGTGTTATTGTAGAAAGCAAAAAGTGACGAAAAAAGTAAATCAGGTGAGCCGGTGGGGTTGGTATGTCATTTTTAAGTAGGTAAAGAAGAATTTTAAAAGATAAAAGTTTTGGGGAAACTGTGAGATAAGTTAGTGGTATAACCATGTTTGCCAGACTTGTTAAAAGTGTCACCATTTCTTTTTTCCTCTCTCAAATACCGAGCTAAAGTTTTCTTGATTGCGTTTGACTCTTTCCATCTCGGGAGTAAAGAGTGCGGGGGTGGCTTTCCCCAGGTTCTCTTTGTATAACACCTGTGAGATACAAAGGTGGACCTGAAAGTCACTAGGAGGCAGTATTCAGGCTATTCAATATAATGCAATTTGGGGGAGAAAACTCCAGGTTTAATCTATTACTATTAGTACAACTCTAGAAGAAAGCTTAAAAAAGTTAATGGCAACAGTAAATGTATATCATTTAGGGGAGATTGTAAAAAGCTGGCGTCTTGTTTGTTTTAACCTGAGATGGAGTTAGGAGCAGGTCAAATGGCAGGGGTTACTTTGCAAAATTAAAAGCACTTTCATTTCTCAAGACAATACCGAGCTAATGTTCTCTTGATTGCGTTTGACTCTCTGCATCTCTGGAGTGACAAGGGTTGGGGTGCCTTTCCCCACATTTTCTTTGTACAAAACCTATATGAGTCCAATGGATCCAAAAAGCCAAAAAGAAAAAAAGAATTGCAGTTACCAAAAGATTAAACAGAACAGATCATTTGTTAGGAGGCTCAGGGTGCTAAACCATTTGGGCAATAAGGTTAGATGGAAAGAAATACATTTCCAAAACAAGTTGATGTAGTTACAGCAAGACACATTTCTAGGTTAGGACCCTGCCCTGAAATCCTTACAGCCTGCAAGACAGAACTGCAGTTTTTGTGCCTAGTTCTGGGATGTGGGGCAGGGATGGGAAACTGCCTTCACTCTCCCACTAATCTATGCATGTCGAGCTCCTGACAGATCATCTCACAGGACTTAGGGGCATGCGCTTGAATAACACAGAAGGTGGAGGCTGCTCCCTAAATAGCATAGGGAGACTGGACCCTTTTGCCACACTTGAACTCACATAGACACATCAGGAAAATGTATCCTTGCTATCATCTGTGCTCTGCCTCTTGCTTTAGTTCAGTACATCATCATACGTAGTAAGGAAAAATGTTTTCAGCAATTAGATCACTATCATGGTAAGTCAATAGGAAACATTGTGATAAATTCCCAGCCTCGCTGTCACCTCAGTGTCATTCTTGGGGTCACAGGAGTTTCGGGATATGGCATTCAAGAGGAAGAATTCTGTCAAAGAAGTGGTTCTCAAAGCTGAAGTCTCTGGATAGCAAGGTCAGCATCACCTGAGACCCTGCTGGAAATGCAAACTTTCTGGCCCACGCCAGATCTACAGAATGAGAGACCGTGGGCTTCCCGGTGATTCTAATGCACACTAGTCTCAGGAGTCCTGCGTTCCAGTATCCGAGGAACCTGCAGACAGTGTAGATGCGGAGGGCCGCTGGCGCTTCACTGCGTACGCTAATGTCCCCACACAAACCCCAATGCCCCAGCAGTCTATAAACGTATAAAATATCACAGAGCGCAGGCTTACAGAAAACGGCTTAATTTACTAAAATTAGCAGCTGAAGACCATGATAAATACAGAAGAACAAAGAGAACTAAAATTGGTAAAACAAAAAACAGTTCGAGTGACACTTTCATTTTTAAGTAAATTGACATTCATTTGCCAAAACCACTACTGGATCTTAAATTTATGTCGTTATCCCTGAAGGAGAGGATTAGGGGTTATTTTTCCCCAAGGTCTCTTTGTCCAAATCCGGCAGGGTAAATTAGAACCTAAAGTCAGGTGCAAAAACACAACTCCACTGTCTAGAAAGAGCCCTGTCCACACCTACTACGCCACTCCCCAAATTTCACAAGTACATAAAACAAAGAGACCTTAGGGGTAATGGATAGAGTGTAAGTTTAGGGAGAGAGGAGCAAAAGGATGATTTATTACTTTCTGATATTAGAACTTTAAAATATGGATTAAAGCAACCTTGTTATTATGGAGTTAAGTCTAGGAGTAGCTCTAAAGGGAAGAAGGATAAATGTGATTAAGAAATTCACAAAATTTCAGTTGTCTTTAAAAAGTAGGATTAATATGTATTATTTTAAATCATTAAAGAAGTAGTTTCTTTTTTTTCCTTGCCAAAGTACCGAGCTAATATTTTCTTGATTGTGTTTGACTCTCTCCATCTCTGGAGTGACAGGTAAAGGGGTTCCCTTGCCCATGTTTTCTTTGTATAACACCTGTGTGATGAGAAAGCATCCAGAAAAACAACCATAAGTAACATTTCATTTGTTGTGAGATTTTAAGGGTCAGTTCAACTTCCTTGTTATCAAATGACACAGTAGTCCGAGGAGCCAGGAGTTATGTGCTAACAAGATGCCACAAAAAAATTTAATGATAGCCACTTTTGGGATTAGCAAACTGACACTATCTGGGGTAGCAGGGCCCTTAGTTGCTGGGGAAAGACTGGAGTTATCCTCCCAAACAGTCACGTGGGGATTTGAGATTGTTAGAACTTGGTTGTGTTGTTATCCAAGCAAACTAAAAGAAAAAAGGTTTCAAAAAACATTTTTTTAAATGCCAGATATAACAGAAATCAGAATTAACTTGAAAAAAAAATCCATAGTAGTACCACAGAAACGTGAAAGTATGTCCTTTTGCTAAGTGAGGTATGTTAGAAGCAAAGGAAGGGAAGTGGATTTAAAAGAAGAATAAATGTTAAGAATCAACTTAATTATGAGATTAAATGGCATCTATTTTCCCTTTTTTTCCAAAATACCGAGCTAAGGTTCTCTTGATTGAGTTTGACTCTCTGCATCTCTGGAGTGATGGAGATTGGGATTCCTGTGCCCAGGTTTTCTTTGTATAGCACCTGTGTGATAGGAAAGCATCCAGAACAAAAAGAGCAATCAGCCACTCTCCCCTTCTTGCAGAGCAGCTGGGAGTAGGACAAGGAGGAAGAGAACCAGTTAGAGGAAGGGAAATACCAGAAGCTTCTAGAGCCAACCTGTAGGAGCCTAAAGACGTCCTTAAAAGCAAGGGAATGCCGGAAGGAGCAGGGAAACTAAGAAATTTGAAAGAATTTTACTGTTTTGTTGAACTAGTCTCTGCATTAGTGAGCAAAGGAGAGCACCATGGAAGGGAACGATGAGCTGCGCCCCCCAGCTTGTTATGAGGTTGGGGAAAAAAGGGCAGAGGCAGAAGGAGAACCAAGGAAGTTATTTTGATTTGGAAATGTTATTAATAAACCACATAAGGATATTTAGGTTTAATAAACACTGCATATATGAAGATGCATACACACAAGTCTTCTTTTGTTGATTTTCAAAAGAAGTCAAGGTATTTAATTTTTAGTTTAGGTGAACATATTGGGAAGAATTAATTATATTTAAGTGGAGAACAGTGACAAAATGCTAGAAAAAAAAATAACCTGAAAATATCTATACAAATACCAGTAGAGACCAAGAAGGTTAGAATAGGAAATGAAGCCAACAGTTTAAATTTATTTGCAGAATAAATTTTTGTAAGCTTTACGTTCAAATGAAAGTTGCCAAAGCAGGATAATGTGGGTGCCTAGAGACTGGGAATGCTATGTTTTTAAACATATTGGAATATCATATTGAACATTTTTTAAGTGATGTTAATGTTCAACCAAAATGGGGAAATGGATTCATGGGAAATGGCAGCATTAAGTTGCAAACAAGACACAAGACGTGTCAAAGTTTTTACTGGGATAAGTTGATTAGGTTTTAAAATATAGCCATTAATCTTTTTAAAAAATGGTTTAAAATTAGTTAAAGGGTTTTTTTGTTTGTTTGCTTTTTAAATACCGAACTAAAGTTTTCTTGATTGTGTTTGACTCTCTCCATCTCTGGAGTGATGGGAACTGGAATCCCTTTCCCGATGTTTTCTTTATACAACACCTGTACGATACAAGAAAGCATCCAGAAAAAAAAAGAGCAGTGAAAAACAGCCCTTTCATCTATCGTGTAAGGAACGTACTATGAAACACAGACGTCAAACAGGAAAGACAAATTCACCAAGTCAATCTGTTTTTTCAAGCACAGATCTGGATGAAAACATGCTCCATATTTCCTTGGCTAAAGTGCTGGTGTATTTGATGTTCAACTTTTAAGCTAACTCATATATTAAATGTTGGTTTTCTGTGTTAGGAATTAAGAAAAAAAATTAATTTCATAAAATTACTAAAATACTTAGTGTACAATAGAAAGGTTATTTTTTAATTAGATGGGCAAATATTTATTTTCCCTACACAGAACATCTGTTTTACAGAATAACAGATATTTTAAACCCTAGGTCAAATCTATACAATATAGGAAATTGGTCTTTCTTGGGTAAATTCAAGTTATAGAGGTGGTCAAGTCTAAATACATAGCACTGTTTATCTTCCATAGAATCTTAAAGGCTCTATGCACCAGTGGATATAAATTGCCTAAATGCAACCTATGTAAAAATTAACACAAATGGTTACTTAAAAGAAAGAAATTGTCCAGGATCATCAGGATCATTAATATCTCAAATAGATAGGAAGAATAATATACTTACTATAATACAGAAGAAAATGATTTTTAAATAGTTTTGAAAATTAATGTAAACCTTTCCAAAAGAAGGAATAATAATATATACCTATAGGGAAAACAGTGAATATAACATTCCGAAAATAATATCAATTTATACCGAAAATTTAATAAAATCAAAAGGTTGTTAGTGAATAGTAATTAAAAACAAAAAAGCAAAACAAAACAAAAAGACAGTGGGACCAAAGAAAGTTACTTAATTGTGTGAAAGAATCAAACTTTCAGAAAATATTGAAATGGAGAATTAAAAAACATTTTGGATCAAAACTCGCCCTACCTACCTGCCCCCCCCCCCCCAAAAAAAATCCAGCTAAATTTTCCTAATGACATTTGATTCTCCATCTCAGGCATAAGTAAATCTAAGATCCTTATATAAAAGTTTCACAGACTATTGAGTAGTATAGAGTTTTTTAGCAACAAAAATATTAATAAAAGAGAAAATAACATTAAATATAGACTCACGATCTAATTTGTATATTTTTTAAAAGATCAGAAGATCTGGATTTCAATTCATGGAATGGCTTGTTTAGAACAAGTATCAAGATAAGATTGCTTTGGGTTCCAATACTGAGTGATTTTCTTTCTTGGTGCTCTGTTTATCCAGATAGGATCTATGTTAAGCTAAACCTTGTCCCTAGCAAAGGCCACTATTTCTACACATGGCCTCAAGTCCTGTGTCTTTCCTTTCAATGCTAACGCAGCTACATCAAATAAAAATATTCCCAAGTAAATAAAGCTATAGTGTTTGGGGGTTTTGGACATCAGTTAACTTCAAAAGTCCCATAAAACATGAAAAGGGAAGGAAAAGAATCAATGAAACGTTTTAAGGGACTATTATAGGAAGTATAAAATGTTAGAATCAAATGGTGAGTAAAAGATCTGGAAAACAGAAAAATTTAGTTGATGAGTTTTTTTTTTTAGAAAAATGTGTTAAACTGATTATTTTAAAGGAACTAACAGAAGTTTTGTTTTATACAACGGTATTATCTTTTTTTTTTAATGCGAGTTAAAAGAGCTTTCTCCCAAGTACCGAGCTAAAGTTCTCCTGGTTGTGCTTGACCCGCTCCATCTCGGGAGTGACTGGGAGGGGAGTCCCCTTGCTCAAGTTCTCTTTGTACAGAATCTGTGTGCACAAAATCAACAATCAAATCAGCCTGGACCCATTGTTTAGGAAGACTTAGCTTTTAAAATAGGTTCTAAAAGTATTTTTGCTTGTTTGTTTTCATAATGACATAAATTGGCCTAAATAACTTTAAGAAATAGAACAAGTACAGATCACCTTTGGCCGTTTCATCACATACAGTATGAGGTCTGTCAGTAAGAGGCATTCATAGCGACCGAGCTGCCAGGCTGCAGGAGGAGTCAGTCACTTATATAAGCCTTCTCTCAAAGACAAGGACTCGGCCTTATCAGAGACAACTCAAGTTAACTGAAATTTACATGCCTCATGAGTTGTTGGTAACTCTAAATTAGTGAACCAAAAAAAGGGGGGGGGTTGGGGGAACAAAATAAGTATTAAAAGCTAAATAAATATTAGCTTTCAATGATCCTGAAACTATTCCAAGGAAAGCTCATTTATCTCTCTCGTGATACACCAAAAATAGCTGAGCCAAGTAAATTCTGTATTTCTGAGTTACTCTGAATTGCTATGTTGTCTTTGGAATGAAAATGTTCAAGAATCACATTCTTTTAAGAAGAGCTGCAAACAAAATACATCAAACAGCCACAATAAATACACATAAAATTCTAGCTAACATTATCCTTTCGGAGGCATGTTAGATTTTACTTTTGACTTGCGCCACACCAGTTAGAAACACCTACTGTTATTCAAGGGGAATTTGAGGAAGGAAACACTAAGTATTACAGGTTTTTAAGGAATGTGATCAATAGCTACGTTTTAGGAAAAACAGTTAAAATTTCACAGCAGAACTAAAATACTAAATTAGATTTGGGTTGAAAACTGAGGTAATATTTGGTATCATTATTTTCATTATATGAATTTAGTATTTTTACAGGAAAATTATATATTGGTAATGTGTTAAAAATATTATTTTAAATAAAAAATAAGGGATTTTATTTTTTGGCCCCTAAGAAATACCGAGCTAAAGTTCTCTTGATTGCGTTTGACTCTCTCCATCTCTGGAGTGACAGGGGTTGGGGTTCCTTTCCCCAGATTTTCTTTGTACAAAACCTGTGAGATACAAGAAAGTACCCAAAAGACATTCAAAACAAACACAAAGATTAAGGAAGAGAGAAGATGGGGGGCAGGGGGTGGGTGTGAGGAGGGGGTTTTTTAGTGAGTAATATTTAGTAAGGATAATGCTTTTATTTTTTACTTCACATTTTAAGGATAAACTCTACAATGCTAATTCTGGGCATGAAAAGGTACCACAGAAAAGGTTGAGTTATGAATGGTGAGGAATCTTATGTTAATTCTATTTACAGTATTTCAGATCTAAGTGCTCACACTTGTCAGTCGCCAAAAGTGTTAAAATACCATCAGAAAATTGAGTCATTTTGTGTAAGTCCAGATGGTCTTGGTCAGGTGGAACACACATACACACACGGACACACACAAAATTGGTGTTAAGATGTTGCTTTTTAAAAAAGGATGATGGGTTATTCCGGTAATTTTTTTAATGGGAAATCAAGTATCTTATTTGATATATTTGTAAATACCGAGCTAAAGTTCTCTTGATTGCGTTTGACTCTCTCAATCTCTGGAGTGACAGGGGTTGGAATGCCTGTTCCCAAGTTTTCTTTGTACAAAACCTGTAGAAGATAATTAGAACATCTAAAAAAGTAAAATGACCACGAATCCTTTGGATTACAGCTATATGTGGGCTATTTGGTGGAAACTCATAAAAGCAATCTAGCCTTCAAACATGACACTCAGGGAATAAGGAAGGAAATGCCACAAATATCTATGTTCTCTCTTCAAAAGTAGTAATTTTACTACCTTGAAGACTGTACTAAATTATGCATTTTCTGTAGTCAACATTTAGTACATTCCTTAAATGCATTAAATAGTGCTAATGAATTTAACAATGAAAAAAGTCTAACCATTTCATAACATCTAGTATTAGTCCCTTGAATATAATGGGTCCACAATAGATTTGTACTTCAATAGATGGCTTGGCTTAGATTTTTCTAATCATGTGATCCTCTGTTCCTTCACAGTTGTTGAGAATTTTCTGTTTGTTTTGTATTTTCTTCTGAAAATTCCTAGCTGGCCTTTAGACTGCACGTACCCTTAATGCAAGGAGACTTAAACAGTTTATTTTTCCAGGAAGAGCATTTTTCTCTGAAATTTTTACTGATGATTGCTGGATCTTGCCAATTAGTGTTTTTGAACAGGGAAGAGTCCCTATTCTGGGTAGTGTCAAAGGACTGTAAATGTTAATGAAACAAGTAAGGAACTTCCAGAGCCTCTTAGCTTCTTCCATTCCTCCCTCCCTCCCAATGTTAAGAATTTTCAGCCTAAAGGAAGGAATGAATTCTTTTTAAATGGATGGATTCTATGTTGCACTAGAGCACAGGCTGGGGAGCAACACAGAAATCCTAGGGGTTTGTGTCACAGATTAATTCCTAAAATCACTGACAAACTAGTGTTGATTTCTTTGCTAGGAAACTTTTCGGGATCTTTAAATATCTACCATCTTGGTACAAAGTTGTATTTCTTTACTAGGCAAGGCAACGGAACAGATCGTGGACCACAGAACAAAACAAAATCAGAGAAAGGCAAGAAGTTGCAATCAGAAGCAGCAAAGGAGATGCGGGCTGGTTTTCCTGGATTAGTGGACATGTAATTCTAAATGCAGTCTGTACCACTGGGAGCCAGAGTATATGCAGGGAATGCGAAGGGAATGAGGTCTAAATAATACAAACGACTTGCAAGAGAAATAGCAACTGTCTTCTAATGGAAATTAAATGAGAGTTCAGGCCTCCAGGGGCCAGGCGGATCTCTGAAACCAAGATCCTCACCTTTTATGGGCCATCAACTATTTCCCAAACTTCACACAATCTTTTGCTAGTAGCCGGCAATTGCTTAGAAACTGCTTACGGATGGAAGGGCGGCTCGCTGGGGGAGGGGGGACGGGGGGGGTGGGTGGGCGGAGACGGGGCTAGCTGGACAGAAGGTCGGGAGAAATGTGTACTAAACCTGATATTTCAGGTGTGGGAGAATCCCACCTCCCCCAAAACACACACTGCGCACAGGTGCCAGCATTCCTGTTAGAGAACAGGGTTAAGGTATAATATACCCTTGTGGGTAGATGACAGCCAGCGCCTTGAACACGCGCTGTATTTACAAGGAGAGAGCAGAGGATACAGGGCAAGGGAGGGGAGGTGGCCGCGGAGACGTCGCTAGGCTGCCTAGGGTCTTCTGGACCGTGGAGAATGCCCTGAGGTATGTATATACATCCATGCATGTATACATATTTCTTTTCTATTACTTTTATGTTTATATGTATATGCTTTTGGTTAACTACCTTGAGATCATCCCAATAAACTTATTACTACAGTCGGCACATTTTATTTTAGAAACTGCAGGTATGATGAGCAATCACGAAGCCTAGTGCCTTGTGCTCCTTGATTACGTAAAGACAGAGTTTCCTCTTCTGCTTTTGCAAACCGCACTGCCCCTCACAGGGCAGGGAGGATTCGCGCCATCTCCGGGCTTGGGAAGCCCAGCAAAAGGGAGACGGGGTGAGACAAGCCAACCGGCGGGGGGAGGGCTGAGTACGGGGGAGGGGCCGGAGGCGCGTTACCGAGCTGATGTGCTTCTGTGTCTCCTTGACGCGCTTCACTTCAGGCAGGTCTGGGATGGGGGTTCCTTGTCCAACCGCCTCCTTATACTTCACCTGCGGGTGTAAAAGTGGGAACGTGTGCATGCGTTTGATGAGTAGCCCCGCGACGTGCGAAGTCGCAGTTTAAACAGCACAAAACCTATGCTTAGGGGGAAGGGGGCCACATGCTGATACTGGGTCCGTGCCAAGGACACGGACATTTGGGCTCTCTCTGGTCTCTTTGGGGTGGGGTCCACACTTAGACTGAAGCCCCTTCTCTTCCCTGGGGTCTCCCATGTCTTACAGCCACAGTTCATTGGCCCAGGATGGACACACTCACATATACACACCAGGAAGAGCCAGTCTCTGACTCTCACAACTGCTACTTTCTTACAGGTGACAATGAGTCTCTTCTTGACCAAACTTGAGTCAGGCTCCTCTGAACTTTCTTCCCAACTAGGCCTTGAGCTTCGGACTTCCTAGACCATCTCTGCACCTCCCAATTTTAGCCAGAAACCTGCTAAGTCAGTTTAGCCAAAATCCCCCACCCTGGATGTCTCATCATCCTTGATATCTGATCAAATTCCTTAACGCCCTCTGCCCCCAATCCCCCAGGAGAAGTCTGATCACCTTGACCTGCCTCCAGCAAAAATCCTGGTAGGTCGGTTTAGGCAGAATCCCCCATTTACCCGCGATGTTTCTTCTGAGTAATTTTCCATCCACTGATCCTTTCTCCACACCCCGACCTCCCCATCCCCCCATCCCTGTCCAACCATCCCCGCCCCCATAAATCCCTCCTTTCCCTTGTTGTATTTAGAACTGAGCTCAGCTCTATACCGAGATCTCTTTTCCCCTATATCGCAATTGTCCTGAATAAAAATCTTTTTGTTGTTGTTTTAACTGCTTAAACTGTCCAGCCCTCGTTTGCTTTGACACAGGCCTCTCCATTTTTTACATCTAACCAGCCCTCATGAAAACTGCCTCGGCACTGCATTATGAGATGACCCTTATTTTAGCAACTTAAGCTGCTTCTGGTGACAAAAGTCATGAGTGCAGCTCAGACATCAGTGTAAATCTTCAAAGGCGAGCAGAAAATTTTGGAAGTCCCCAGTGGCTGTCTTTACCGAGCTAATATGGTCCTGGGTTTGCTTCACTCTCATCATCTCGGGTGTCTTTCCAATCGCCGTTCCTGGTGAGACATCTTCTTTATATAAAACCTGGGCATTCAGAATCAGGACAGTGTTACACAGAAGAAAGGAAAACCCAGCAATTCCTGGAGAAAGACTAGGAAACTTGGCTTCTGTGAAAACAGAAGACACTACAGAATGTTCTTAGGCAAGTGCTGGAGTATCTGGACTGTCTTCTGCATCAGCATCAATAACTCAAACCATGTACACAACACACACATCTAAATTTCCAGATCTTGAAATTTCTTTTAAGATTATCATACTGTATTAATACATGATGAGAAAAACCAGAAAATGTTGGTTAAAAAACCCTCCCATGTGAAACACAAAATCCATTAAAGAAATACAAAGTCAGTTATTTTGGGCAAGGATAATAAATCACAGTGTCAGAAAGAAATCCATCTTCTGGAGCAAGACAACACGTTACTGCTCTGGGATTTAAAAAGTTAAAAAGAAAAAAGCTCCTTTGTTAGCAGATGTAAGTTGTTATTTCAAATGGTCTCTGGGGTGATGATTTTAGAGCAAAGTATGGGGAATTTTAACAACTGCTAGCATTAACTGAGGAGGTTAGATGTTAATTGTCTGAATCAACATACGGCTAGTATATTTTCAAAGAGGAGCCTGATATTATTAGGTTAGCATTAAATGGAAAATAAATAGTAAATATACCGAGCTGAAATTCTTTTGATTTTCTTTAACACGCAGTATTTCTGGCGTGTCTTGAACAACTGTAATTTTTCCTTTACTGTTTTTAAGGTCACACTGGTATTGAAGCTATGAAAAAAGAGCAAACATCTTGGTAAGATTTCAACATTGTTTTATATATTGTATTGTCCTATATTGTGTAAAAAGTTAAAATCTTATATTTAAAAAAAAATTTCTACGCTACAATAATCATAGTCACATAGCCAACGGGAATTTCTTTAATAAGAATTTTGTGAAGAAACTAAATTTTTAAAGCCCTAAAACTAGTTTTAAAAAAAATATATATATAGGGCTTCCCTGGTGGCGCAGTGGTTGAGGGTCCGCCTGCCGATGCAGGGGACACGGTTCGTGCCCCGGTCCGGGAAGATCCCACATGCTGCGGAGCGGCTGGGCCCATAAGCCATGGCCACTGAGCCTGCGCGTCCGGAGCCTGTGCTCCGCAACGGGGGAGGCCACAGCAGTGAGAGGCCCGCATACCGCGGTAGGTGTGGAGGGCTGCTGCAGATAGATATGCAAGCATGTGTGCCCAGAGGCATCCTTCTTGCCCTGTCTCATCCCAGGTACCAGTGAGCTGTGTCTTAGATTCAATAAAAACTCACAAGGCTGAAATTCTTTTGGTTCTCCCGGATCCTCTGCATCTCTGGGGTGTCCAAAACGGTCTCATAATATGACATGCACTTCTCTGCATCTTCCTTGTACTTTTTCTGGAAATAGATTCCAAGAAATAAGGATAGGGAATAACACAGGGATATGGGCCAATGGGACCTAAAATAGCCCTTCCTGCTCAGCAGAGGGGAAGTCCTTTATATTTTTTTGACTATTTAAGGATGTTAGGGAGTTATAAAACAGAGCCCTCTGGGTCAGTGAGTGCCACGCCTTTTCTTTCCAGGAGAACTGAGCCCAGGCATTTAATAGGACCCATTGTCATGGCAAAGCTGGCAGAGGGAGGCCCCTGTGGACTGGTCCACACAAGGGAGGTTGACAGCCCCTGAGGTTCCTGGCAGGGACTTGGGGATGTCTACAGTGAACTGGATGGAGCCAGATTATTCAACAGGCAGGTGGAGAGAAAAGCAGGAGGGTTAAGAGCCATCAGCAAGGCCTCCTGAATGCCAGGCCTTGGTTGGTGACAAGGATATTTTTGCTGAGCTGTGAGCAGGTGTGGTCCAGGCTCCTGGCCAGAGCTCCCAGGGTGGGACCAGGAAATCTACATTCCCAGGTGTTTACGAAGTATAGTCAGGCCAGGCAACTACTGCTTTAGAACTCACTGATCGGGAGACAAGCAAACATTCTAATTTGGGGCTACTCAAGTAAATTGCAGATTCCTGATCAGCAGTGAAGATTAAAACAAATGAGGGTACATCCTGGTGTATGAAGGACATCTTACTTTTCTTTATCTCTCTATTTGTAGGAAGATGGAGAGTTACCCATCATAAGAGGAATCAGGGTTAGATTGTGTGGTTAGCGTTGATGACATAATCTCAATCTTATTAAAAAAAAATTGATAATCCAAATGTGGGAGGTCTACTTTGTTTCTTCCAGATTTGCACACAAATTTCACATCCACATTATGAGACTGATTCTTTAATTACGGGTGGTAACTCATGCCTGTTAGAATGGCCATCATCGAAAAGACAAGAGATAACAAATGCTGGTGAGGATGTGGAGAATAGTGCACTGTTGGTGGGATTGTAAACTGGTTTTGACACTATGGAAAACAGTATAGAGGATCCACAAAAAATTAAAAACAGAACTACCATACGATCCAGAAATTCCACTTCTAGGAATATATCCAAAGGATTCGAAAACATTAATTTGAAATACCCTCACTTTCATGTTCATAGCAGCATTATTTACAATAGCCAAGACATGGAAACAACCTAAGCGTCTATCAACAGATGATGGATAAAAAAGTTGTGGTAGGGGCTTCCCTGGTAGCACAGTGGTTGAGAGTCCGCCTGCCGATGCAGGGGACACGGGTTCGTGCCCTGGTCCGGGAAGATCCCACATGCCGCGGAGCGGCTGGGCCCGTGAGCCATGGCCGCTGAGCCTGCGCGTCCAGAGAACTGGGCTCCAAAAAGGGAAAGGCCAAAAAAAGGAGAGGCCCCCGGAACAAAAAAAAAAAAAAAAAAAAAAAGTTGTGGTATATATGTACAATGGAATAAAAACTGAGAAAATCCTGCCATTTGCGACAACATGGGTGGACCTTGAGGGCATTACATTAAGTGAGATAAGTCAGACAGAGAAAGACAAACACTGTATGATGTCACCTATTTGTGGAATCTAAAATCAAAACAAGTGCCTAGAAAAGGTGATCAGATTTGTGGTTACCAGAGGCGGGAGACTCATGAGGGTGAGGTGGAACTGGAGAAAGGTGGTCAAAAGTGACAAACTTCCAGTTATAAGATACATAAGTACTAAGGATGTCATGTACAGCATGACGACGACTACAGTGAATGCAGCTCTAACACAGCTCTATGTTACATGTGAAAGGTGTTAAGAGAGTAAATCCTGAGAGTTCACATCACAGGGCAAAATTTTTGTCTTTTTGTTTTGCTTTCTCTCTTTACTGTATCTCTATGAGATGATGGATGCTATCTAAACTTATGGAAGCAATCATTTCACAGTAAATATAAGCCAAACCATTACACTGTACACTTTAAACTTATACAGTCATATATGTCAATTTTGTCTCAATAAAACTGGAAAAATAAATTAAAAAAAATTATGGGTGGTACCATGTAAGAGTTCTTCAGTACCTTAAAATTCCCTCCTTTATTTTAATTCTGATACGGAAACCTCAACTCTAACTCAAACTTGCATCATAGACGAACCCCTTCTTTTTCACTGGGAAAAACTGTGATTTGAAAGAATCTTCTTTGGTATTAATGGAAAGACTTGTTCTTCATGATTGGGGGTCAATAACTGATGTTCTGATGAATGTCCTTACCTGGCTTGAAAGGTTCTTGACTTGTTGGGCGTGAATGATCTCCGGAGTATCAACCACAGAAGTAAAATTGGCTTTTTCCATTTCTGCTGATTGCTTATACTTAACCTGCAAAAGGACATCCAATAGTTGGGTAAATGTTTACAATGTGCACATCTGTTGGCTTAGTTTGACTAAGAAGTGATTAATAGTTCTTATCCAAAAGGATTCATTCATTTGCTAGCCAACATTTTTTCCCTATTGTGTCTATAGCTTTATGCTAAAGAGTGAGATTCAGAAAGAAAGGTTGAGTCCTAGCTGTTGAAAGGCTTACTATCTAGTTGGGGGCGGGGGCAGGGTGGTGTTGGGTAGGGTATGGGAAAGCAGAAGGAGAGAGATAATCAACAGACAGTAGGAGAAGGACAGATGAAAGCAGCCCTGGCAAAGGGCCCCTGATCCTTTCATCAGAATGCATTCCACCATGTGGATATTTAGGGATGCCACTATATGTGTTTAACTGTAATTGATCAACAAGTAAGACAACAGAAGGACAACACTGTGTCCTTGTAATCACAGCTACTTTTTTTGTTGAAAGACTGACATGGAACAGTAACACTGACCTGACTGGCAATATCTGTAGCATTCCTGGCTCTGAGGAAGTCGGGAGTTTCATTGGCCATGGCATTCAGGCCTCTTCCTTTGACTTCCAGCTCCAGGTCTCTCTTATATTCTTTCTATAGTAGCATTAAAAAAAAAAAAAAAAAAGTTACTTAACTCATGACTAGGTAATAAATGTGCAGAGTGAATACAGATCCACATAACATGCCACCTCAGTTGCTGATGTCACCTTCACCTTTCCCTGTGGCAGGATGGAGTGGTGACAACAGCAGACCACTTTAGGAAACTATTCTACTCATGCCAGGCCTCCTTTGGAACGCTTTTTAGCATTCTCTACTTAGAAAATTAAAGTATAAAAGCACATTTTAAATCTGGTTTGGTATGTAAAGGATTATACTTAGGTGCCCACCACTCCAGTGTGCTGCCTTTATTTAAATGGGCACAACAAATGTATCAAGGTTAAATCAAATAATATTAGATAAATAACAGGTTACAATAGCCACTACAGAAACAGACTGTTATAATATCAACACATCCAAAATCGAGATATTTTATTTAATGGTTAATAATCATGTTGAATGTGGAATCTGAAATACAAAAACTCTCTTTTTATTGCTTTCTGGTTTTTTATGCAACTTGGCTAAGAAGGAGGAGATGCTGGGTTGATTCTGTGCATGCAGTTGGCTGTGTGCCCACCTCATTGAGGATCTGAGTGGCGTTCTTTGCTCTTAGCATGTCGGGCGTATCTTCCATTTCACTGAGACCCTTCCCACGGATGCCTTCCTCTAGATCTTTTCTGTATTCTTTCTATGGCACAAAATACAAGCAACGATGCTGACAAGAAAGCCTGGATTATTCCTCTTTGGTGAAGAGCCAAAACAAAACAAAAAATCCTTCTAATTTTAAAGAGCTACAGTTTAGTAAATAAAGATATGAATAAAGGCAGGGTATAAGCTTCATCAGTTAATATTCAATGTCAAATAAGAAACTAGAAATTGATAGAAGGCTGAGGTAAGCACATTTAATAAGATATTCAATTAAAAAATTAGAAGAATTAACATGGGTAGTAGATTAGGGGGTAGTACCAAACACATGTAAACCCAACTTGAAACCTGAAAAGTTAGGTGGTAGTGAAAATGGTAGAAGGAACACGTTGATGAGTGTCATTAGTGCAATTATTTGGATCAGGAGGGAAAGAAAAGACCAAGTAGGCACTACCTCGCTGGCTATTTTGGTTGCATATTTGACATGTAATAAAGCTGGCGTGACCTCCAGGCCAATCAGGTTTCTGCCTTTAATGGACTCTTCATAATCTTTCTTATATTCTTTCTAAAGTGAGTAGGAAGGAAAGACAAGTTAAGAATGTTTATTACAATTTCTTTCTCAATCCTAGGAAGAAAATAATTCCATTTTCCTTCTATGTATGGCCTCTTAACTTGATCTTAGTTCTGCTAATGGTCACACATTTGAAATATGCCTGATTGTTCTGGAAATACTCTGTGTAGAGCAAATGGCCCAAGGAAACTCAGAGGCTGAGAAACTTTGGTGGCCTCTCATTCGTCTGTCTGCCGCTGTGATGGGGGCTGGCCCTTTGAAAGTGGAAGGATGGATATGCCACCAAGACTCTCAATCCACTGTCATCTCTCCTGATGACATTTTTCTGAAGGCAACAAAAGATTTTACTTCTGAATTAGAAGTGACTCGAGGGGGAAAAAAACCAAAAACACCCCAGAGGAAGGAAACCTGAGGGCACCAAATGCAAATTTGGCCTTTTTCATAATCATGACTATTAAGTCACTGAACAGATAAGGTGAATAATGTAGCACAGACAAGTTCTCAGGCTTTGCTCACTGTTGAGAGGGAGGGCCATGACCTCCCCCATCTCCTCTCCAATCCCTGGATGAGGCTGTTTTACTGGGAGGCTTGGAAGAGATGTTGGAACTTGATTTTTGTCATTTTTAATTTTGACAGAATTTTACATTTATAGAAGAGTATCAAGAATAGTACAAGGAACTCCCATAGATGCTTTACCCAGAGTCAGCAATTGTTTGAAACCCTTCAAAATTTTTCATTATTTGGCATTCTACACACCAGGAAGCTCCCCAAAATGTTACTTTTATTAAAAACCATTTATCTTTATGGTTGGAGATATGCCCATGGAGGGGAGGCAAAAAGAAATCCAAAATAAGCCTGTTTCCCAATGAAAACAGACTTTCTAAGATTCAAAATAAGATCCATTCTTCTCTACTATTGCTTAAAAATTAAAAGAACTATTTTAGATGCCTCTGCTTACATTTCTAAAATAGGAAATATGTCATGTTGACTTGATATTTTGATAAAAATCCTGATTAAAAGAAAAAAGTCTTCCTTTTGGGGACTGGAGGCTTCCTATTAAGAGAAGAGCAATTCAAAGCCAACAGTAGGTCTGCACAGAGAGAACTTTTCATTCAAAGAAAAATTTATGTTATGTTCAAAATAAATTGTTTCAGTGTTAGGAACAGTTTTCTATGTTCTATGAAAAGGATAGTTGAAATAAAACATATATGGTAAATGTTTACTATTCAGGTCATTTCTTTTTATAATGGAGCCACAGGATTTGTGAGATGGAAAAGATTTTAGTCATCATAATTTAGAGTCCCATCATTCACAACTTTGGGATAACAACAGGCTGGATACTTCTGCGGGTAGAGCTTGTTTTCATCAGCTTGATGGTATATTTGCTGTGTGGTGGGTTTGTGCAGGACTTACCCCACTCTGCATCTGCTGAGACTCTTTGGCAGTGATGTATGTTGGTGTTTCAAAGTCCAACATGGGCTTTCCTCGTTCCTTTTCATACTTTTCTTTGTATTTCACCTAGTTATGAAAAGCTTTATGAGATATGTCTTCTCTGGCCAATCTGTAGACAGACACCAGTTTAGCAATAGTATTTTTAATTGATACATTATGTCCAGTGGGTGGTATCTCATTGCCACTCAAAACAGTTTCCTGTTGTGATTCAGATCCAGTAGCTTTTTGTTTTGGCCTGGTGGGAGAACATCATTACTGTCTGCAAGGCATGGTCAGGATTTGTGTTCAATTCAAGGAGACAAAGGAATCACTGCAGAAGAATCAGCTAAGAGAAGCTGTGAGGCAAGAAAGTGCCTGGGGAAGCTGCCCATAGATAAGGTTGGCCAAGATTTGATGTGTGTAGATGTGAACATTTTAGCCAGAGCCTCAGCCAATATTTCTGATAAAAATCTCCAGTTTTTCTTACATAAGAACTTTTATGAGGGACCTGCGGTCTTGATTTAATAGATAATGCATACAGCTTTAATTATATATCAAAAACTCAACTGAGGTCATGACTGGTCACATATTCAGTGCTGCCAATATAGATTGGTATAAAAATGAAATCCAGGGCTTCCCTGGTGGTGCAGTGGTTGAGAGTCTGCCTGCCGATGCAGGGGACATGGGTTTGTGCCCCGGTCTGGGAAGATCCCACATGCCGTGGAGCGGCTGGGCCTGTGAGCCATGGCTGCTGAGCCTGCGCGTCCAAAAAATGAAATCCAGTTGACTAGTTGTTGACTGACTTACTAACAAACCTGTCATTCTCAAAAAGACCCCAAGGCTATTTTACAAATACAATCTCCTTATCCTCATCACATGTGACCAGGAATAGGGGGAGCCTATAGATATTCCTAATTTACACAGGAGACATTGAAAGACATAGAGACAGAAGTCTGTGTCACACAGCATCTTGATAGCAAAGCCCAATCTCAGCTCTCTTGCTTGTGACAACACATTAAAATAGAGGCCCGGTCAACAGATGAATGGATAAAGAAGATGTGGCAAATATATACAATGGAATATTACTCAGCCATAGAAAGGAACGAAACTGAGTTATTTGTAGTGAGGTGGATGGACCTAGAGACTGTCATACAGAGTGAAGTAAGTCAGAAAGAGAAAAACAAACACCATATGCTAACACATATATATGGAATCTAAAAAAAAAGAAAAGAAAAAAATATGGTCAGAAGAACCTAGGGGCAGGACGGGAATAAAGATGCAGACCTACTAGAGAATGGACTTGAGGATACAGGGAGGGGGAAGGGTAAGCTGTGACAAAGTGAGAGAGTGGCATGGACATATATACACTACCAAACATAAAATAGATAGCTAGTGGGAAGCAGCCGCATAGCAGAGGGAGATCAGCTCGGTGCTTTGTGACCACCTAGAGGGGGGGGATAGGGAGGGTGGGAGGGAGGGAGACACAAGAGGGAAGAGATATGGGGACATACGTATATGTATAGCTGACTCACTCTGTTATAAAGCAGAAACTGACACCATTGTAAAGCAATTATACTCCAATAAAGATGTTAAAAATAAATAAAAAGTAAAAAAAATAAATAAATGAAAGGGATGATGTAGGTATTTTTAAATAAAATAAACACATTTTCAAAAATAAATAAATAAATAAAATAAAATAAAATAGAGGCCCGGGATCATGGGCTGCTTTACAGATGACAGGAGAGCATTTCTAGTAATTTAGACCTCTTGGTTAATGCCCAATGGGGGACCTAAATAGTGTTGAATTTGTGATATAGAAGGTCATGTGACAGCAAGCTCCTTCTCTAAGTTCTTTCCTCTGAGAATCTTAATTATTTTACAAATTTTGCAGTTTCTTCCACACCCAGAGACCACTTCAGTGGTGACCTGAGCATATCACTCCTCTGCTCCAAAGGCTCCCTATCATCCTTAGTAATATTTTCTAAGGGGTCTTTCTCCCTTGTGATGTAATCTTTATGCTATCAGTCCCTGTCAGTACCCTGAATAACACATATTGCATGTCTATGCACTGTTTCTCCAACGTATGTTCACACTGCTCTCATTCATAACAAACATTTGTTTCAACATGTTGCTAAATTCAAAGCCCCTAATATCTTTGGGTATTTTCTCAAGCAATGGTTACTACAGCTATAACTACCATCCTTGGGGGGTAGGGGTGGAATACATCAAAATTTTTTACATTGTAGAATGTGCGTGAAAAAAGTCAGTCTTGGTCAACTTACTACACTCTGTAATTCTGTGGCCTCTTTTAGATGAAGCTGCTCCAGATTGTCGGGTATTGTGTGGTAGTGGCCTTTACTCTTCTCATAGTTTTTCTTGTACTGGTACTGAGGGGAAGGTGGCAAAAAAAGGCACATTGATGGCAAAGCTGCTCAGCATTCCTATTTTTCCTCTTTACATTAGATATTTACACAGCAACAGCACCAAGACCAAATTAAAATTAGCAAACACTACATAGGGGGTTTAAGAAAATGTTTTAAAAGGATGAAGATCCACATTCAGTATTGTCAGTTAATACAAGGATGTAAACACTTAGGTTATATGGCTTATTCAAAGTAGGTTTTAAGGTGCAAAGTTAAACGTGAAAGAAACTATTCCAAATGGTAAGTCTATGTTTTTAGAAGGGGGAAAGGGAGTGGTTACTTGAAGTGGCAAAAAAAGGCACATTGATGGCAAAGCTGCTCAGCATTCCTATTTTTCCTCTTTACATTAGATATTTACACAGCAACAGCACCAAGACCAAATTAAAATTAGCAAACACTACATAGGGGGTTTAAGAAAATGTTTTAAAAGGATGAAGATCCACATTCAGTATTGTCAGTTAATACAAGGATGTAAACACTTAGGTTATATGGCTTATTCAAAGTAGGTTTTAAGGTGCAAAGTTAAACGTGAAAGAAACTATTCCAAATGGTAAGTCTATGTTTTTAGAAGGGGGAAAGGGAGTGGTTACTTGAAAAAAAATTTAAATAGCCCCCAAATAGAAGCATTTTTATATTCTGAGAGGTGTTAGAGTCAGTGGAGAACTGGTAGATTAATGTTGTAATTTGGAAGAATGCACTCAGAGAACAGGAGAGCTTTCTAATAAATGTAGTGCCCCAGTAGCAGAGAAGGAGATGCAAGTGACCTCAGAGAAGGAATTTAGTTGAAAATGGGTGAAACAAGCTGTTTCTGGAGCAAATGATTGAGCTTACAGAACTGGCGAGTTGGCTTGTATTCAAGACATGATTCATTATCAAAGATTCCTTCATGTCAGTCACAGGTTTGTGAAGTTTCTTCAAGTCAGCCTTATACTTAACCTGTACAACAGTAAAGGAAAAAAGGAAATCACATAAATAGGAAATGGAAAATGGTATTAATGGAAACCATAATAAGATGTCCCATCCTGAAACAAGTGCTGGGGATGGCGGTGAAAAACCATACCTCATTCACAATAGCCAGAAAGTGGAAACAATTCAAGTGTCCATCGACAAAGGGATAAACACAGTGTGATGTAAACATACAATGGACTATTATTCAACCATAAGAAAGAAAGAAGTTCTGACACATGCTACAGCAGGGATGAACCTTGAAAACATTATGCTAAATGAAGTGAGCCAGACAAAAAAAGGGACAAATACTGTATGACCCCACTTACATGAATTCTCTAATAGGCAAATTCATAGGGACAGAAAGTAGATTAGAGGTTACCAGGGATTGGTGGGAGGGGGAAATGGAGAGTTATTGCTTAATAGTTACGGAGTTTGTGTTTGGGGTGATGAAAGAGTTTTGGAAATAATAGTGGTAGTTGGACAACATTGTGAATGTAATTAATGCCACCGAATTACATATTTAAAAATAGTTAAAATGGCAAATTTCACATTATATATTTTACCACAGTTAAACAAACACATACCTCACTTGTGAGATTATTAGCATCTTTCATGATTTTGAAGAGCTGGCTGTCTTTTGGATTGTATTTTGGTGTCTTGCCCTTCTCTTTGTTGAAATTTTCTCGGTATTTAATCTAACAGCAAATGCAAAAATCCAAATTATTCCTGAGCATCAATTAATCTGAAGACTGAGGAATGGAGGAAATGTAAATATAAAAGAGTATGTGCTACACATAAAGGGGTCATATAATTTATTATCCAAATTAGGACACTTTTAAGAGTAAAAGCACTATTAATAATTATGTTGGGACAACAGGCAATTGAGAATAAGATCAAGTGATATAGTATTTGTTTTGCTCATTTTTATATTATCCAGAGGTATGAAAGATATTCACCTTTTTTTGATGCAGAATAAAAATGCATGGGAAAAGGCTTCAGGCTAAATTCAAAGAAGTGATCTAATATATTTGATTCAGAACATTTTGGTCCTCTTAACTAGCAAAACCAAAAGCACTTTAGGTCTATCGCCAGGAGTTCCAAGAGGCTTTATAAATTATCAAGAAGGGTGAGAAGTAAGGAAATCTATTAAATCAGGAGATTTATTGTTATGTACTTTCGCTATATCATTTAAATTGTTTTTTAATTGGCAAAAAAATTGGCATAACTTCTGAGTAAAAGAAGCACAGAATTTGGGGGTTAATGGCTTCGGTATGATTTCAGGCTAGAAGAAGGAAAGAAGTGAGATAACTTTAGTATAATGAGAAAAATAAGATTAAATATACTTGCAGGATACATAAAAGTAAGAATACACAAAGGACAAAATAACTTCAATTTAAAAAATAAGCACAATGCCTGGCACTAATAGTTGCTCAATAAATGTGATCTGATTGATGAAAGAAAGAGACAGTCATAATGCCTAGGTAAAATAGCTAAAGATGACGATTTACTTATAGGGATATTCAACAGAATAAACTGAAAGTGACAGAAACATTTCCTTATTTAAAAACTGACTGATGCCTTTGTCACTAGGATTAATCCAGAAGTAGAACTCTACTAGTTACTCACTCTAGGAGCAAAGAAAAATGAGCTATTTCTAGAAGTTAGCCAGCTGAAAGGGCAATATTTGATGCTCCGGGACGCCTAGAGTTTCTGTTATTGGTAAGATGAAAGACTCGCTCATTCAAAGTTATTAGCACACCAGGATCTGGTCACCAGATATTTCACACTGTAGGCATTTAAAATCAGTACCCCTCATGCTTCATCACTTTACTTCCCCACAACTTTACACATCCAGCACAACAGGAACAAAAGGAGACCACTCAAATGCTAAGAACAATGAAATCTGCCACATCAGAGAAAAAGCATTCACCGTGCTGAGGCTCATTTATTTTGAATAAATCTCCAGTGGAAATGTGTTGACAAAATAAGCATGCAGAACAGTACAGCACGATGCAGGCACACTGAGCCAGACACACAATGGAGGAAGCAGAAAACATAACAGGAAAACACAATGTGAATAAATGCTACAATGGCTCTTCTCTGAAAGGAAGTTCACTCCCCAAAGAAAGAAATGCAAAGCCTGCTAAGGAAAGTCAGACGTGGTGAGTTGTCTGAACCAAGAGAAAACTTTTCCTAAGGATATAGAAACCCATAAGACTAGGGCTGATCCCAAGAGCAGTGAAACAAGGAAAAAGCAAAGTAAACTAGATGTGCAGAGTCAGACTGGGGAAGGGATGATGCAAAGGCCCATCTCTGATGAGAATAAAATCCATTTCTTTTAGAAGAATGCTAAAAATCCTCCATCTTTTAGAAAATAACTCATTTCTGAGAAAATATTTGAAGAGCAGCTTTCTACTGGTCTCATTTCAGTTCTTTTCTGTTAATTTTAAGTAGATTTAAATTTCTAACTTTTTAATTAAAAAAAAAAAAGTTGTGCCTCCTCTTTCCACAAGAAGGCCCCAAGCAAGTGCAGGTGAGCACAACTGCTGCTGGGAATCTGAGCCAACACGCTCGACCTTCCTTTTTGACTGGATCTTAAGAACTACTATATTTTGCGTGATAAGGACACACATCAGATTCAGGACTCCAAGAATTCTTAGAAAGGTGTGGGATTAGGCAGGAAGTACAGTAAAACCACATTCACGTGGCATATGGAATGGAAAAGCCTTCTTTTTCTTGTTTACCAGGGAAGTGAGAGGCCACCATGCAATGCCGTGTATCAGCAAACGGCAATACCAGTGTCCATGACCCCAAAGGGCTCAGATAGTGTGAGAAAACGAGGTTTCCGATCAATTATTCTTTCAAAGTTCAATTAAATTTAAAGATCTAACATCCAGTTGTTCTGCTCCTTTTCAGGGACTTGAACTGTATATTGGTGCTTCTAAAGACTGAAGAGCAGGTCCAAGAATTAGAATGTTTCTTGCCACTGAGACTGTAAAACAGGGTGAAAGCTATGAGCGAAAACATTTTGAGCAGTTTATACTGTTGATTCAGAGTATGTCTGAACTGAGAGGCTGTATTAAACGCCAGTCTTAAATGTATTAAACACCAGCAATGGTAATCAGCAGAGGCTGTCTTTGTGTGGTTGCAGATGAGATTCTCAGTCTGTTTTCATCTTTGGATTGGTGTCAGCAGCCTAAAGAAGTTAGGAGGCCATCTCCAAATCTACTCTACCTTCCTGTTCCAAAGGCATGTTCCAGAGGGAAAGTTTCATGCAGCAAAAGACAGGTGTGTGCAAAAGTATATCCTTTGACAAATTTCCACAGCATTCTACACGTTCCAACACAAAACCAACAGAAAAGAGTGCGACTTGGTCAGTCCCCTGACCAAGGCTAAGAAGATAGGTGAGAGAAAGAGGAAGACAGATATATGGGATCACTGATGCCAGTCTTACATCACTGATGAGCACATTAGTTTTCTTAAGCTGCCTCATCATAGGGGTGTCATAAGATGCGGCGCCGTGCCCGTACCCTCTCCTTTGGCCTTTGACGTATTCTGCCTAGAGTACCAGCAAGACAGCAAAGTCAGAAAGGGGAGGGCCCACACAGAGGAGAAGTCTCCTTGGACCAGGGGCCGCACCATGAAGCTGTCAATCCTGAGGCAAGCCTTTCCCAGGAAGTAAACCCAGGAAAGGGAGCTCATAAAACGATCTGGTTGGGACTCATTCTCCACATCATAGGATTCACTTGGGGTTAGAAATACAGGTCTCTCTCGGGCTTCCCTGGTGGCACAGTGGTTGAGAGTCTGCCTACCGATACAGGGGACACAGGTTCGTGCCCCAGTCCGGGAAGATCCCACGTGCCGCGGAGCGGCTGGGCCTGTGAGCCATGGCCGCTGAGCCTGCACGTCCGGAGCCTGCGCTCCGCAGCGGGAGAGGCCACAACAGTGAGAGGCCCGCGTACCAAAAAAAAAGAAATACAGGCCTCTATTTGTAAAACCGGTAAAGTCTTCAAAATTTCAACCTGTTTTTAACTTGCTAATGGTATGACCTTGGAGATTTAAAAACATACTAAAAATTTTTACATTGAAAAGTTCATGTTACATTTCATTATTCTTAGAGATTCCACTGTTTCTTGCTGGTGATTTCATATCTTGGTTTCAAGTACTTATACAATTCCAATAACTTATAATAAAAATACCACACAGGAGTTTTAAATTCAAAAACTTTTTAAAAATAGTATTTGCTTGTCCTCAGTCATCTGAACTTTTCGTCTCCTCATAACTCCCTCCTGTTTTGTCACTTGATGTTACTTGTATCTTCCAAAAGATTGGGATCCCACATTTGGCATTGCTGAAAGTCATACATACAACCACCAAAGGTATCCTAAACGTATTTCTTCAAACAAATACTTGAGAAAACAGACAATGAAAAGAAGGTAGGATCTTTGAATTGGAGAAGAGATAAGATATTCCTGAGCTCATCTTTTGGGACTAAAACTTGCTCTCTGGAAGATCTGGTGGTTGATCATGGGGTCTCTGATCTAAAGTCTGAAAACTTGTCATAACTCAGGAGTATTCTAGATAATTGGTCTCACAAGGGAAATTAGGTAATGGGGCAATCAAGTTTGGACACATTCCTAAGTCCATCTACTCAATAATATGAAATCTGCTAGAATTAGGCATTCCCCCTCAGCTCCCTGTACATACCTCGATCAAACACTTACAACCCCAAACTCTAATTATTTAGCCATAGACATATAGTCTGAGGACATCTACTGCCTCTAGTTTCTAGCCCAGGCATTCAATATATGTTTGCTGAATGAAAAACTAAAAGTGACTGCATCTGATATAACTTTTCAAAGCTTTTCGTGATATCATTTTCAAAGCTCCGGAGTGCTGCAGTATCTCTCTGGTTGCTAATACCGCACTTTCATTCTGGGAATCACTTCTTCCTGCAAGGTCTTTAAACATCCCCTCACATCAGAGCTGCTGCTCGCCCATCTGTGTTACCTGGCTGCTCAGCTTGGCTGCCTTCTTGGCCATTTCAATGTCTGGGCGCCCAAGCATGCTTAGCCCGTGGCTGCCTTCCTTGCGGTGCTTGGCTCTGTACTCCACCTGCATCAAAGAAAACCAGAATGGGCACCATGTTCTAGGTGGCCAGTGACCACCAACTACTTGTTTGCAGTGACCACTTGGGACTGGGTACCTTCTAAACACACCCTTACCTCGCTGGCCTGTTTGGCTGCCTGCGTGGCCTTCTTGATGTCTGGCCGATCGGCCACTGTTGTGTAATGCAGGTTTTCTTTAGCATCTTTTTTGTAAGCGACCTTTATTTGGAAAAAGAAAACATTTGCTCACTTGAGAGATACGCTATCTTTCTGAAAGGAACCTTTTATTAAAACCAAATCAACCCCACTACCGTATTTTTTAGACCACCAGATATAGAAATTAGGGTGACCACTCACTGGACCCAGCCCAGCATATACCGATGTGGGATCCACCAGCTCAAGTGGCCCCCTGCGAGTGAGAGGAGAAACTTACATTACTCTGCTTCTTGGCCACCTCCATAGCGTGTTTCACTTCTGGGGGCTCCAGCATGATGGAGTAGTTGGATTTTCCTTTCTCCTTGACAAACTTCTTCTTGTAATTTGTCTAAAAAGAGCCAGAATTACTTATGTGAGCAGAGGAAGCTGGGAACAGAATTGTTTTACTTGAAGAACTATGAGAAGATCTTGAGGAAAATCCGTGGCTCTCCATTTTGGTGTCATTTTGGAACTGGGGTCTCTGATAACATATTCTAGTTCTTCCCTGTCATTTCTGTCCTGGAACCTGTCATTGAACCACACACCAGTCTTTGGAGAACTGATGACAAGCAAATTAAACTCTTTCATTGACCATTTCTACCTTTTTAAAATAAATGGAACCACACAGGGCTCATAAAATATAATACCATGATTATTAAAGCATTATCCGTAAGGATGTAGTGGGCAGAGATTACTGAGATACAAAGAGGTGACTTTACTTCTCTAAAATTGTTCAGCAGTTTAAGGAGAGGGGAGATGATGGGAGAGGCTGATCTTTACTATCAATGCTCCCTCCCTTTATTACCACTAGGTTAGTGGCATCTTATATTGCTAGACAATACATCCTATGGCCAAACCCACATCTGCCACAGTTGCCGTAATTGGAAAGCCAATAAGTATTGAGTTGTCTTTTAAACCAGCGTTCAAAATTCACATATAGGTACTGATGGTAAGAGTGAAGTAACGCAAAGGAAAGTGTAAGCAAAAATGCCGCTTACAGTCTTTTGCTGGATTCTAAGGTAAAGTGCCATTGCTGTTGCCAAGAGTCCTGGGGCTGGTCACTTACATCACTGACGTTCCTGGTCACTTCCTTGACATGAACGGTGTCCCGGGTCTCCGGCAGTGTTGTGTATGAGCCCTGAGCCAAGTGCTTCTTCACATGCTGCTTGTACTTGTTCTGAGGGAAAGCACAGAGAGCTTGTTTAAATGTCTGCCTGGGGCATCAGCCCAAGACGAAAGGCAAGCCTATGGGGTGCTGGAGGGTTACCTCGGACACCAGATTGCTGACTGTCTTTGCCAGGAGGATCTGAGGCGTATCGGGCACGGCATGGTAGGTTCCTCTTTCCTTGACATGTTTCTGTTTGTATTTCAGCTGCAGGGGTGAAAAAAGCATTTCTTCAGCTCCTCTGACTCTCCTGCATATTTTTATTAAGCTCCCAAGTTACTAAATAGAGCTGGGAGAATAGCATCATTGACGGAGTAGAATCATTAAACTCAGTAAAAGATCTCATGTTTGGAAATCTTGGGAAATATCAAAAAAGGATTTTCTTTATCTCATGCAAGTTGAGGCTTTAATAACAATCAGAATGAATCTTACGATGAATCTTTATACATACAGCGTTAGTTCACAGCACTTTTAAATATGTCATTGGACCCTCCCGTAAACCCTGGGAGGCATTATTATTCCTCCTTTCCAGATGAGGAAACACAGGAAGCATAGGAAGCGTATGACCCCACAGAAATGAATACGTTTCCTTATAGAGTCCAACCAGGCCTTCAGAGTCCCCACTGCGGCGTGTGGATTATCTTGAGGTGCAGTATAGATCAGGAGAGGCCACCTGGCTGTAACAGCTTCCCACTGCTGCCGCTCTGCTCTGCCAAGTCAGTGGTGTCGACATGGGCAGCAGCCTCCTCTGTGCTGCGGGCCCCTGGGCACTGGGCTGCAGAAGACAGCCCTGAGTGAGGTTAGGCCTCTTGGAAGGGACTGAATACTTACATCACTTTCTATTATAGAATTCTTCAGGGCCAGCACCATGTCTTTATCATCAGTGACAGAAAGCTTGCAACCTTTGAGGAACTCCCGGTCCAGCTTGTATTCAAACTGTAACAGAAGAAAGACAGAGGAAGATGGGAAAGGGTGACAGGCACAGGAGGAAGCCGGTATTTGGTTGAATTTGTAGGGAGTCCTCTTCTTAAGGGCACTATGGGGATTTGCTACCAGGATGGGGGCAGGGGCTTCCTGCTGGGCCCACTGAAAGCTGGGTTCCTCCTTTCTAGCCCCGAGGCCAGGACAAAGCCCTCCTGGCCCTCCCCCGCCTCCCTCAGGACTCTGAGCCATTAGTGTTTGGGCCCAGCCACGGGAGACCAGGCTCTGTGGCCAGGTCTGCTTCCTGAGCTTGCCTTCCACACCTTACAACCCTCCTGTCCTTCTTGGATCTCAAATGAGCTAGGGTTAACACCTGTGACAGTGGTTATTATGAATAAAGATAAATTTTTCTGTCTCAGGTATGTCATGCAGTTCTGACTGCCTCTCTTATCTCACATCGCTTTGCTGTAGGGATGACTTGGCGGCCTGGATGAAGTCCGGTCGGTCAGGGGTCCATCTCCAGTGGGCTTTGTTGGCTTCATACTGCTTCTTGTAATCCAGCTGTTTTTAACAAGACAAAAACAAGTCACTTCATTCAGTGGCCTGAATTCACAACCGCACACGTTGCACAGAGAGACTCATCTTGCATTTTAACATGTAACAAGTCATGGTTCTTTATGCAAGAGAGAGCCCCAAGTAAAATTTCTGTACAATGGATGCAACTAGTTGGCCACTCAAGTTGTCCTCTTGTGGGACCCTCTGGCCTCAAAATAGGGGCTAAAATTTTTAAAGGCTCCTGGCGAAACAACTCTTCAAACTCACTCTGCCAGTGCAGTCTAATCATTTTCAGAGTCAAGTACTTTTAATTTCTAACTAAATTCAAACTTTTAAAAAAAGTATTAAACACTTGCAGTATTTATTTCATTCCAGGCACTTTTCAAAGTGCTTTATATATATGTATATTAACTCATTTACTCTTTAGCACAACTATATGAAATCAGCAGCTGAGGAACTGCCTAGAAGGGCTAAGTAAGCTGCCCAGGTGAGACAGCTAGTGAACAGTGGAGCTGGGTTTCAAACCTGGGCAGCCAGGCATCAGAGGTGCTTGTGGACTTGCTAGACTTGCATCTGAGCTGGAGAACTGGCTGCCTTGGGCTGAACCTGAGGCACAGAAGTGAGTGTCCTTGGGAAGAGCCCTCATCATGAGGCACATTTCTTTCCTCGCTCTTTTTCTTTCTCCTTTTTTTGGTCAAGGTATAATTGGTATACAATAAGATAACATGTTTTATAAGTTAAAAATTGATCCAACTTTTCCCCATTCTATTGTGAAAATTTTCAGATGCATGAGGAGTTGCATGAATCTTACAGAGAATACCCATACACCCAGCACCTAGATTCTACAACGTACATTTTACTGCATTTGCTTCGTCCCACATCAGTCCTGCTACCCATCCCTCTGTCCATCCCCAGGACACCTGTACGATACCTGCCAGTCCCTAAAGGCATTTCAGTTTGCTGGCCCTAATAAATATAAGTTCTCTGTAGCACTAGTAGGCACTAGTTGGGTTTTACAATATTTCATTATATAACCATTTATATATATTTTAAGAAGTCGATACTCATTTAAATGCACAAAAATGTTTCTGTGGTTGAGGCTTTAAGATGCCCCATCACAAAGAAATGAGTCAGCGCAGGGAGATGTGAACAGGAGGAAGGTCTAGGCCAACTCCTGACAGCACCAAGCAGCTCAAGTGTTCTCTTTTTTTTTTTCAGGAGAAGTAAGCTCTAGAGTTTGTGGCAGGAGAAGAACATAGAGACCGGAGACACTGTCGAAAATGTAACCTTCATTTCAGAATTAAATCCCCCATTTTTCAGCATCCTAACATGGAGGCTGAGGGGGTATAACATCCGTGGGCCGTCCTTGCTCTTCCCCACTGTCCTCTGTAAGAACCATGGGCAGCATTTAGGGGTCAGTGTTATCACTCATGCTCTGGGGCCCAACCCTTGATCTGGACTCACTAGAACTCAATCACTTGAAAAGATGTCAAAAGAGGCCATGCGCCCTACAGAAGCTGATGAACCCCTCTTAGGCTTGGGGACGTTTCTGGAACTTACATTGGTGTTGACTTTGTAGGCATCCTTGGCTGCTTTGATATGAACAGCATCAGGCTCAATGGTACAGGTGGACTTAGTTCTCTGGTAAACTTCTTTGTATTTCAGCTGTGGGAGGAAACACAGATCAATTTTTTTTTTTTATAGCAGCCCACAAGTATCTTAAAAAACAAAAAATTAAAACCATAATATAGTACATGATACTCCTTAAGACTGAATCGGTCTGTTGTGAAGAAGGGATGCAGCCGTGCAGCTATGTGACACGCACCATCCTGTCTCAGATCTTAAAACCAACTCCCCAGGACACATTGTGTATGTTCACCAGTGTCACCATAGAACTTATGTCCTCTGAACTTGTGCTGAAAGGGGCAGCTGGACAGCTATCCATGTGTGTTTTCCTGTCCCCAAATCAGAAACTCCTGAGTTCAGGACATCTTGAAAACTGTTGATGGAAGAGAAGCCTTCCCCCATTGGCTCACCCAGATGGGATCAGGCTTGCCCTTCTTCCATGTCCCTACAGTTGTAGCTGCTATCATGTCGTGTTATAATTATTTATCTGTCTATTCTTTCCATTGAGCTGAATCCCTTGCGGGCAAAGATTGTGTATCATTCATCACCTCATTCCTAGCATCAGGCACTTAGGAACCCAATAAATATTTGATGAATGAATGAACTGATGGATGAATGCTGTCATCACTACTGTCATTGCTAGAGCCATCGCTGGTAAGTTTGGGCATGTGTGGGTTTGAATGGGAGGGGGAGAAAAGGGAAGGCTTAGCCTCTTTGAGCCCAACTGGTCATTTTTTCACGTCTAGCCTGGAATTTCTAGCTTCACCCACTTTTGCTCCTTTTAAATTTCAGGGCCCTGGGACTCCACCTGGGACTTCTCACTAGTTATTGGGGAAGGATCTTAGGTCTTACTATGACTGAGTAAAACTGTTCTACGGAAGCCATAGTAGCGCTTACTAAACTTGCCTGATCATAAAAATCACAATTTTCTGTGCTTCACCATAGATGTAGTAAATCAGTAGCTTTAGGGGACTGACTTGGAAATTCATATTTTTCATCAACATCTCAGGTTATTGTTACAATCAGAAATTTAGGGAAGTGGATATAGAATTGCTTCATCTTTCTACACTGAGAGGGAATGGGCTGCTCCACATAAGGGATCTACCTTATAGATGTTTATGAATACCCGACGTTTATGTCCAAAGTGTCAAAATTTATTTTAACATAAAGAATATAAAAAATGTTTTTTAAACGATTTATACATTTCTGCCTTCATAAACAGTGCACTGATGTATTTAGCATTTTTCTTGGCAACTTAGAGTCAATAGTGTGAACCCATTTGTTTAGCTACCAAAGAATTCCTGAGCACCAGCCTCAGTCAAGGCTTTGGGGTAGGGATTCCATAGTTGCCTTCATTATTCTTTATGGTGCCCATATAGCCATTAAAATATTTAATCTAAGGGCCTCCCTGGTGGCGCAGTGGTTGAGAGTCCGCCTGCCGATGCAGGGGACACGGGTTCGTGCCCCGGTCCAGGAAGATCCCACATGCCGCGGAGCGGCTGGGCCCGTGAGCCATGGCCACTGAGCCTGTGCTCCGCAACGGGAGAGGCCACAACAGTGAGAGGCCCGTGTACCGGGAAAAAAAAAAAAAAAAAAAAATATATATATATATATATATATATTTAATCTATTTTTTAACCAATATTATGATAGTTTTCCACCATAGAATCTAGCTATATATATGAAAATATATGAATATAATTTCTCCTCAAATTCAGAGTATTAGAATTTAATGGCTACCTTTTCCTCTTAGCCAAGACAAAACTTATAGAGTATTAATAGAGTTTATGGCACACTGCATTTTTCAGACTGGTCTGGAAGCTTCTACTCTAGCCTCTTAGAACCCATCCACTCTGCCGTGAGACGGCCAAACCACACGGAAAGGCCACGTACAGGGGCTCCTGTCTATACAGTGGCTGAGCTCCCAGCCCAGCCGTGATCGGGCGCCAGCTCTGGGAGTGAGCCTTCTTGCCTGAGCTGCAGCGCGTGGGGTAGAGCATCCACTCAACTGTGCCCACTCAGCTCACAGAACTGTGAGCCAAAAAAGCATGACTGCTGTCTCAGACCACTACATTTAGAGTGATTGTTACACAGGAATAGATAAGTGGACCTGGGTCTGTTACATCACATTACAAAGAGGCCAAAGTGAGAGGGGCTGCAAAGCCGTCCTAGTAACTTACATCACTGACTTCATCTTTGACCTTTTGGACATGCAGCAACATGGGGGTGTCGTGGATTGTGGTGTAGCCTCTGGGTCTGGCCTTGTTGTATTCCAACTTATACAGTATCTGAAGGAGATGAAAAGGCAGAAAGAGACAACTTTATGTATCTCAATTGACATTGTAACATAATGTAAACATATAAAGGCAACATTGCTGTTGTTGTCATTGAGTGTATATAAAGGAAAGAGAATTCCATAAACTCAACAGGTGCTTTCATGCTTTCTGCTAAGGCTCCAGTGCCTCTACAATGGGGTGTCTGTCAAGTTGGTTGGAACAATTCTTTACTGTAAAAGAAGAGTCCTGAGCATAGTAGGACACTTATTGTCCCTGCCTCCCTCCCTCTAAATGGCAGTAGAATCTTCCAAACAGGGACTTCCCTGGTGGGGCAGTGGTTAACAATCTGCCTGCAAACGTAGGGGACACAGGTTCGATCCCTGGTCCAGGAAGATCCCACAAGCCCGCGTGCCACAACTACTGAGCCCATGTGCTGCAACTACTGAAGCCCGCGCACCTAGAGCCCGTGCTCCACAACAAGAGAAGCCACCGCAGTGAGAAGCCCACACACCATAACGAAGAGTAGCCCCCGCTCACTGCAACTAGAGAAAGCCCGGGCGCAGCAACAAAGACCTAATGCAGCCAAAAAAAAAAAAAACTTTTCCAAACATTGTGGCCATCTAAAATGCCCCTCCACATTTGCAAGTGCCCCCCCAAGGCCAAAAATCCATTCAGTGTTTCTTGTACTTACATCACTGATTTGTTTGTTGACTTTTGTAGTACGTAGGTGTTCTGGAGTATCCACAACTGAGGTAAACTTGTCCTTTGTTTTTTCATAATTTTTCCTGTACTTGATCTAAATTGTAGAGGAAAAGAACAAGTTAACTTGAAGTAGGAGAGAGGGCTTTCAGGGACTCTAGTTTTCCTCTTGAGAGAGTCCCACGGCAAAGAGTAGGATTGTTATATAAGCCATAGGTGTGCGGGATGATGCCATGCTTTCTTAACTGGAAATGTTTATATAAATCTGTATTTGATAGCAATAGTGTAATAGAGTGAGCAAATAATAATAATAATAAATATTTTCCATATGTTTTATCCACGTGGAAACTGAGGCCCAGAGAGGTTAAGAGTATGAGCTAAGGGCAAATATAGAGTGAATCTCAGAGCCAGGACTAGACCCATGCTCTCTGGACTCTGGCAAGTAATGATTCGCTCACAATATGCTACATCGAATACATATGATCTCTTAAGTATGTTTCCATATCAAAGATGGAACAGATAAAAAAATAAATACATACACTTTGAAGTAGTTATTTTTAAAGACATTCATTTTTGAAATTTTCAAGTCATGATTTTTTTTTTTTCATGCACATAAGCGGTTTCAAGCAGTACAGACAGAGAGCACAGCAAAATTCCATGCACAACTATCTGATGATCATATCGGGACCAAGGTAAAAGCTCAGGCAAACAGCATGTTCATAGGAAGACCTCATCCTCCTCATTTCATGTGTTGATCTGATGTCAAACTAAAGTGATAAAACAAGTTACTAATACAAAAGCCTGATTAAAAACTTTCTTTGCGTGTGGGAACAATGGCCTTTTATTAACATCGTATCTGGTAGTTAAGCAATTATCAATGTCTTTTGCTGCTTCAAATTTACCTTCCAGCGTATGACAGGAAGGTGGTGGTGTGTGCTTCGGTTGACCTTGCAGGAAGGCAAGGTGATCAGCAGTGCTGTTAACAAGGGAGTGTGAGGACAGATGTGCTGGAAATAACCTAGCAAATTCAGCATCAAACTCAAGAGGGGCCATGAATGTGCACGATATTCAAAGAGCTGCGCTGTCATCCTCATCTCTCCAAAATGGTACAGCGTAGTCATTATTGAGCAATGGACACTTTAGATGAAAACATTAAATAGTCACATCTTTTAAATACTGTCAAATTTACTTAACATCCTCAATCTCTAAGAAATCTACTTCTTTGGGGCAAATATTGAAAAACATAAAGTTATACCAATTTGGAAAAGTTTGAAAAACTTTGAAATAGTCTCAGTTAATATTACTTGGAATTCCAAAAGTGTCAGAAGACCTACAGATGTTGGCTGCTACAGCACCACACTTGGTCACATCCAGAGTTCATTTACAGGCAGTGAATATTTATGCAGCTTTGTCATGTGAAACCAGCTTGGTCAGGGGGCCAGGGAAGGAAATCAGGGGAAGCATAGAAGTGAATGCCCCCAAGGCTTCTAAATCTCTTCTTCGCATCACATCAGACATTACCTGGCTCCACATGTGTGTGTTGTAGAGGGCAGTCAACATATCTGGACGCAGAATTTCATTACATCCTTGTTTCAGAAGCATCTTGGCACTAGATTTATATTTTCTCTGTTCATGCAAAGAGCAGTGAAGCACAAAAGAGACTTGTGAAGACGGAAAAGAACATAGCTCTATATCCTGATCACCTCTGAGTGAAGAGATGTAGGCACACACACTTTGTGCTCTCACGTGTATGTGTGGGTGAAGACACGAAATGCATTAAAATGCCAAGCAGGGTGATGTGATATTTGCAGTTGACCATCCACTGCCCTTGTGAATGGGGAATAATAGGGCCAGTCCCACCAAAATTGCCTTATAGAAAAGGTGACATCATTGAAATAGAAAAACACAGTAAGGAGTTCTGTCTTCTTTCCTTCTGTTAATTTGTTTCTTTGTTTCTGCGTTTGCACCTTAATTCACACTTTACAACTACAGTTTACACACAGGCCCTCCTGAAGGATGAAGGGTGTGAGGACCCAGCTGCACATCTCATGTTCACCACAGCACACGTGAGGACACAGAGCATGGACTGGCACACTCAAAGAGCTCGTGGGCTCTTTGGGTGGCTAGACAGATAATTTGGAACAGAACATCCCAATATCATAGGCAGAACCTATGACATCCTTGCAGCAGACGGGACGACATCTCATGAGAAACTTGGAGCACAGTCCTGCTTGGCCGTCCAGGCGGCCCCATCACAGTACCTGACTGATCTGGTCGCCTGCGATCTTAGCCAGCAGATGTCTAGGCTCATCGACTACCAGGTGGTATTTATCTTTCCGCTGCTCATAATCAGCTCTGTATTTTTTCTGCTCAAACATCATATCAAATTATAGCAAGAGTACAACAACTTCAAGGCTATACACAAATGTCCCAAGATACTTCATACTTCAGAGAGCCAGAAAAATGTCCTTTCTAGAGGTGGGCTCCCAAAACATTCAGGGTAATGAAAATAGGGAGGTGAACAGAATTAAGCAAAGGAAGATGGCCTGGAGAAGGCTGGGGCTTGGACTAGATTAGTTATAACATCAAAATTGAAATACCTTGTACCTAAACATGTTCCATCTTTACATATGATATTAGCAACGTTAAGTTTTATGACATCTTAAATTGTATTTAAAATAAGGCGCTGACAAGCTACAGGTTTACTACTTTAGGCTGTGAGAGTCAAAAGGTATATTCATGGACACATTCTAATATGCTAGTTAATTTATTTGATTATAAAAGAGACCTGGAAATCCTTCGTGAATTAGAAAAATAGAAACAAAATATATCAAGACTGTCTTCCTAGGAACCTACCAACAGTAATTCTTCAGAGTCATCCCACCTGGAAATCTACTGAAAATAAACTAAATCAAATTTATAAACAACAAAAAAGTTATATATTGAAATAAATATACCATTGGCTACATTTTCATCTTCTGACACATTTTACTAATTTTCTAACTTTGTTTTTGAATTTATGTAAATCTGTGGAAAATACAAAGATAGGAAATTAAATGTAAAAACCATCCATCCACACATTAATTCATAGCTTGCTTCTTTCATCATTTTAAGCTAAATTTACCTTAAACTATTGCAAAGACAGTTCCAGGAAAAACTGGGTAGAAGGTAAAGGAATATTCTGAGTGCAAATGGACACTTCTCTGCACCAATGTATGAGTCACAATGGCAATACATTTGAAGGCGTGAATCACAACTACCCCCTTAGGGCTGCCATTTCTGTGCCCTGGTAAGGGATACTAAGTTAACTTTGAACTTCTGGGTCTTCCAACTCTACACAGAATCCTATACCCTCCCTGTTGAAGGGAGTTCAGCTGAGAGTCAACAAAATCCTTTACCTCTTTGCTCTCATCACCCAAAGGGCTGTGCTGCCCTGTGGTAGTGCGAGCAGAGGCTGTGCTGGCTGTGGGGACCTCACTCCACTCTGGACAGCCCCTTCCTTTGTTCTTATTCATGCTTTTGGCAGAGCTCATCAGACAGTGATATTATAAGAGCCTTCCCAATGCGTAATCTTGAATCAACACTAAAATGGCTTTCCTGTCATTTTAGGTATTGGGTTTTAATCAAACGTCATTTATAGACTTCTTAAAGGACGCTAATAGGCTCAATTGGATCAGGTCATACATACCTCATTCATCAACTGAGTTGCAAACTTGAAATGCCTGTTGATTGGACAATCAGCAACATACTTGAAATCTGACTTCGTCCTTTCAAATACCTCTTTATACTTATACTAGAGAAAATAGAACATGGTTACTTGATAGCATCTGTGATTATCTTAAGAATGAGACATGCCATTTATTGTATACAATTGTGATTAATTCATTCATAGAGATAACAAGTAATTACTGAACACACTCTGGCTCCCAAGGCAATGGGAGCCCAACCCACCTCAATGTCTTAAAAACTAGCCCCCAAATACATACTTTCATTGAATGGATGTCAAATAGATCTATATTCCATATTGGACAAAAACCCAAATCAGTTTCTTCTTTGTTTCAATACTTATAGTGATTATTATTTTACTTTGAATGTATTTCCATGTGCCCTCGAAGGCAGTTTTTAGTCCGTTAATTAGAAGTTTTCCAGTAATGAATCAGATAATCATAATATTTTAGAGCAGGGGTATGCTAGCATCTAGACCACTACCTGTTTTTAAATAGCCCCATGAACTAAGAAAAAACTTTTTTATATAGTACTAAGGGATTGTAACAAAGAATATGTGACAGAATGAATGTGATCCACAAAGTGTAAACTATTTACTATCTGGAACCTTTCAGAAAAGTTTGCTGACTTCTATTTTAGAACTCAAAGGAAGCTAATCCAACTGCTTTATTTTGTAAGTAGGAAAATGAGGCCATAAAAACAAAGTTATTTGCTTCAAGTCACACGTCAAGTTTGTAGATTAAAATAATCTCACTTTCTATTTGCTTCCATATCAAATCACCCAGAGGCATATTAGGAAATTCTGGAAGAGCCATGAGGAGTTGTACTGAGATGGCCTTTTATCAAATTCAAATGAGTGATGTAAATAAATGATTACTATTGTCAATGAGGCCAATACTAAAATAATTCCTGAGTAGGGTGAATAATGTAGTATATACTCCAATTTTAGGGTCTAGAAGCAAGGATAGGGATGGAAATACGAGAAGCTGTTTCCTCAGTACTAATTCTCTCTGTGGGCACTGGAGTACATTTCATGGATGTGGCTGTTACCCTTGAGTAGATATATACCTTGCTGTAGAGAGTCTTGTTCTTTTCAGCCAGAGTGAAGTCGGGGGTATCAAAGGCATAGCAACCAATGCCTTTAAGCCAGGTCAAATCTTCTTTATATTTTACCTGGGAGAAGAATATCACCAAAGAGTTTTAAGTACCTATCTCCAAATAGCAGTAGGTTAGGATCGAGACAAGTAGAACAAATAGAAGGTCTGACCACTAAGGTATATAGAATAATAAAGTATTGAAATAATTATTTAAGAGACATTTCCAATAATACTGATTTCTGCTCACTTTATGGTGTACTGTATTGCATATGGAGTTTTTCATTTTAATACCAAGTAAAGCAATTCAAATTTAACAGGCATACTTGCCTAGAGAGTACATCATTAGCTCAGCAGCTGTATTTTCATATAAAGAGCTGAAATTTCTTTCTAAATGAGCATTGTCATGTGTCTTCATTGCTTAATTGTCCTGAAGTTGTCTCTTCAGTTGCTCAAAAATAGGTTATCATTTACATGAAATATATCGCTTCCAGTCATGTATTATGATGTAACACATTTAGAAGAAAAATAAGGTTTATAAATTTGAATATATTTTTCTGTCTCCTGAGTTGAAGCTCACTTATTTAGCAATGAGCTTTATGACTTAAACATCTATACACAAGAGCTAAAATTTAGTCAAGTGTTTAATCAGTTTTTATGCAGTGTTTGATTTCATTGTCATGTGGACATATTAATTCATATGTAAAAATAGAAGATTTCAAGACTCACATCACTGACTGCATCAGTGACTGCTCGATGGTGGAAATGCTCAGGGTGATCAGGGATGGACCTCCAGATTCCCAGCTGGCTCATGTAGTTCTCCTTGTATTTTATCTGTGGTAAAAGCACAAAGACAGCTTTAATGTCTTACCCAAATTTAATGTAAAAAAGTCCCTTTGTCTCCAGAGAGTTTTAGGAAAGGGAGGATACTTTTAAAAATTATGGTGGGTTATTGAGCCCAACACAAGTAGAAATATATAGGGGCGTACTTTACTGATGCGGTCTGTGACTTGGCGATGATAAACGATGTCTAGAGCATCCTTCACAGTGTGGTATTTCCCTTTGGTCTTTTGAAATGTTTCTTTATAGCGTAGCTGGAAAGAGGAAAAGCACATGGATTATGAAGAACTACCAAGTTAAATAACTAAGCTCTTTTAACCTTGAACTCTCCTGAGTCTTATCTCTTATGTTTTCCCTTGAATAAATTTGGGAGAGATTAAAAACCTCTTTCACATCCTGGAAGAGAAAAAGGACATTCGGAGAAAACAAAAGAAATCTGCATAACGTGTGGAGTTTAGTTAATAATAATGTATCAATATTGATTTGTGACAAATGTCCCATGGTATTGTAGGGTGAAACTGGGTATAGGCTATATGGGAACTATATGGGAACTCTCTGTACTATCGCTGCAACTTTCCTGTAAATCTAAAACTACTTAAAATAAAAAGTTTATTTAAACGTAAAACAAGCAGACAAAAAGCTCATTTGGGAGGAGAGAAAAAAAAAAAGAAGCATAACTTTGTTGAACCCAAGACATACTAATGTATGTGGAAAAAGGAGAAAGATTTAGTTTCTAACTCCTGGTATTAAAATGCCTTTTCCATGGAGCAGTCCTAAAATTTTATTCCATTTCAATCTTTATCTTTGTGGTATTTCAAAGGTCAACAGCTCTGACTTTAACCTAAGAATATCATAGAAGATTCATCTCATCTACACAAAATGAGTACTTCTCTGAGCACTCTGGTATCAATCTCGAACGGATCTTTTCTTTTTTGGGTAGCTGAGCAAACACATACTGAAGGAGGCCTTTAACTTTGTTTTTCAGATGGGTAATCTAAGAGCCTTTAGCTGTACTTGTGGAGATAGCCACGGTAGATAGGCTAAATTTAATGCCACATACCAGCTGGACTATTTCAAAGGTTAGAGTTACCAGTATTGGTACTGACAAAGCCCTGGGGATAGGGCTGTCCAGTGGCGTATAATGAGCTCCAGGGGCCAATTTCACTGTGGGGACATCCCTGAGAAGTGGTGATGCAGAGCAAGCTTGGTTCAAATTAATATTCAACAGTAACCTTGAAGTGAGAAAGATGGGGTTGTCACAAGAAGACAAAAACTATCCTAGCAAATAGATTTTGAGGGTAGCATATAATTTTTTCAGCTTATATTTTAAGCAAACCGACATGGTCTTCTTCCAACTAGCAGACTCCTTTTAGCTGCAACTGAAAATTTCTGACAAAATTACAGAACTAAGATATCGTTCCAATTTGCTGTACACTTTCACAATTCTGCTTAGGGATTACTGTAACCACTTAAGATGCTTGAAATCCTAGAGCTATGTTGCTAAATTGAGGGTGAGGGGGTTGCTTGAGCTTTTGGCTGGGTTAAGTCCCAACCAGTCCTCCAGAGATCCTGGTTCTGGTAATAGGTGCAATGCATTCATAATTGGGCTCTGGGACACAAAACTGGTAAGGACTGGCCATCTAACCAGGTTGATTCATTTCATATCTTCATTAACAGATAATCTCATTACCGTTGAAAGGCACTCTGTCCTTGATCACGTGGTATGGGAAATGAAAGTCTGTCCCTCTGAATTCTAACAAACATGTCATTCACATGATTTAGGCGATCAAGAGGAGGAACAAACATTTTCTGAGTGTCAACTAAGAGCCCTGCACTGTGCTAGAAACGTGTTATCTGTTTAGTCTAATTTAATTATCACAATTCTTATCCTCATTTCACATATAAGAAAAGAGACTCAGAAAAATTAGGTAAATTATATGGAGTCATACAGCAGGCAAATCACAGCATCAGGATTTGAAACCGTGTTTGGCTGTTTCCAAGAACAACATTTTATGGATAAGCAACATCAAGTATCCCTAGGAAATGCCACCAAAGAATTAGAAGAAAGGGTCCTATTTTTGCTTGGAAGAGCAACGAGAAAAACAGTAGGTTTTCAGCATTATTCTTAGCGACTTTGCCAAATGGTATTGTTTGTGCCTGTTTGTTTGGCTTTTGTATTTTTGTTTCTTTCCTGATCTGTACTGTGGGCCAGGACTTTGAATTATGGATATGACTGTAATATCTTATGCTTCTTAGGCGTTTCCACTTCAGCTGCCCCATCACAATGAAGAAAGAAGGGAGGGATGCATACATCACTGGCATTCCAGTAAGCCTTCTTGGCTCTGATGAGGATTGGCGTATCTGGAACTGGAGTGTACTTGTCCTTCATCTTTTCATACTGAATTTTGTACTTTTTCTAAGAAATAAAGATGGAAGAGAGAGAAATTTAAGTTCAAGTGTTTTCATCCCTCCCAATTCACAACCATGGAACAGATCCAGCCTAGGGACACACCGGATCATGCTCGTTAGGAGAATAGCTCTGCCTTCTGTTTCTTGATGCTGTTGAGCACAACTTATAGAAATGAGCTCTCTGATCAGAGGCAGCAGGTGAAGGTTTTTTTTTAATTAATTAAATTTATTTATTTATTTTTATCTTGGCCACGCTGCATATCTTATGGGATCTCAGTTCATCACCAGGGATTGAACCCAGGACATGGCAGTGAACGAATCCTAACCACTAGACCACCAGGGAACTCCCAAGCAGGTGAAGGTTTTAGCAAAGGATTTGTTTCTTTAGCTCAGTGCCTGGGTGCTGAATTCCCAACTCACCTCACTGACCATGTCCTTCACGTCTTTAGCATGCTTCAAGGCTGTGGTCTGGTTTCCAGCATGATGATGTGGCCTCTCTTTGGTGGCAAGTTCAACATACAGATACTGAATGATAATAGGCACAACGTTATAAATCAACTATACGCCAATAAAAATTAAAAACAAAGAATAGGGGTCAGATGTTACAGAGATAAAATACCCCTTATTTAGTATTCAGTCCTCTTTACTCATTTCTAACCCTAAGATGGGAGGGCAGTGTCTACTTGTTATTGTCCTGATTTTTTGTTGTTGTTGTTATGTGTGTTTCTGTTTATTTGTTTCTCCCTCTGTCTCACATTAGGAAACACATATACGCACTCCAGTCATCGAACATTCCTGCTGCTGAGTGTGGTCTAGTCTAAATCCACGTGATAAAAAATGCTGATAGAAGAATGAGAGGAATTCTGATAGTCTTCAACATATTTTTTTTTCATTTTTGCCTGAATGCATGAATTGTGCTTTCATTTATCTGTGGACAAAATATAGGTCCTATGGAATGAATTAAAAAATTTATTTTCACCACCTGGAATCCACAGACCACTCATCCAATGACTAAAGTTGTATAGAGCTTAGAAGACATGGCATTACCTGCTCATGTAAAACATACCATAGTGAAGACGGCCCCAAAGAAAGCAGCTTCTTGAAGTTAAAGGGCATGAGGCTGCATCAGGACGACCAAGTGTGAGGGTCTGCTACTGACAGGAGTGGTCAGGCACACAGAACCACCCCCTGGGGCAGGTTTATGAATCTTCATGTGTGAGTGTTACCTGACTCTGAAGCTTCTGCCCTCGCTTGGCTCTTGTAAGATCAGGAGTATCAGGAACTGAAGTGAAGATTGACTTCTGCTTCTTGCCTGCAGCTCTGTACACCAGCTGGACATAAAACAGTCATAACCATCATTTCTGCTTCATGGACACATTCTATGCTCTGCAGATGCCTTTATTGCTTACTTCAGAGAAAAAGCAGGGCCTCTCCCACTGCAGCAATCTCAGTTTCTGTCCAATAAAGCAATACATTTTTTTAACCTCCTTAGCCTTCCTTTTCTTTTTTCCCTTGTATCAAAATTAGAGACATTCTGCAGCCTGTCCGAGTTCCAAGCCACCTGCTGTGTTCTTGTTCCCTTCTCACCTGTCCCTTCTAGGACCCTGTTCTAGCAGTTACCCTCAACCTTCCCTATGTTCCAGCCCTCTCCCTTCTTCTGCAAACAGACCCAAGTCCCTCCCTTCATTAAGCCTTTTCCAAGTTCTGCCAATGGCCTTTTTCCTTTCTTTCACAACCAAGCAAACTATGTGTTTTGCCTTTTTCTCTCTTTTGATTAATTTCACAAGGCAATAGTTTGGCTTCCACCCAACCACTCCAATGAAGTGAATTGCATTAAGACTACCACAAAAAATTACAATTGCTACATCCTAGAATACTTTTCTGCAGCAACTGTAGCTGCTCAGCAATTTCATTCCTGAACTCTGTTCTCTGCCTTCCATTCCCCCATTCTCCCCTAGGGGGCCTCCCATCTTTCTAGGCACTCCTCAGCTTCCTTCTATGGTTCTGCACTCCCCCAAAGGCTCCTATTAGCTAGAGTTAAGGGTTGGCTTCTTTTACCCTATACATTCTCCTTGGGTAACCTCATCTCTACCCAAGACCTCAACCATCAATTTGAGGTTGATGGTTTTCAAATTTTGTTAAATGGTTCCTTGATATCCTAGTCATGCAGGCCAGAAACTTGGGGAGTCATCCTAGACCCCTTCTCCCTCATTCCCACATCAAAATGGTCATGAATCCTGGGCTCCTAACTTTGTGATACTCCTTAAATCTGACCTTCTTCTCCTTTCCCACTGCCATGGCCCTAGTTCAGCCTCCTGTATGGTTTCTTTCTACACATCCTTAAGAGCCTCTAAACCACCTTCCCAAATCCTCTACTGGACACTTCACATGGCTTACCCATCTTTCACAAGCTCAAGAAAGAGATTTTCTTAGAGTTCAGATCTAATTAGATGTTAATGCTCAGATCTATCCTGCTCAGAAATAATTCATCAATGACTTTTCATCAAGTCCAAGATCATTAATATATCACCCACAAGCCTTCATAACCTGGCTTCTTCTATCCCATGTCTCCAGTCTCATTTCCCAACAGTCTTCCACACTCCCCATGTGATATTTGAAACTAGTCCCAGTTTCTAGAACTCATTATGGCCAATTTCCCATACTGTGCCTTCTACCTAGAATTTTCTTCCCACTCTTATCTGCCTGGAGAACTCCTGGAGACCATACTGTCTTGATCATTCCTATAGGATACCATTTATCATATTGATGTCTGTTTCTTCCCAGAGATTATGAGCCCATAGAATGCAGGAGCTCAGTTCTATCATACTTTTATCACCTCATATTTAGATAGAAGATCTGAAAAACAGCAGTCCTCTAATAAATATCAAGGATATTTAATATAATGAGGTGAACGAGAAAGTCTAAATGGATAACAAATAAATCCTAATCACGGATAAAAATGCTGGTTGAACAGATAAAATGTAGGAAATAAATAATATGTATATACACATGTATGTACGTGTCCATCTCTTTACATCTCAATTATATACAAGTGCAAGTTGAAACAAAATATAGCTCATCTGCTTAGGGCTGTTTTTGGTGTTACCAATGAAAGAAAGAAGATAAACAAAACAGAAATTTACTGTTTCTCCCAGGCTAAATTTTTGAATAAATCAAATCGACAAAATCATAGAATTTTATGGCTAAAAGAAGCCCAAATCATTACCTAGTCCAATTCTCTAGCTCAGGAAATTAGGGTGTTAAAGTTGTGAATTAGAAAAAGTCACACAACAAATTGGAAGTAAATCTGGAACTAAGACCCACCTCTCCCATGCCATTTCTACAATTCCCTTTGAAGTGTATTTCCCCTGTACTTAGGTATGCATTGTTATACTCCTTGGGACAACATCTCTGCTTCCTAGTACTACAGATACATATGTGTCAAGAATCTGCACAATTTAAAGACAAGTCAAAAGTCAATAACTTGAACTTTTGGCCATCAAACTTTTTACTAAGCCAGTGTTTCCCAAACTCACCTGATCCTAAAACCCCCTTAGTAAGAACAGATTTGCAGGCTCTACCCCAGACCTTCTGAATCCAGGGTAGTAGCTCAAATCGGTATTTTCTCAAGCTCAGGTCATTCTAACAGTGAGGCAAGTGTGAGAGAAATTGCACTACTAAACAATATCTATTTTTCTTCCTCAATGTTGTTGCATAATATGCACAAAATCCCAACAGGAATTGGGAAGAAGAGAAATTAAAGTTTTAGATAATTCTGAACCCAGACAGCTGAGAGAAGTAAAGGTATTTCAAAAGATGCCAATAAGCACTTTAAGTTACCAAACAATTTTTAATTAGTTAATTATTGGCTGGAGGAGAGATGTGATACTTTAAAGCAGTGGTTTCCAACACTGCCTGAATATTAGAATCATCTGTGAGGCAGCTAAAAATATGCAGATGTCCAGACATAGAGAATCTAGTGTGGGGCTTGAGGTTGGAGCCCACTCAAGGGTAGTTTTAAAATATTTCAGAGATGATTCTGATACTTAGCCAGCGTGGAGAGGCACCTTTACTGAGAAGAAACCCCGTATGCATTCCTATCTGAGTGCTAGCACTGGTTGAAATAACAGAGGGAAGTGCTCAGGAAAGCAAATGTGCTCAGTGTAGCATTTGTAAGAGCTGAAGAATGAATCACCCTCTGCCCTGGCTCACTCCAAGCGTAGGAGGCTGCACATCCTCTCCACTGAGGACAACGCTTGATTTGCCAAGGCTTCTTTAAGTCTAAGGACATAAGTGATCCCTAAACAGCAGCCATCAGAGTTATTAAGCGTGGGGAGTCAATGAAGTGGCCTGACAGCTTTATGGAGTCCGATAAATGAGGTCACAAGACAAACTGAGTTGAATGAGAATGGCCCACTGACCTATAATAGAAGCAACCATTTACATTTGTGGGATGCCCTTACCTTTAGAAAGCACATTTCGTCCTTGGCAAACACGGACATCTGTTATGGCACTATAGGATACACATCTAAGTAAGATGGGGGGCCATCCCTCAAGGGACCAACATAGGTGAGAGGATCAGATCTATGCACAACTAATGGCAATAAATCAGGAGCCTGGGTGCCAGGTGGGGCAGATGAAAATGAAACTAAGTTGTTTGGAGTTTCCTGAGTGGGCAGTAGAGCAGAGAGCCATTGAAAAACTTTTCAAATTGCACTGCCATGATTAGGGTTCCTGACAGCAGGAATTAATGAGAGAGAAATTTTTGAAATAAATTCAGTTTGGAGACAACAATAGTCTAAGACAGAAGGACTCTCTAATCTATAAAATCATGTAAACTCTCAGCTGTCCTAGTCATAGGTAGGGCAAGTATCAATAGCCTCATCTTATTAAAAAGGGACAAAATAAGTAAATTGAGGCAAAGTGAGGTCAACTGACTTGTTTAGACAGGGTGGCCACTCTGTAATTAAAGGCAGAAGGGAGATTTTGGCCCAATATAATTACCTAAAAAAAGATCGCTAGAGGAAGGAGGCCCTTGTGGTGACATGTTTACTTACTTCACTCAGATGTGTCTTCAATTCCTGCACTTTTCTGTATTCTGGAGTGTCAAGCACCACTTTGTATTTGTCTCGCATCTTCCTCGCATTATCGGTGTATAGGTAATTAGACTTAAAAAAAAAAAACAATGGAAATACAAGTTGATTAATCACTTCAGGAATTGCATGTCATGGTCACATGCTGTCTTTCAAACGGCTGGCATGTGCAAGCCACACTGACCCTCCCTGTGTCCTGGAGGTCTTCCCAAGCAGGACCAAAGACAACCGTCATTTAACTAAGCTCATTACCTTTTTTAGGAAGCACAGATCATCTTGAGTGGGTCAGGACTCTCTCAGTGAGTTAATGGCAAATTTCCCCTTAACAGAAGCTACAGACAGATTCCTCTTGCCCAGCTTTGTGAAGCTGTGCAGGAGGAGCTGCGTGTTGGGACGGTATGCACTCACCCAGAGCTTCCGCAGGTGCCGGGAGCGGACCATGTCAGGAGTGTCATACAGGAAGCAGCCCAGTCCCCTCAGGATCTGCAAGTCTTCTTTGTATTTAATCTGTGTCACAAACATAGAAATATAGCTGGTCATGAGCAAATATAAATCAAGAATAAGACAGAGTAGTGATACTTTTTTAGTGATGGATCTTTCATTTTGGTTCAACACACACCCTGTACTCTGAGTTTGCTTGAACTCAAATGAGTCATAGGTTTAAAAAAATTTTTTTAACTTATTTATTTTTTGTTGCATTGGGTCTTTGTTGCTGCACTCAGGCTTTCTCTAGTTGCGGCGAGCAGGGGCTACTCTTTGTTGCAGTGTGTGGGCTTCTCATTGTGGTGGCTTCTCTTGTTGTGGAGCACGGGCTCTGGGTGCGCAGGCTTCAGTAGCTGTGGCACGTGGGCTCAGTTGTTGTGGCTCACGGGATCTAGAGTGCAGGCTCAGTAGTTGTGAAGCATGGGCTTAGTTGCTCTGCGGCATGTGGGATCTTCCCAGACCAGGGCTCGAACCCGAGTCCCCTGCATTGGCAGGTGGATTCTTAACCACTGTGCCACCAGGGAAGTCCCATACGTTTTTAAAATTTAAATTGCTAACCCTGAACTGAGAAGAGGATATGGCTATTATTTTATTATATGGATTAAAAATACCATAGATTAAATGGAGTGGTATTTTATGAGAAGTAAACATTCAAGGAGAAAAAAAAAAATTCAGCAGGAAGTAGCTAAAGTGGATGGGAGCAGGGGTGAGTAGGAGAAAGATACTAAACATGACCTGGACAGAGGCCACTTGGAGTGAGGAGCTGGTAATGATTTGGTGTTGAATGTAGAATGGTGGTCAGCCATTCTTGTATCTCCCAAGTGGTCCTCTTACTACTATTTCCATAGCTGGGGAAATATGGGGTCCTGCTTCCACACTGCTTTACCTCCAAGTTCTACACTCAGTTTAGAATGCAAAAGGCTGCTCAAAGACTGGTTGGCTTACATACTGAGAGCAAGCCTGCCTCTTGGTAAGAGTCTGCCAGAAAGACCCGTATGAGATGCTTACATCACTGGTGATGTCTCCCACGTAGTGGCAATGGAGCACTTGGGGTGTGTATGGCAGAGAGATCATGTGGCCTTGCATCTTGAAGAAGTCTGATTTGTAAATCAACTACAGGGAAAAAAATGCCCATAAACACATAAATTAGAGACCGAATGGTTGACATTCATCCCTGGGTTCCATGGCCTCCCCTCTCTCCTAAGAAAATACCCACCTCGCTGACAGCTTCTTGTGTCTTCCTGACTTGGCGGATTTCAGGCGTGTCGGGAGTTGTGTGGATCTTGTCTTTCAGTTTGTGGTACAACTGTCGATACAGTCTCTACATTGGAGGGAAAACCATTCCAGATGGTTAGTGTAGGATGATGAGGGCATCTATACGCTAATCAACAATCAAATACTGTACATATTTAAAGAGCCATGAGAAGTGAGATTAAGGATACAGAAAATGATTGAAATTAGAAAAAATAGAAAGTGATATTTTGTTTGGGTGAAGAATTTTGAGCACAATCTTTCCACTTTCTATCAGATGGTTGGATAGTAGGGTTAGATATTCAGACCAATAGTTTATGTAGAAAACCAGGTTCATGAGTCAGACTAACATGCAACCTTACTAAAGATTTTTGAATACAAATGTCAAAAGAAGGAATTAATTTGCATTATAATCTATGGATGGGGTGGGTCTCTACAATGGCATTACCAAAATAAAAAAAACATTGCCACAGGATATCAGTATCAAAATGGTGACAAAAAGGATCTCCTTACTCCTTGCTGATGTGTAAGTTTATAGCTGAAATACAATTAATTCTTAATGCATTTCAAACAAAACCATGGTCTTTGAAACTCCTCCACAGAATTAACATTTACAGTACCTCGCTGGTGACGTTGTTGACCCTTCGGACATTGACAAATGGGACGTCATTGGGTCCAAGGGTATACCCATTTGCCTTCATGTGTTCATAAACTTCTTTGTACTTGAACTGCAGACGCAAAGTGAGAATGAGATCACTGATGGGTGAACAGAGAGTAAGCGTCACATTTCTCAAATGGAAAAGGGCTGTCGCTTTCATTTGAAAATTAGTCTCTAAGCATTAAGTAAGAAAAAAAGTCATTGACAAAATTTTTGTAATAATCTGAGTCTTGAAAATTATTTGTTGGCTAGTAAAGCCAGGTCCAGAAAGGAATACAACTCAGGGTTGCCTAGATTAAATCTGTTTGTAAGTAGGTATGCAAAATGCAAGAAAAACCTGTATTTTTAGTCCCAATATGGCTAGGAAATTAAGAAATGCAAAGCAGAAACAAGAGACTAATTGTAAGACTGATGGATGAATGGCTTTATAGACTATTTAAAAAATGATGTTAGAAGATTAAATCTGTGACTCTGCTTTGGAAACCATATTATTGGGCCACAGACTATGGGACTTTGCTGGTCAGCATGTTTGATTCCCAGGACTCTGGAGGGCAATGTGGAATGAAGAGCTCATTCTTCAACTGATGGTTGGTTTGTGGGTATGACCTGAAGGCCAGAGTCACTGGGATAGCCTACGCTTCTTCAGGCCTTGTTCACCAAGTCCAAACCTGACACTAGTGGGAAAGGTTGGTATCAGAGCTAATGCCTGGGCAATGCTCTCAGGTAGTGAGAGTCTAACTACCCCTCTGAGATTTCTATGAAATGGGCACAGAGGGTAAGTAGTGGGGCACGTATCAGAGCCTTTCCTTTCAAAGGAACATGCGGTGATGTTGTATCTTCTGCAGTGAAATGTTGCAGAAGGAAGACAACACTATCGCTACACAGCAGTGGTGCATGTATGAAGTTGCATTTCCAGTAGAGGGCTTGGGATAGTTCAGGATGCTTCTGTGCTAAGGCCAAAAGAAGTGGAGGCATCATGGCAGCCATGATTGCTAAGCCAAGGTAACTGAGTGATGCAGATACAACCCCATGAAAATCCTACGCTAACCCGCTGGGCTACCCAGGCACTGCCGAATTGCAGGAGCAGCACCCCTAGAAAACACACCATCTCCCCTTCCCTGCTCCCATCATTGTATCATGTTGAAACTTCAGGGTGTGATTAGGGGGATGAGAATAGACTGTTAACAAATATTAGCGTCCCCCTTCCCACTTTAAGCCCCATCTTAATGAAGAGGAGACCACTCACATAGCTGCTCATGTATCGGGTGTCCTTGGTGTGTTTGAAGTGAGGGGTGTCAACCGGAAGCCTATATCCAGTGGGCAGGGAGTGCAGGCCAGCTCTTCGGTACAGATTCTGCCGGGACAGAGAAGAGCAGGTTAAATGGGAGCTACATCAAATGACTGATCTAAGTTAAACAAGTCAGATCCAGGTTTTCAATTTGATACTTAGTGTACTTACACTCATTGAATTGATTTCAAGAAGAAATTAACTAAATTCTAAGAGTCAAGCAATGAATCAAATTACCCTTAACATATTGCTTTCAAAAAAAGAGCAATGAGTGAAGGAGTTTATAGAAAATAATTCTTCTGTGTTTCTAAACATACGCCTGGTTGACTGCATGGCAACCAGCAAGAATCTGGGAAAAGTAAATCGGCAGCTAGTGCCACCTCTGTGGTTAACCCTATACCCTTAGCTGATATTCAAGCCATCACCAATCCCCGAGATAGTCATAATTATAAGACGCATCTTTGGAAGCCCCCAGGGCCCCATAAACACAGTGTCTTGATGTTAGGCTGTCAGGTCAGGAGGCTCATATTCCTGGCAGAAGGAGGAAAGGAGTTCCTGTCTGTGATTTGAAATAGTCTGTCTCTCAGGGGAGCTAAAGAATAGTATTTTAAATATTATTAAAATAATATTTTATAATAATTATAAATAAATAATTAATAATAATTATTAATATAAATAATTAATAATTTAATATTAAATATTATTAAAATATTAAAAACCAAATTACTTTTAACATTCAGTATAGGACAGTAGCATTAAAGGTGAGACCAAAGTAGCACCACCAGATAACAAAGAACAGGGATATTAAATAACGTGAGTGGAATCTAGTTTCCTTCTCTTCTGAATTCCAACAGTAATTTCTAGCTTTATCTCTTATTGTATGGAATAAATAGTCTTTTTTTTTTTTTTTTTTTGTTCGTGGGGCTCTCACTTCTGTGGCCTCTCCCATTGCGGAGCACAGGCTCCGGATGCGCAGGCTCAGCGCTCGTGGCTCACGGGCCCAGCCGCTCCGCGGCATGTGGGATCTTCCCAGACCGGGGCACGAACCCGTGTCCCCTGCATCGGCAGGCGGACTCTCAACCACTGTGCCACCAGGGAAGCCCAAATAAATAGTCTTTTATGATTATATGCCTTGTCTTTGTCATCTTGTCTTGGATTTTAAGCTTTTTGAGAGCAGAGATAGTAGACTGACCCTGTTCTATGTAACTTCTGTGCAAGCATTGCTCCAAAAATGCCCACTGCTTGCTCTCAGACAAGAGGGAAGACAAGCAGTGCACTGTTATTTGTTTTGTTTTGTTTAGCTCATGTGAATGAAACAGGCTTTACAATTTACAAGGTCAGGATGTAAATTGTAAAGACTGAGGATGCCCAAGCCAAGGCCACTTCTACAGAGGCCTGGCCCTCGTCAGCTGAGTCCTGGATTTCTGCTGGGCACTCTGTCCAGGTCTCATTTCTCACCTCACTCTGGAGCTTGTATGCATGAAGGGCCCGGTCCAAATCCACAGTTTTTGTGGTTGGAGCCACTTTGCCTCTGACACTGTGCACGTAGTCATGGTGGTAGATGGCCTGGGTACAGAGAGAAGCAGAGTGAGCTGAGTGGACTATGGCAGCAGGGTTAGAAAGAAGCAAAGTAAACACAAACCCAAGTCTCCTATTATAAAAAGTAATAGCCTGCTCCCCTTTGCCTTGGGAACTCTATCTCATATACTGTGCTTTGTCCACCAGGACCACAGCCAGGGTATGGACCCCACACTGAAAAATCAGTGGAAGAGTCAGCTCAGGCACAAGAAGAGGAAGAATGGGCATTTTACCACTACCTATTCCAAAAGAATAAGTTTTCACGTTCTGACTCATTGGTGGGATTTAATATTTGCTTATTAACCTTTGGGGTTAATAAAAAAAAAGGGCAGCCTGCTCTGTGTCAGTGTGCCATTACAGGGGGTGCTTTCTATCCACTTTCTAGTCATCTGCATAAGGATGCTGAGGCTTGGGGGATTAAGAGCTTCTCTCAAGCCTCACCGATTATGCATGGTAGAGGCCACATCTGTAACTGCAGAGACCTTCCCCTCCTCATCTTACCATAGTGAGCACTAATGTATTAGAAGGCTGATACTACGAGGCATAAACCGTTGCTTACAACGCAAGGATACAAAAGTAACCTTGGAAGCTCTAAAAGCTTTTTAAATCCATGGATTTCATAGATTTGGATCACTTACAAGGCCACCCCAGGAAACTGATGGAACATATCAGGTTTTAGGAAATAAGAGCAGACTCTTTTTTTTTTTTTTTTTCGGTACGCGGGCCTCTCACTGTTGTGGCCTCTCCCGTTACAGAGCACAGACTCCGGATGCGCAGGCTCAGTGGCCATGGCTCACGGGCCCAGCCGCTCCGCCGCATGTGGGATCTTCCCACACTGGGGCACGAGCCCGTGTCCCCTGCATTGGCAGGCGGACTGTCAACCACTGCGCCACCAGGGAAGCCCTAAGAGCAGACTCTTAAGTACTTTCTAAGGCACCAACTCTGGTTTCCCATTGAGAAAAGGCCTGGCCTTGCCCTACTTTGGTTTTTCCCACTTCTGCTGGAGCAGTGGCCCTGTCTTTACTCTCCCAGCAGTAACTTTCCCAGTGGGCACTTACGTCACTTAGTTGTTTCCCACTTTTGACAGCCTGAACATAGATGGGAGTGTCAGTAACCAACTTGTAGTTATTCTTTGTTTTCTGCACATGAGCTTTGTACTTGATCTGCCGAAAGGAAGAAAATAAGCCTGTGTTAGACCATTCATTATATTAGAAATTGCTGGTTTTCACAGAGGGTTTGGTTGCTTTTAACTCATGGCATTTACATTTACATTTACATCCATGTAAATGGCATTTACAACAGACTAACGTGCACTTGAATTTTATAACAATCGGTGTAATCAATGCTTACAGTCACATGGATCTTTTAGAGTCTTCTAGGAGGCTTGACAACTGCTTTCCTAGGAATGTTTAAGCTTTCTTCCTGAAATCTTGATTATAGTATTACTTTGCCTAGCTAATCCTCTTTACAAATAGACCCCGTCTATAGCATCAAAGACTCCTAACAAACGAGTTTTTTCTCATAATGAGGATTATATGTGCATTAATATATCCAAAATAGTTCAGAAGGTGGCGAGAAGAGCCAGGGGTCCCTTCTCCACCAGAGCACAGTGGGACAGCTCGTCTGCATTGTTTGCACTCCTGAGAAATGGGCACTCTGCTCCTCAGAATCTTCTTCCAGCTCAGCCATCCTCAGCACCACTTGAGACGCAGCTGGGTGTGACAATGTCTATACTTTACATACTCTCCCCTTGACGCTAGACTACACAGAGAAGGAAACATACTTTAAAGAGCTAAAAAAACAAAAAACAAGGCAAACTCACATCATTGCGTAGATCGTAAGCATGCTTGGCGTGGAGAATCTCAGGAGTGTCCCAGATGTAGCAACCAATGCCTTTCAGCCAGTTGAGATCATCCTTGTACACAATCTAGGGGATTGCATCAGATGGAGGGGGTCAGAAAAAGAAAACTTTACTGTAACTTTAACACCAAAGACATGGACACCCTCGGGACCCAGGATGACCTTGTGGAATGAAAAGCAAGACACTATGCCCTGAGGCCGTGGGTGTCCTGGAGACATCAGCATAGAGAGCCCTGCTTCCAGGGACGGCCTCGAATTCCTGACAGACCTATGGGTGTATCGAAAAGCGATATTGGAAGAGGGCTGAGCTGAAGAACCAGGTGAAGAACGGGGTGAGTCAGTCTCTCTTCAGGGTGGGCGTATGGGTCTGGGGAGGGGAGATCTTCATAAGCAATGGGCTTACGTCGCTGATCTCATCTGTGACCTTCCTGACGTGACTGTTGACTTGCAAGTCGGGGTGGCAAATCCACTCGTGGAGGTGAAGGCGGTAATCGATCTCGCTGACTTTCTTCTGAGAATCCTTAGCGGTAACCATCTCTACCATGTCGGGCACCACGTGGATTTTCATCTTGTTCTTCTCATAAACGGATCTGTACAGGCGCTGTGAAGATAACGTAACATGCCAGTTACACAGGGAATTACGCAAGGAATCATGGTGATACATGCCTTTCTTAGACACCAGAGAGGTCAGGGGAACCAATTTACAGCAGTTGGTTGGGGGCAGGGTGGAGACTGGAAGTTTCTGACACTGTCTACAGATTCATGGCGGTGGGGGAAGCAGTATGGGCTGAAAGAACACTTAGCTTCCTCACACGTGCATGGTCAACGCCATACGCGTTGTTGAACAGAACATGTTCTGATTTATAGTTCGTGGCTCCGTTACTTGACTTTTGAAGCCAGCCTTTGGGGTCACTTACGTCGATGTTAAACTTGCCAACTCGGAGGCACCGTGCTGTGTTCAGATCATCTTCAACACTTTTGGGTAAAGTATAAAGAGCTTTGAACTTTTCATATTCTTCCCGATATTTGTTCTATAGAGAGAAAATACAAAGGAAGAAACACAGTTTTGAAGAGTAATGGATCTAGATTGTTAAAAACGCATGAGACTTAACAGAAGGACCCGACTCTAAGATGGGCCACCTTGGGGTCAGCACTTCTCTGAGCTTGTTTCCTTGTCTGTGCCCACAGGCAGAGGTGGCACAGCCTGCCTCCAGATTACCTGAGGATTAGAGTAGACTGTGTGTAAACGTTCTTCAGGTACTGGTTTTAAAACCCCTGTACCAATACTGGTACTTCTACTGTTACCACAACTACTTTTAAAGATTATGTAATTTTTAAATGATCTCTTTTGTGATATTGGTTTTGTTTTTCTTAACCATAAGTGAAAGATGAAAAATGTACTCAGGAATTTCTTTGTTTTTTAATAACTGACAAGCCTGATGCTTAAGAGACTTAATCCTTGAATTTCAGTTTCTACAAGGTTTTCCAAAAATACAGTGCAACTAACTTCTATGGGAAAACCAACGTCTAGTTCTTAAGCCATATTGCCTATTAATTAATGCTTCATGATTTCATGAATTAGGAAGTAAGGCCCTTACAGAGGCTGAGATCCAATCTCCTAGCACATGATAAAATAACAATGCTCTCACAACTCAGAGACCCACATCTCAGTTAAAAAAAAAAAAAAAAAAGAAAGGAAAGATGGGAGTATATATGTATATATATATATACAGAACTCCAGTAAAGCCCTTCTTCACTGACTGGAAACTAAACAAAATTCCCATCAGAATTTTCCGTAACATTAGTTCACATACTCCTTACATCTAAGCTATTCTTCAATTATAAAGAAGATAGTATTCTGTGACTTTTTTCATGACTAAAGGAAAAAGTCTTTGCTGAACTTTCTGGATCCTATCTACAAAAATTCTCTTCCCAAATGAAAAGCTTGCTTCTTTGGGCTAGTCTGTTTGCAATCTTCCAAATAGAGTTGGCCCTGGGAAAAATCATTTAGATTTAATTTTTCCTCTGGGTAAAAATTAAATTAATTCCATATATTGTCTAACAACGTCTTTTTCTAAACTATGACTCTCTAGGCCCATTAAACAGTAGTGAAATCAGTTTCCTGGGTCATTAGCATTTAAGTGAAGAGAATAGAACTGAAAGATCAGGATGCACTGCCTTTAGTGTAGTGGTCAGTACTCTTCTGTAAAATGCTGATATCAGAAGGCACTCACAAAAACTTCAGTTGTGTGTGTGTGTGTGTGTGTGTGTGTGTGTGTGTTGACTTGCAGTACAAAATAAATCTCTCAGTGTGGGTCATGGTCAAAAAAAAGATTTGAGAAATACTGGTCTAAAGTGTTACATAAAATGTTCATAATTAAGAAGTAAAAGTCTCTAATAGAAGTAAAGTTTCCGAAAGAGAATTAGGCTTATTAGAACTGCAGTGAAGGTTATAGGGAATTTTACAATAAGAAGTTTTACTTAAGAACATTTTAGGCATAAAGGGTTAAAAGTGTTAAGATTTTATACTATACTATATTTAAACAGCTCATGTGATTTAGGATTTTAAAAAAATTATGTCTATACCTAAGAAAAGTTCTGTTTAAAAAAAACTGAATTTCAAGATTTTTAAATTTTTATATTTCATAGTGATAAAGATAACGATTTACTTTTAAATCATGTATTTGGGTCTGGTGCAATAACTAGTTACCACATTCACTGTCTTTTTTTAAGGGTACAATTTATTTATTTTTTATTTTTTTAATTAATTTTTATTGAAGTATAGTTGATTTACAATGTTGTGTTAGTTTCTGCTGTACATCACTGGTTTATTTTTTATAGCAATGTCCACATAATTCTATTAGAAAAGAGTATTTTGTATGGCATATTATGTCCTCTACCTATTCCCATTTCTGGCTAAAATGGAGTGTATCCATCCATGTCATTTTCAGGCAGGCAGCGTAAAAGGTCACATCGCTGTCCTTCATGTAAGTGTCTGTGAATCTCTCTGGACTTCAGGGCCCTTGAGAGGAAGCATAAGTGCACAGACTTTGTGATGACCAAGTGTCTGGAGTTATTTGCTGGTGTTCAACACAGGCAACACAGGAATCAGCCAGAAACATTTTGGAAGTGGAGGGCAGGGAAGGGTAAAGGGTGGTGGGAAGGTTATCATATCTGTACTTGACTTACATGGCTGGCCAGATGCTTCTGGTTCTTGACGTGTGTCAGGGACACGGTGTTGGAAGGCAGGATATAGCTGGTGGCTTTCACTTTATCCCAGGCCTCCTTGTACAGGTTCTATAGGGGTTAAAAATCTTCTTGTGAACACAGAAAAATGCAATCTGGCTAGCTTCCAGCAGTGGATTTTTCCTCTGTTTTTGTCCTTCTCAGACATTCCCTAGCAATCCCCAGATCTTCTCACTCTGTAGAAGCCAAGTACTCCTAAGTGAATAATGGGTTTAATGTCATGACCATAATTTCAGAGTCCATTATTTTGTTCTCTACCATAGCACTTATCACAGTTTCACAGTTATCAGAGGTTTCAATGCCATATTCATTCCCTCATAGGTCTAAGATTCCTGGAGGATGAAAACCACTAACATTAAAATATATATGAATATATATATATATATATATATATATATATGAAGATTAAAAAATGTTTGTTTCCACTTCTAGGTATTTATTTACCCAGGAGAAATAAAAAGTTATGAACACACAGAACCTATATGCAAACGTGTATAGCAGCTTTATTCATAATTGTCAAAAACTGGACACAACTCAGATGTCCTTCAGCTGTGAATGGAAAAACAAACTGTGGTTTGGAATATTGCTTTTGCTATAAAAAGGATAAACTACTGATTTAGGCAGCAATGTGCGTAAAACATAAATGCATTTTGCTAAGAGAAAGAAGCCAGACCTAACGGCTACATATATACTGTGATCACGTTTCCGTGACACTCTGGAAAAGGTAAAACTATAGGGACAGAAAACAGCTCTGTGGATGCTAGGGGAGAAGAGAGGGGCAGCAAAGGGACAATGTGGAGGTAATACAGAATTTTTTTGTATCTTGACTATAATGGTGAAAACATGACTCTATGCATTTGTCATAAGCCATAGTACTACATACCACAGAGTGAAATTTACTGTATGCAAATTAAAACAACCAACCAAAGAATCAGCCAGAATGGGGGAGGTGACTAAAATGGAATACAAACTGTAGCAAATAAATCTGATTGTAATACAAATGTATAACAAGACTACAGTGAAGGAAGTGGCGAAGAAAACAACTGACTTAAGTAAATTTGGAAAATGGTAACTTGACTGGATACTCTAAGGCTATAGGCAAATATAACTGCACACAATATACCCTACTCTAGGGCTTCCCTGGTGGCGCAGTGTTTAAGAATCCGCCTGCCAATGCAGGGGACACAGGTTCGACCCCTGGTCCAGGAAGATCCCACATGCCGCGAAGCAACTAAGCCCGTGCGCCACAACTACTGAGCCTGTGCTCTAGAGCCCATGGGCCACAACTACTGAGCCTGCGTGCCACAACTACTGAAGTCCGCGCGCCTAGAGCCCGTGCTCCGCAACAAGAGAAGCCACCACAATGAGAAGCCCGCGCATCACAACGAAGGGTAGCCCCTGCTCTCCGCAACTAGAGAAAGCCCACATGTAGCAACAAAGACGCAAGGCAGCCAAAATTAAATAAATAAATAAATTTATTAAAAAAAAATACCCTACTCTAGTTAGTAAATTTGTTTCTCACAGGCGTGTGTTAGATATTCTGAAAATACTTTATGTGGATACAAGGGTTGCACAAATAAGTAGATATATCATAAATAATGAGAGCCAGGCTTTTCACTGGAAAGGAAATAGAAAGTCACAAGTTGGAAAAATAAGTTTCACTTAAGGAAAGGGTGAAGGATAGAATGAGCCCTGTGGTGTTTAATTGCATTGAAGGTATCAGTATGGACTCATGATTTTAAAATATAGATACAGTTAGGTAAGTACAGAAATAGATACAGATATGTATGCATACATGGGTTAGTATACATGCATATATTTCTAAGCTCTGTCCACTTAGAGGGCCTAGGAACAATGACATCCTAGTAGTAATGAGCACACTTAGTGCTTGAATCTTGGTTCAAAATACCATTCTCCAATAAAATAAACTGGGAGTTTTTAGAGAGGTGGTTGATTCCAGGTCTGGAACAGGGAAAATACAGATGAGCCTGGAACATCTTGTGGTGCCAAGCAGTAAGGAAGTGCTCAAAAAACACGTGATTGGGTGTATCAAGGGGACACAGGAGTCACCCTGAAAGAGCTCCCCATAGCAAAGCTGAAACCATTTGAGCAACAAAATAAATAACAATAATATTAGACTCTACCACAGATTAAAATAAATACCCATGAGCCATGGGTATTGCCCATGTAAGCAAACCAACAGTGGAGAAGGAACAGCTCTTCCTTACAGAAGAATTCCAGTTAATAAATGTATATAGAAGAAAAAAGGGAAAGAGAAAATCACTAGTAGGTATATTCCACAGTAATAATTCTTGCAGGCAAGCTCCATCAATGGATGCTAAAACACATGAGAGAAAGTATAAGGACAAACAGGATATTTGCATAGTCCCAAAGGATCTCCTCCAAGATATTTATTAATAACAAAGGTAAAACTAGTAACTTTACAGTGGAGCATCTCGGCAGTGAGCAACTTAACCAAGTGATCAAGGTCATCACAAGTTATCGACATTATGTACCACCTGCTATGGTGTGCTGAGAAGGGTGCATCAATTCTGTGTTGTTTTTGCAAAAAAAAGAAAAGGGCATACCTTTAATCTAATCATGAGAAAACATCAGATAAGCCCAAATTGAGGAAAGAATACTAGCCAGTTATTCTACAAAATAACTGGCTAGTATTCATCAAAAGTGTCAAGATGAGAAAAAGACAAGGAAAGATTGAGAAATTATCAGATTAGAAGAGACTGAGGAGTCACGACAACAAAATGCAATGTAGGATCCTGGATTGGAATCTGGCACAGAAAAGCAGGTTAGTGGAAAAAGTGGTGAAGTCTGGATAAAGCCTATAATTAACACTGTAACATCGTAACAATGTTAATTGCTTAGTTTTGATAGTTGTACTATAGAGAAAAGTATGAGGAAATTCTCTGTACTATTTTTGCAGTGTTTCTGTAAATCTAAAATTAATTCAAAATGAAGTTTAAAAATGTAACCAGGGCTTCCCTGGTGGCACAGTGGTTGAGAGTCTCCTGCCAATGCAGGGGACGCGGGTTCGTGCCCCGGTCCGGGAAGATCCCACATGTCGCGGAGTGGCTGGGCCCGTGAGCCATGTCTGCTGAGCCTGTGCGTCCGGAGCCTGTGCTCCGCAAAGGGAGAGGCCATAACAGTGAGAGGCCTGCGTACCGCAAAAAAAAAAAAAAAAAAATGTAACCAATTCAGAGGCAGGAAGAAAAGTGTGCCTCTGTTGGTCTGTAAGTCACTGGCCAAGGGAGAAGCCACGGAAAAACAAGTCTAGGGTCAACAAAGAAGAGCTTCAACAGTACCTGTCTGCAATAAGGCAGGAGTTGGTGAATTTGTGTCAATTGCATGAAATAGAACAATATTCAAATTGGGGCTGATTTACTTGTAACTATGAGGACTTACAAGATAAAGTAGGAATTTAAAGGTCCGGGAAAAAGATTGGAAAGACCTTTGGGGGTAAGGTTGTCTGTCCCTTTTCATCTCTTATTGTCTATAAAGGTGAAAAAGGTAACTCAAATACAGAGAAAAGAAACTCAACTCACACTGCTATACAGATCCTTCAGATTCTTGGTTCTGTCATAATCCACCGTTTCTAGAACTGTCGTGTATTTGTCTTTAATCTGATGATAATTTTCTTTATATTTCACCTACAGACAAAAAGGATGGGTTATTCTTTTCTATTGTTTGACAATATGTAAAGACAATAACAGCTTGTCTTGGGAGAGAAGTACAAGGAAGACACACCTCACTGGCATTAATGCCGCTTTGAAGAGCAGTCACGTAAAGCGGTGTATCTGTGACCAGGTTATAATTTTTTAGATTTTCTTTACCTGCTGCCGTGTATTGTATCTGTGAAGAAAAAGAAAAGTCACTGAAAATGGTAAAATGCAGGTCTTCCATCAGGTTTAGCAGTTTGTGCCTACTTAGATGTACCTTTATTTCTGGGTTTCTGCTTTAATCCTAACAGAGGATACGTTGTACAGTTTGAGACTTTGCATGGCTGTCAAAACTAACAGTTTCTCTTGACCAAGAGTGGAGTCTAGATCTTTGCCACGTCCCTTCTTCCTTGTGTTGTTTTTCCATGCCTATACTCCATCCCTGACAGCAGCCCCTCAATTTCAACATTCCATTAGTCTGCCCTATCCAAGCTGAATTTCTGCTGGGAAATTTCCCAAATGTCTACTTTTTACTTCAAGATTTAACTATTTATGGTCAAAGTATGCATGTGCATTCTACTCCCTGCCAGTTAACCTGATCAACTAAGGTGTAGATGCTTGAGAGTAGTTCACTCTGAAACACCTCCCAGATAACTTTCTGCTGTAAATGTCTATAGCCTTAAATCACAGGAGAGACTCAAACTGAGGAAAGCCAGCACCAGAACAGGCCACCAGAGAGGTTTTATTGGGCAGGGGCCTTTGGTTCCCTTAGATCATGCACTGTCAAAGCTGCTTTCTCTGGGGCACAGGGACAGCCTTGCTATCACTCCACTGAGAGCACCATGGAGCCCATCAATCCACAGTGAGCTAGTCCCTCTAAGAAGATGACTCACCTGACTCTGGAGGTCATATGATTTCTTGGCATGGAGGATCTGGGGTGTATCCCAAACGTAGCATCCAATGCCTTTCAGCCAATTCAAGTCACTTTTATACACGTTCTGCAAGAAAGAAGAAACTGTGAAAGGTGACAGGTACTAACTGAATTTACAATCGAGCATTTGATAATTTCCTATCAGCCCTTGGCTGTGCTTAGTACTTAGCAGTCATAGGGTGGGTTTCTCAACACCTGGAAGGTCTTTAATGCCCTGGCCTAAAGAAGTTTAGGAAGAGAGCAACAGCTAAGTTTTAGTCTAGTGTTGAACAGATAAAATATTTAACATAGGTGCCTCATTGCTCCAAGGGGATCCTTACACCAAAAACGGTTACTCATGCCACTTTGTAGTGAAAAGCAGCAGGGTTTAGGAATACAGGGACAATTAGAACATGGGGCCCCAGGCAGGGCTGGGTGAAGCCTGTAACTTAGTCAACCTGCAGAAAGGACATCATACATCACTCAACATCTCCTGCGCGTTTTGGGCCCGAATAACATTGGGTTCTTCTGGAAGAGATGTCCACTGGTGGAAGTAGTGTCGGTACTCCAGGTCACTGAGGATGTGCTGGCACCTTTTAGCCAGCACATGATTCATCATATCATTGGGGATATGAATATTTGCTTTGGTGTCCTCATAATGTCTTCTGTAGTTCAACTAAAGAATAATATGTTTTTAAAGACAAAAATAAGAAAGGAATTAAATGTAAATTATTCTGATCAATCTCTTTTATAGTCTTATTTTCAACATAGATCAATACCTTTAGAATAGACTAAGGTTAAAAAATGACACTTTAAAAAAAAAAAAAATGACACTTTAATATACTCTTCTTCTTTAAAAATTTCCCATCCTTTTATAACACAGGGTAAAGAGTGACTTTGTTTTCTCCTTTTTCCAAATACAGAGCCCTCACTGTGTTTGGAGGAGGCAGGAGGGAAAGGGTGAAAACACACAGCCATCAGAGGTGCACAGGGCTAACTGGCAGGGGCGGGGGACAGTCTCAAGACTGGCTCATTCCTCACCATCCCACCCCCCCAGCTAATCTTGAACCAAAGGGCAGATTATAAATAGGCAGACTAGTATTACACTTAAGTGTGCAGATCCTCTGTTACAGTGAACTTTGCTTACCGCACTCCTCATCTTTTGGAAATCCAGACAGTGAATCACGTTGGGGAACTCACTGATTTCTTTTCCAGCCAGGTAGTGACCCTTCAGCTTCTCATAGGTCTCTTTGTATTTAAGCTGTGAAATAGGTGCAACATTGAAAATCACTGGGACTTTCTAACCAGCCCTTTGTGGCTGGAAAGACTCTCAAACTTGTGAAAGGAAAAAGTCCTACTGACCTCACTGTTCACAAAGTCAGCATGCTTGGCTCCAACAATGGGAACATAGCGTTCGTCCAAGGTGTAGCCGTAGGCCTTGGTTCCCTCCCATGCTCCTTTATACAGTATCTAGGACAAAGAAAGGTGTATCAACAAAAGTTTGCATTCAACTTCTTTCAGGTGCCACTCGAAAGAAAGTAGTAAAATCAAGGTAAAATACTCATGATTAAAGGCAAGGCTTAAATCTTCATTAACAGCTGTTAGTGTGCGTACCTAAGAACAGGGCAGAGTCTTTGGGCTTGTTGCAAATTAAATCTACAGACCCTGAGGCATTTTATAACAGAGTTTAACTGTATTTACAGTTCTAATAAAAGTGAAAACAAATTTGCACACAGAGGGAGAATCACCAAAGATGGCTTCCCATTCGGCATATACACATATACGCTACACACACATCACCTTTAGATTAGCTGAATTAAAATTTGGAGGGCAAGTCCTCCACTTGTTGGCTGGAGATATATGTACATGATTGCTAAAGAGGGACCAGCCTTTCCTCTCTTCTCTCTGTTGGTAGTTGCTTGGTCCTACGTGCACCCGGAAGTGACATAGCTCTTGTTAGGTTATTGTCTCTCTCTTTATTTGAATGTCTCCCTCACTTACAGGGGCTCCTGGAGGGTTTGTCTCATTGATCTTTAGCTCCTCAGTGCCTCTCATAGGGCCTGGCACATCACAGGGGCTCAAAAAACACCAGCTGGATAAACATTATTTGCCCTGAATAATATGCTACTTCTAATAAACAAGACTAAATACAACAAAAACAATAGATCTCCTTATAAGTTCAGTTGCTCACAAAATCAGCCAAGAATATGAATACTGACAAGAGCTTAAAATTCGGAACTGAGTTGTATATCACATAAAATGGAACTTACGGTACTGTAGAGTTTTCCCATGTCTTTGGAATGGGTAATATATGGTGTATCTGGAGAAAAGGTATACTTGCCCTTTATTAATTTATTAAATGTTTCTTTATATTTTACCTGAGGGGAGAAAACAAAACCTTTGATTATTCTAAATGTATATTTAAAGTTTCACAAGATCTACCTAGCAAGATAATAATTAGTCTACATTTAGAGATTAACCAACTGGTTAAATTTCATTATATGATATATAATTTATATTATAACTAATATAATGGAAAGTTTTGGATAATAATTTAGATATTATCTAAAAGTGGGTACAGTATACCACCTACTAGTGACTTTTAAGACATTCTCCGCCAAAGATTTTCTTATAATTTACTCCCTATCGTCTCACACGCAGTTATCTGGAGTTACGCAAGCCTGTTCAACTACAGACAACTAAGTCTCCGGTTTGTGTATCTCATTATACACAAAGCAAACTTACATCACTTTGATTGACTGAGTTAATCTTGGCCAGAACAATCTCTGGAGGATCCACCACGCTTGTAAAGTTAGGATAGTTGGCAAGAGCATCTTTCTTATAGTTTATCTACAAAGAAATAGAGACGATTAAGACAGGTGTCCCCCCTGCCCCCCCACATGGGGATAGGTACATATCCTCACATGGCAGGTAAGGAGGCCAGGCCTTATGTAAGAAGAACAGGCTTTGCTTACCTGAGTCACCATTTCCTGGTTCTTGGTAACCCTCACATGGTCTACAGAATCCAGGGGGATCCAACCAATGCCTCGGAGCCACTCCAGGTCAGCTTTGTAGACATTCTGAGAGCAGGAAGGGAGACATGATGCAGGTATAAATGACTCAGGCACAGGATGACAAGCAGCAGGTTAGAAACAATGTTTTCAGAAGCTTTTTAGGGTTTTCTCTCTAGTGGCTGTTGTCTCATTGATTCAATCATGATTTCATCCATACACCTGAGCAACATTTCTTGAGCCTGTTACTATAAATGAAGAACTATGGAAGGTTATTTGAGGTATAAGTATAAGGAAGACCTCTAAGTGTAAAGAAAAGTTACTTATAAAGTGCAAAGTGGTTAAAGGCTATGAGAGGAAGACCATGCAGATGCTGTGGGAGTTGAGGGTAAGGGACCATTGTTTTCATCTGTGAGCATAAGAGAAGGTTTTACCAAGGAAGTTATAGTTACACAGAAATACATTTAGACTAAGGGGGCATTTAGACTAAGTAAAGGAGTAAATGCTCATGTACTGTAGGGTTGGGGGAAGCATCCCTCCAGCCCATCTCTACCCTTCCCCCTCACTTGCTGAATTCTCTCAGGCCATCCCACACCAAATGAAGAGGAGTTGCTAATCTGATTAAAGTTCCACAGTGGTCATCCTCCTGCAGCAACCAGTGAGGTGGGATGTTCAAGTTCACCACCTGTGCTGCAGGCAGTCTTTGACATCCTGTTTCTGTTTTGGTAATTATCAGAAGACCCAGGTAGGGTTAGCTCCTCGGCGCACCTGAGCATCACATCGATGCATTGTGTTTCTGTTTCCTAAAGACTGCTGGTGGCAGGTAGAGATCTTGATTCAGCCATCAATGGGAGGTGGCCTGAGATATATTCTCCATCCCAGCTTTAAACTCTGCATAAGGGATTCTGGGCCTCATGCAGCTCCTCAGTACATTGTGTCCTCTTTGCTTTGATCCCTTGTAAGCAACTCCTTCATAAATGCCATGAGGAAGGAGACGCTCAGCAAAGCAAGAAGGAGGCATTCCCAGGTCCCTGACTATACTATCATCTAATATAGTCAAAATCCCAACTCCATCTCAGCTCCCACCCCAGCCAATTATTATTTTAAATCAGTTGATAATTTTCCACGCAAATGTGAGGAGCTGTTGATGGCAGAGATGGTACAAAAGCAGATTTCTAAAAAATTGACTTTGAAAGTTATTCAGAAATGCACAGTCAGTAGGCAAAGCTGTCCGTCACTGCTCCCAACCTTTCTCTGCTTCATATCCAGTCTTAATTACCTTCTGAGAGCAAACTAAGTATTTATGGTCCAAAGTGTCATAGACTGGTGGTTCTAGAATGCTGCTTATGATTCTCAGAGTAGACCATACGTTTCTAGATAATTAAGAAACAAAAATCACTTACATCGCTTTGTAGGTCATAGGCCTTCCTTGCCTGAATAACATCATTTTGGTCAGGGTGACACGTCCATTGGTGCAGGTAATTCCGGTAATCAGTATCACTGACAAGGGCCTGCCCCTCCTTGGCCACCAACACCGACACCATGTCAGGAGGTATATTGATTCTGGCCTTTGTTTTATGATAGTGCTCTTTGTATAGTCTGTCATTCTGAATCTGGCCTGCGTGCTCGAACCAAACCAGTTTAGGATCATCTCTCATCGTCGGGACACCAACATAATGACCTTTCTGCTTGACATGGTCAGCTTTGTATTTCAGCTGGTGGGAAGAGGAACAGAGATCCCATCAGCTTTGACAAGCACACAAGGCAAAGGGGGCTTGAAACATCAGCAAACTCAGTCCCCCAGCTTTTTGTGTTACTCCCCCAAGAATAAATATCAAAAAACACTGAAATAGGGTGGGAGGGAGGCTCAAGAGGAAGGGGATATGGGGATATGTGTATACATATAGCTGATTCACTTTGTTGTACAGCAGAAACTAACACAACATTGTAAAGCAATTATACTCCAATAAAGATATTTTTTTTTAAAAGTAAAAGGGAAAGAGCAACAAGATTGCACGAAATAATTGCAAGATTATATATAAATCTTTTGTATAAAATAATAGAAATAAAGTAATCATTATTTCGCTCAGTAGATGTAATTATTTAAGGAGAACCATGTAAGTACTGACAGGCTCTCTCACTGATCAAACTTTAGTCAGGCTCCCCTGGGCCCTCTTCTTGATGAGGGCTCCACTTTGGTCTCTGTCTTTGCTGGGGCTGCATAGCCCAGTTTTAGCAAAAATTCTGTTAAATTTTAGCAGAGTTTAGCAGGAATCCCCCTATCCTTGATATCTCCTTTTAGTAACTTTCCGTCCACTGGACCCCTCACTGTTCCTTGGCTATAAATCTTCAATTGTCCTTTCTGTATTTGGACTTGAGCCCAGTTCTGTAATGAGGTTGCTTTTCCCCTTTTACTATAGTTTTTAAATAAAATCTATTTTTACCACTTTGCTAAAAAACAAAACAGAAACATTGAAATAAATAGATATGAAGAAATATCAATTTAAAAATAGAAAAATATACACTTATTTTCTAATTCTGGCAATATTGTATTTGAAAGCTTAGAGATTTTAGGGAAGCAGGGAATAGAAGAAAAAACAAAGACTTCAAACGATAGTTTTTAAAGAAGCCAAGAAAAAAAAGATGAAGAATGCCAAAAGCCCATGGGAAAAGGACCAGAAGGGAGCAGGTACCCTGACCATCCCCAAACCTGGCCAGGCCTGCCAGCCAACAAGGAACTCTCCATTACGCTACATGCCTTAGCATAAATGGGTTCCTGCACAGGGAAGGTCCAGCCTTTGCAAAGCACACTCATATCAGCATAAATTACCTCGCTCTGAACGTCACCAGAGTGATGGGCATGAACAAACGGCACAGCATCCGGAGGCAAAATGTAACTTGTGGCTTTTTGTTTCTCCCAGCTTTCCTTGTAGAGATACTAAAAGACAGAGAGCCAGGACAAAGGGTTAAACCAAGGAGTCAGAATGGAGGGATAAGTCTCCTATTGTTATGTTATGGTCCTCTGTCCCCACACAAAGTGCCAGGCATCCAGGTAAAATCCATACCTGGTCTAGTATTCGGGCTGCCTCCTGGGCAGCGTGCAGCTGAGGGGTTTCTGTGAGGGTGTACTTTGATTTGGTGTCATTCCAATTTTTTCGGTATTTAATCTAGAAATGAGAAGAAAGTTGGTAAGTTCTTTGATATTAAGAAAACATAATGTTGTCCAAGCAAATGCTAGCATCATTCGTCTCAACGTTTACAATCTGTATCTCAGACAATGACTGCACGCTGAGTGTAAGTAAGTGGAAAAGCTTTGGAAATGGTGTCTTCCCAACCGAGCAATTTTAGAATGACAGTCATGTACTTACATCATTTAGGATTTCACCACTTTGTTTTGCTGTCACGTAATCAACTCTGTCATCCACGGGAGTAAAGTTGAGAGTTTCTATTTTTGTGCGATATTTTCTCTATGGGAAAGAAAATATCTTTTAGATAGCTGTAGTCTCTGGTCCTGTGTGAGTTGATAAAGATATGCTGCATTTAAGGACCCTTTCTCTACTAGAGGCATAGAATGCCGTATGTCAATGGCATCTTCCTGGCAATTTGGCTTTCTTCTTAGCATTTTATTTTTTAACAAATGGGTTGCCTTCTTACACCTTCCACAGATTTTAAAGTAGCAGATCTGGTTAGCTCCCAAAGCCATGTAATGTATCATTATGTGAACTCAGTTCATTTTTTTTTTTCAACTGGACAAACTTCTCTCAAGTGTATTGCCATTGCTGACAAAAGAAGTTTTCTATTTATACAATTCTAAGCATTGTTGAGCGTAGATGGATGTGATTACATAATGTGAAAGGGACAGTACAGGATTATTTTGGAAAAATGTACGTCTGGCTTAAATGACAGCAATTGAAGTTGTTAAAACTGCTGATGGGGAATGACTGCATTTTGGCTCGTATAGTTTTTGCTCAGTCTCTTAGGAAATGTGCTGAATGGCAGGATAAGATCCTGGCATACCTCACTGAAGATGTCTGCAGCGTGCTTGGCATGATTGACAGAAACAGAATCATCTGGCATCCAGCCGATCCCACGTAACCATTCCAAGTCAGCCTTGTAAATAGCCTGTGAAAATAAGACCAGGAAGAAGTCAGTGACCCTGGTCATATTTATTCTATCCATTGGTCTGATGGAGAAATGCATTTTAAGAATGACATACTCAAGCAGCCAGACAAGTAACATAAGTAAATTAACTATGAGGCCAGGTGGTACGACAAACCAGCTGGGGACTTATTTGCTATTTAAAGGGGGTTAGCCTCAATTCAGATCCAGGTTATTGTTGCAAGGGCTAATGCATGTCTGGAGCTGCATCCTCTGATTTTTTTTCAATAAAAATGGGAACCCCTAGATTTGTACACAAAATTCCCTGATTTAAAAGCCTTGGCAACTTAATTCAACATTTAAAAATACTGTGTCAACTAAAATAACATATCTGTGACTACATCCTGACCATGGACTGCTGATATTTTAGTTACAATTTAAACCTCTGTTGCTACTTAAATTCTATTAAAATAATATTTTCAGAGTAGCTGTCTTTAACCGGAAACAGTTAAGAACTATATTCACACTACCACTTATTTCTTGATACAAAGTCCAGATCCTTCATGGCTCTGGTGATTTTGATACCATACTATAAGGTCTAACCAAAACCAAATTCTTCGCTATATAAAGATGTGAAGTGATGATGCAAGGATTTAATGACATAAACTTTCTGGGAGTCATGGGAAAATGATGCAAGAGCTCAGGCTAAAACGCAGCCCACTCACATCACTTTGCAGATCGTAGGCTTTCCTGGCCTGAATCACGTCCTGCTGGTCAGGCACGCACATCCATTGGTGCAGGTAATTGCGATAGTCAATGTCGCTGACCAGAGCCTGGCAATGTTTAGAGTGCGTGATGGAAAGCATATCTGGAGGGCTGTGGAACTTAGACTTCCATTTGGCCCAGTGCCGCCGGTACTCTCTTTCATTCTGAATCTTGCCAGCTATGAGGGCCCAGCGGATCTTGTTGTCATCCCTGGCTGTGAGGGTACCCACGTAGTGTCCCTTCTGCTTCTCATGGTCAAGCTTGTATTTATACTGGAGACAGAAAAACAAAGCAGATGGATCACAGCATGAACTCTCAGTGTACCTAGGGCATTTGTTTGAAAAACTGAGGAGTTAAACAAGGGCATACTCACATCACTGGCGATCTCCCTGGAGGCCTTGGCGGCCTGGATGGGGATGGCGTCCAGCCGTACATCACAGCTCATTTTCATCTCATCCCAACCTTCGCGGTAAATTTTCTGAAGAGGAGGAAAGATAAGGTATCGTTCCAGATTCAAACTTACTAATGACTCCAAGGGTTCAAGTAGAATTAATATCAGAGGGGTGCCATTTTTGAAGTCCCAGAACCAGTTTAAAAAAGGAATAGGTGAAAGAATCATTCTGTACCAATGTACTGGAGAACAAAATCATATCTGGAATCCAAAGATCTGGGCTGCACAAGAGTTCTTTCTTTTCTTTTTTTTTTGAATTATAGCTTTGATGTAGTTGTTCATGGTTTATGTAAAAGGGTTTATCTGCTTCTTGTATTGGTGTATTAGTGGTACTGGGATATGTTTAAGTTCAGACATTGGCAGGCTAGTATTGAATTTCTCTAGTTTAATAATTCTCTTTAACTAATTCATTTTTTAATCTTCAGAATTATAAACATTTTACATTTGAGTTTTTTTCCTCTCTGTATGGTTTCTTAGATCTTCTAATACGATTGATGATGCATATTTTTTGGGAATGTTAGATTTTCTTTCTGAAGCACCATTGGATGTAACGGCTATTTTCTAAGTGCAGCACTGTTTTGTTTGTAAAGAGAAGTCAGTTAAAGTAGTGACTGATTTACAGATAGCCTTCTAAAAATATATTCACATTTAAGTGGATACCTTCTGTACTGACGATGTCAGAAAGGCTCAGAAATAAGAGTAATTTAAATGTATAAATCAGAAATCATACCTATCACTATGGGAGCTTGAACAGTGCAGAAAGGAGAAGTGAATTTCAATCATTGACAGTTTCATGGCCTTTTCATATTTGAAAAATGAGTGCTTAGATAAATTTTGTCCTTGTAATGGACAAGTTTTATATGAATTTTCATTCAAGTTTTTGTATGAATTTTGGGTGGTCCAGTTTTAACATTTGACTTGTTTTTTTGTACAAAAGAAAAAAGTGTTCTCCACATTTAGATGTATTACACTAGAGAATATTTCATGCAAATTTGTAATTATGTTATTTAAACTTTTAAAATTTATTTTGTTTTATTACATATACTGTTACACTATTTTTTCTTATGTATTTTTTTTGTTTATGTGGTCAAATATATTTTTTATTTGAACTACAAAAAAAATTGGGCTTGAGACCTAACTTCTTCACGTACTAATTTTGAGAATGTGGGCAAATTCCTTAATATTTTTAAGTCTCAGCTTTCCCATATGATACAAACAAAATAACAGTCTTACCCGTGTGATTAGTGTGAAGATTAAATGAATTAATTTAACATGGATTTGCTTGGTTACCCATAAAATGATATACAAATATTCTGCAAAAGTTGTACTTTCTAAATGATGGAAATAATTTAAAATAGTGGATTTTATCGAGATTATACTGCTGGCAACATCATGTATGAAGAAAGTGTATATTTTGGTTAACATTCAAATAGGATGTTTGATTTCTTCCAAAACAAAAGTCATTCTCATTAGTATCTAAATACCTAAATTTAACAACTTTACTTTTGGCATAGTTTCAATTACTAGTCTTGCTTTTATCATGATATTAATGGTAGGGTTCTGGTATTTCCAGCTGAGAAACTTATCATGTAAAAGAGAGCCCATGAGACTTTCAGAATTCCCCTGCCAAAGATACCTATGGCTCAGAAGGAAGAGGGTGAGGAGACTACACTGCAGTGACGAGCTGGCTGTTTCTTCATCCAGTCACTTGGCAGTAAGAGTACACTGCACCATATACTGATTCTGGTCCAAAAAAGAATGTAGCAATGCCTCAAAATTTTGTTTTCTTCCCAGTCCTTGGAAAAAATTAGCTCCCAAGAGGCTCATTACAATAGAGTTGGTGGTGCAGTTTGGCATATGGTGAGTAATCTTTGCTTGAAGGCTCCTTCTCTCACAAAGATTTATTATGTTTTGAAAGATGCCAAGTTACAAGCCATGGTGGACTGCATTAAGGTAGTATCCTTCTTCTAAGGTCATACTTGTTCTACACACAGAAAAATCTCTGTGATCTATGAAGGTGGTACATTTCTTGAACTTTCTTAAACTGTGAAGCTAGCCATGTAAGCGAATTCTCTTTTTATCTAATAGACTTTTTAGTTGATACTCTTCCTTTCCCTGGGCATGTAATGATTTATTCTGCAAATAATGATAATTTTGCCTTGTTCTTTCCAATATTTATCTCTTATACTTATTCTTATGTAATTATTTTGCTGTGAATAAGAAGCTTATCACTTAGCTACTTCCAGCAAATATTAATAAATGGTAATGTTATGGGTATCCTGACTTGACTGAGAAGCTTACTTACTTGAGGATGTGGCTGGCCTTTGATATGAGATTTATTCTTAGTTATGACAAGAAAATATTCATTTATTCTTATTTTGCTAAGATTTTATTTTAAAAAATAAGAATGGATATTGGATTTGCTCACACGTCTTTTAAAAAAATTTCTTTTAATTCATCAGTATTTATTTATTTATGGCTGCGTTGGGTCTTTGTTCCTGCATGGGGTCTTTCTCTAGTTGTGGCAAGCAGAGGCTACTCTTTGTTGTGGTGCGTGGGCTTCTCATTGCAGTGGCTTCTCTTGCTGTGGAGCATGGGCTCTAGGCGCGCTGGCCTCAGTAGTTGTGGCTCACGGGCTCTAGAGCGCAGGCTCAGTAGTTGTGGCACATGGGCATAACTGCTCCGCGGCATGTGGGATCTTCCCGGACCAGGGCTCGAACCCGTGTCCCCTGCATTGGCAGGCAGATTCTTAACCACGTGCCACCAGGGAAGTCCCACACGTCTTTTTTTTTTTTTTTAAACATCTTTATTGCAGTATAACTGCTTTACAATGGTGTGTTAGTTTCTGTTGTATAACAAAGTGAATCAGCTATATGTATACATATATCCCCATATCCCCTCCCTCTTGCGTCTCCCTCCCACCCCTCTAGGTGGGTCACAAAGCACTGAGCTGATCTCCCTGTGCTATGCAGCTGCTTCCCATTAGCTATCTATTTTACATTTGGTAGTGTACATTAGTCCATGTCACTCTCTCACTTGGTCCCAGCTTACCCTTCCCCCTCCCTGCCACATGTCTTTTTAAATCTAATACAATGAGCATATGATTTTTCTCTTTTGTTTTATCACATTATTAGGTTTCTGAATACAGAACACTCTTGGCATTCCTGAATGAACCCTAGTTGTTTGTATCATATCATATTCATGTGTTACTGAATTTGATTTGTTAATATTTCATTTAAGATTTTCCCCATTATTAATGGTCTACAGTTTTCATTTGTGGAACTATCTTTGACAAGTTTTGATAACGGTGATGGCTTTCCTTGTTTCATTAGGCTCTCTGTCAGTTTGTTTATTTTTTGAGGTTTGGAAAGAATTCCCCTATGAAATCATTCTGGGTGACCCTGATATCAGAGAGGAGGAAGGAGAGTCTTTAATAACCTATTAATTTCTTGCAATATGTTTTTATTCTTTTTCTGGGCTCAATTTTAGTAATTTATAACTTTCTTAAAAATCCCCTATAGATCTGGGTTTTAAAATTAATTTGTATAAAGTTGTGAAAAGAACTCTCATAATTATTTTGTGCTCTTCTGAATCTGTTGTTAATTCCCCTTTCTTCTTTGTGTGTCTCTTCATTCCTCTTTCATTATCTTTCTTGCCCTTGTTCCCTTCTCTCTTCTGTCATGTTGACATTGCTTCACCATAATTGGCCTTGCCCAGTGACTGAAAGCCAGGGGTCTGCCCCTCTCCTCACTCCTGGTCAAGGGCCTCCTTGCCCACTCAATCTTCTCTTCCCTGGCTATGAAGAGTTCCCTAGTGATATCTTCATACCAATTGGGTGACTTTCCAAACAAAAAGGGAATCTGTTGCAGTACTTACATTGCTCATATTAAGAGTGTTGGCTCTAGCGAGATTAATTTCTGGAGTATCTGGCATTATGTGGATTGAAGTTTTATCCATGTCCCAAGCTTCTCTGTACTTTGGCTATGGAAAGAACCAATGATAACAAAATTACTTCACAATTTGTCATTTTGCTAGTTGTAGTGCACAACTTTCGATTTTTCTGATCCAAGATCTTTTCATACTAAGGTAAAAGTTTCCTGAATCTTTTCACATAAGTTACTCAAATTTGATATGAAATCTGTATTAATACCTTTTATTCATACTTTGAGTTTTGGTTTAAAATTAGTAAGCAATAACAAAACAACTGTATCAATATTACTTATTAAAATCTTTGCTATCATCAATATTATTATCTTACAAATGGATTACCAGGTTAATTATCATTTTCTATAACATGAACTTAATTTTAATATAGAAGAAAAATGTGACTTACAATACTAATATTTTCAGCATTTGATTTAGCAAGAACAACTTCAGGTGTGTCAACGATACTTGTGTACTTGAGTTTCACCACAGGTGTCCGATAGACACTGTCTTGTAGGATATGCTGGGCATTTTTCACTCTCAGTACTTCGGGAGACCCTTCGGGCACCCAGCCGATGCCACGCAGCCACTCCAAGTCAGCCTTATAGATGGCCTGGGAAAGAAAACAAAGTTAGGAGAGGCAGGGTTTTGTTTTTTTTTAAATCGTGGTAAAGTAAGGAAGCAGTTTTTCATGCTGCATTTTCTCTTCCACAAACAATGATAAAGCCGAGCATGGGCCTGACAAAAATAATTCCTCATATGCATAGCAGTGTTTTGTCCTACTTTGTTTTCCGTGGCAGGGGCTCTGTGTTGGGGTGCCTGTGCATAGTCTAGAAAGCAGAAGGATGCAGAAGGAGTGCTTTGCTTAGGGGATGTGTGGAAGATTTTTGAATATTTTGGTAATCATCACACTAGCCAAGGTGGACTTTTAAAGCAATAATAATAGGCTCTCCAGCAAGTTCTCCACACAACAGCCAGAATGATCTTTACAAAATTCACCATTCAGATTTGATGTCACAACATACCCCCAACCTATGGTTTCTCACTGGTCTCAGGATAAAGATCAAAATCTTAACATAGATTAGAAGGTGATGATGGTCTAGCATCAGTCCCTACCTATTCTTCCAGCCTCATTTTATACGTGCTTCCCTTTTACCCATGTGTTCTGACCACGCTGGCCTTTCAGTTTGTGGTTTGCATACCACCCCTTTTGCATACATTGGTCATTCTGCAGGAACGCACCCTGTGTCCTCCTCATGGAACAAACTCATGCTCTCCCTTCTTACTCCTAAATCAGTGCTTTCCCAGAGAAGCTTTCCCCACCTCATTTTTCATAGTGCCATGATCATTCTTCCTCAGCCATCCCATTTTTATGGATATTCTCTAGTTAACATCTGTTCCTTTTTATCAGTGTGAACTCCCTAAAGTCAGGAAGTTTGTCTTGTTCTTCTTTATTCCCCATTGTACCTTTAGGGCTTAGCACAAGACCTGGCACATGGTGTGTTTAATAATTACTTTTAAAGGGATAATTAAGAATGTAATCCTTACTTCCACAATTTTGATCTCAACTGAGTTTTCTTTTTCCAAGATAGCACTTCTCTTTGAATTGGAATTTGCATTTTCTTGGCTGTCTAAACCTGTTTGGTCAGGTATATGTTAAGTGGTTAACCAGATATAATTGCTCTGTGTGAAACACCAACTATTAATTTCATAAAATAACCCACTGTGTTCTTCAGAAATGGTATTTTAATAACTGTTTAATAGGATACAAATATCAAACTAAAATAAAGAGTAAGAGGAGTGAAAATGTAGGGAAATTTCTACCTTAATGAAGAATGTTATATGTTTTAGTGTGTAAAGTATTGTGGGTACCCAAAATTTGGGAGAAGGGATTCTTGAAGAGGATTACATACAGGTTTTGAAGCTTCCCTTCCTCATTCTTTAAGAACTTCATTGATATGCATTCCTTAATATACTAACGTGGTTCAGGATAATGAAGAGACTGAATTTATCTAGAAATGGTACTAAATCCACCAGTTGGCAATTCATTTCAAATGATGGATATACTTTTCTATAACAAACTCATTCATTATGAGAAAACATCTCCTGAAGCTTAAGGCAATCATGTTCAGATAATTAAAAGGTATTAATTCTGTACAAGAAACAAACATCCTGATGGAATTCATCATTTTCAAAAGATTAAATCCGCAAAAAGATAAGTAAATCTAAAAATACTTTAGGTAAATTAATAAAACAGTGTTGTGAAGAATACCAAGTTCAGGGAACCTAGTGAGTTTGGAGCATGCTGCTAACCTTTCAAATTAATTTCAAGGAAGACAGCCCCTATCATTCAATTGAAGAACCATGAAGATGCCTATGTTTAATAAACTACAAACAGTGCACACATTAACAAACCTATAGAAAAATTCTGGTAGCACCAGTAGCAATGAAGATGAAAACCCTCTGAATAAGCCCAGCATTAAGGCTTGTGATTAATAAACTTGGTAAAGTACTAAAGGGAAGTAAGTGCTCAGGCAGGGAGAATTGCATTTTCCTCAGCACTGGCAGGAGTGACCGGGCAAAGCTGTGGAAGGCTGTCTTCCTGGGCAATAGCTCACCCCTCAGGCACCACAAGCAACAACTTACATCACTCTGCAGGTCATAGGCTTTCCTGGCTTGGATCACATCATTCTGGTCAGGAAAGCAAGACCACTGGTGTAGGTAGTGGCGATAGTCCACATCGCTTGCTAACGCCTGGCCTTCTTTGGCAGCATTGATGGACACCATGTCTGCCGGGATGGTGATCTTAGCCTTGTGGTCATTGTAGGCCTTTTTGTACAGCCTGTCATTCTGCATCTTCAACACATTTGCTGCCCAGACCAGTTTAGGGTCTTCCTTGGCATTGCGACACCCAATGTAATGACCCTTCTGTTTCTCGTAAGCAGTTTTGTATAGATACTGGTGGATGTGAACAGAAGAAAGAAGAATTGTTTCTCCAAACTCACTTTTTCTAGACAGCCTACTCAAATAACTCCATCTCCCTTACATTACCCTTTTTGGGGCACTGCTTTTCTTTGAATTCATACTATAAGTTTTATACTTCTTGATACATTGGTTTGTCTTCTGTAAGCATGAAAACATTGTGAACACCTCAAAGGCAACAATGGTGCGTCTGGATTCCAATATAGCGTTGCCCACTGTTTCCCAGACTTCAGTCACTGTTTGCCATTCTCACATGTTTTGCCACAAAGCACCACCTGTACTTCACACTTTACTTTGTCAACTTGATTCTTTGTCTAAATAAATATATTTTAAAGTTTAAACTTATCTAATATTTTTATTTTAAAATTTATACTCCTATTTAAATGGGAAAAAAATCAGTATTTTTCTAGCACACATCAAAACCAACGTAACTATTTTAAAAATGCTTGTCCATGTACTGCATAAAATTATCACAGGAACCACCTATGTATGCTGCACTTCAACAAACAGTAGAGTTCTTTGTACCCACTGGATCTCTGTAAGTGTTCATGCATTAACTGATATTGAGAAGATATTGAAAAGAAAATAAAAATCTGTGCTTAAACATACGGAGAGCAGAACCAAGCAGAGAAGTTAAGTGGGTCATCAAATTGTTGTCAAAGTTGTTCTTGAATTGGGGATTTTAAAGCACGACACTAGTAACAATGCCCTTCATTCTATTAGATATAATTCCTGGGGAATTAAATTAAAGATTAGTACAGTATTAACTCTCTGAGTGTCTATGAATTAGTGTTTGTTAACGCTGGGCAAGGAGGAGCTCTCACATCACTGGCAATATCTCTGGAAGCCTTGGCATGCTGGATCCCGATGGCATCTGCTCTCAGGTCATAACCCGTTATCTTGACATCTTCCCAAGCTTGCTGATACTGTTTCTGCAAACGGAGATTGCAGTGCCACAGTCAATATGAAGAGGAAGCTACTGAGTCAGCATTACCGATGTGTTCAAGAATATGTTAACAGTTACGATGAAAAATTAATCTCCCCTTAAGATTTATAAAATAGACTGGTTTCATACTGAACTTAAGCTCCAGTACATTTTTAATGACATGTAGTAAAGTTCTTTTCCAGTAACTTTTCTTTAAAGAAGGGAATTTAAAAGATAGTAAATCATGTGAAAATGAGAAAAATTATACATATTGTTTGGCTTTTAAAGGGAAAAATCAATGATAGGCCACTAAAAAGAGAACTAAGTATTACTATACATGCATATATATGTTTTGATGTCGTGTGTTTGGCATAAACCACCGCATTTTTCCTTCCAACAAAGATAAGGACACACATCTCTATATTATAAACACATACGTAGGTGTGCGAGCACACACAAACGACACTTATCATTAAAGACTAGAAGTAAAAGGAATATTAGGGAAATGCCTTTTGCTAAATGCTCTCTGGAGCATTTTGATGAGAGGTTTGGTGAGGCAGACAACACTGTGTGAAGCAAGTGGATGTGCAGGGCCTTACGTTGCTGATGTGCATGGTGTTCATCTTGGACTGCAGCATCAATGGAGTGTCAGCCGGTACATTCACATTTGCCTTCTCTTTGTCCCAGGCGTCACGATACAGTGGCTGGTAAAAATGAAAAACAAAGGATCGGTGATGAGTAAGTAAGCCAATTACCACATGAATAAAATTACAGGTACAATTAAAGGTTTTCTTTGGATGTGTTCAGATGTAAATGGAGATCACATTTTTTTTTTATCTGTGTTTTTATTTAGAAGGTGCCAAAAGTGACTTCAGCAAGAAGAATACATTCATGTGTGCTATAATATAAATGTAAAACGAGTCAGAAACATGATAGTAAATAGATCCTCTTCTATTTATTCACATGCAATTATCTGGCAGGTAAGCTCTCATTGCAGGTGATTATGATAATCCACATTGCAAATCAAGTCCTGGCTTTCTTGGCCTAAATAACTGTCATAATGTCTAATATTGGGGCTGCCCCTGGACCTTTCAACTTATTTCACCGTTGAATAGCAGTAAAAAGGTGGCGGTTTTGTGATCATTGTATTAACTGGTGGACCTGTATTACAGGCAAGGTCTACAAAAGGTGTTCAAGGTGTACTTCAGAGAATATGGAACATGAAGATGCCTACCACACTTACATTGACCAAAGAATTATCTAAACAAATGAAATGTTGATGCCGTTAATTGATGGGCTATATGAAATTCTATCTGGATACATGAATGTTCAAGATTCTAATCCTGGTGTTAGCAGTTTAAAGTTCACAATTATAATTTTTATTGAGAGTTCTTCAATGTGTCTGAACATAGCATCAATTGACTTACCTCACTGATCTGTACAGCATTGATCTTTGCCAGAATAACTTCAGGGGTATCAACAATGCTGGTGAATTTGAGGGCCTCAGGCCTTGTGCGATACAACCTTTCATTCAGGAGATTCTGGGCATTCTTTACTCTCATCGCTTCCACGGAACCCTCTGGCAACCATCCAATACCCTTCAGCCATTCCAGGTCTGATTTGTACACGTTCTACGAGAAGGAGAGGACCACAGAGTACAGAAGAGTCAATTTGCCTACTAGAGCATGATGCCAGCAAACCACACACAACCTCTACTTAAACCAGCTGGGTGGCCAGTCCCATGAAACTCAAGGATCAATGTTAGATGTTAATATTTGAGTGTTACATCTCTGGGAGAAGTTCAGAGTATCCTACAGGAACTGGAGCAGGGCTAACAACTAGCACTTGTGGAATGACAGACCGCAATGGCACATAATTTTGTTTTTATGCAAGGTTGAGCTTCTGTGCTCACTACTTGAAATCTGCCTTTTATGTGCCACTGGGGATAACTTCTGTAGGAATTTGGGAGAAAAAGTTTCTTAGAAGCATGTATAATGAAAAGCAAAATACATACTTATATCTATGTACACCTCTCCTCTTTCTCTCTCTCTAAACATATTATTTAAATATATATATATATATATATATACACACATTTTTCCTATGTGTGCCAGATAAACTTGAAATCCAACATTTTTTTATGCTTACATCTGTTTCTGACATTTAGATACCTGATCATGCAAATGTAATGGATCAGGACAACTGGGATTGAAATTTTCTACTTAGTTACATAGAATAAGAGAGTGATTTTCATCTGATGAATAAGGTCTTATAAGAAGGAATCCTCTATAAGATAGAAAATATTCAGGAAAACTCTGCAGAAAAGTACAGAATATGTTAGATTCTATTAAGATTACTGTTTAAATTACATCCTTAAGGAATATTCTGTGATTAAACACATAGACACACATCTCCCCAAGAGTCTGGAGACAGGATACGCACATCGCTCTGCAGTTCGTAGGCTTTCTTCGCCTGGATCACATCATTCTGGTCTGGCAGACACGTCCACTGGTGCAGATAATTGCGATAATCAATGTCGCTAACCAGGACCTGGCATTTCTTGGCCTGAACAATGGACATCATGTCCAACGGTGTATTGTAGATTCCTTTAGACTTCTCATAAGCTTTCTTGTATTCTCTGTCACTCTGGATCTTGGCAGCATGTATAGACCATACCAATTTGGGGTCATCTTGTAGGCTGCGGAAACCCACGTGGTGGCCCAGTTGCTTACGGTAACCTTCTTTGTATTTGTACTAAAGTTGTAAAAAATAAGATAAAAAGACATATGGACATAATGTATGAAGAGGACTTTTCATTAAATGGTTTTGGAATATTTTTTTAGCCTTAATGTAAATTGGCTCAAATTGGTAGTTATTATATATTTTAGTTCTCTTTAAGGAAATTAGGGCTATTTTAGATAGTTTCACAGAGGACACGAACAAATCAGGAGGGAAATAGTATGGTGAACAAGAGTAATAAAAAAATAATAGCTAACATTTACTAGCAATCACTATATGTCAGACACTATTATGAATGCTTCAAATGTATTAGGTTGATTCATATGAAATTGCTGAATTTTTTGGTTAAAAATAGTTGAATCATGGCAATTATAACCTCATTTAATCCTCAGAACATCTCTATGATGTGGATATTAGTATTATCACATATTTCAAATGGGAAAAGTAAGGCACAATGGGGATAATCATTGTCCCTAAGGTTGCCTGGCAAGTGGAAATTAGGTCAGTATCAAGGGTACTGAAGGTACTTCAGGTAGGAAAAAGTCACATGTGCGGTTTTGGAGACAGACAAGAATGGAGCATGCTTCAGGAATGGAAGACAAGGCTGTTGGTTTGAATCAGCAGATGACAACAAAAGGCCTGTGGATAAGAGTTTCCACCTATTCCACACTTGTTCTCAGTGTCTTAGGACAAGAGTAAGATCATTTCTGTTTCTTTCCTATATTTGGATAACATGGGAAAGTTTGGAGAAAGGGAGAGAGAGAGAGCTGGGAATAATGCAGATACTATGGATTGGCTATGCCTTTTTAGAGATAAAAATGAGAAGTAAGAAGGAAGAGACAGCTGGATACTAAGACAAAAACTAGAGGAGAATTTGAAGAAAAGGAACAAAGGTAGCTTAAAGATTTGGAGCTGGGGGGCCTTGGTAGAATAATTATTTTGACTGCTGGTACATTTTAAAGCTACTGTTAAATGAACTTCAAAGGGTTACTCAGAGGAGTATACATACACCTCCAGCATAAAATCTTATATATAAAATGTGATCTCGGTCTTAAGTCTTGTATCAAACTTTCATCTGTGATTTATATTTATGGAGAATGTCCCAAAGATTTGTGGGATAAAATCACATTGTATTGGTTCCTGAATTTTTCCCCAGAATTTGGTATAGATCTTCATGATATTTTACTTCTACTTAGAAACAGCTTAGAAGGTATTTACACATATCCTTCACCTATGTTTACCTCAGTGTTTTTCATCCCATTTTAATATTTTAAAATAAAGTCTTTAGCACAAGGCAAATGCAATTGTTTGCATAGAATTAAAAAAAATCAAACCAAATCAAAATTCTTCAAAAATATTCTATTTGTTGTATAGAGAAGAAAATCCACAAGGAAACAGAAGGAGCTGTACCTCACTGGCAATTTCTCTGGAGGCTTTGGCATGCTTGATTTCAATGGCATCTGCTCTCAAGTCATAGCCTTTCTGCTTGGCCTCATCCCAGTCTTTCTGGTAGAGTTTCTATTGAGGGAAAACACAGGTTTGCTTACAAGAATTGAAAATCAGTAGACATATTCAAAGGAGTCATGATATGAATCACAAAGCACAATGTAAATGAAGGCGGCATAAGAAAAAACAGTCACTTCTGAGTCCTTCTTTTGGTTATTGCCTATTTACTTTGTGGAGTGCAGGGTACTTGTGACTACAATTTTAAAGCTAAACATCTAAATCTACTAATATTTGAATTATTTGCATTCACCACAATATAGTACAATGTGAAAATATCCCATTATACAGTAATGGGAACTAAGAATCAACTGTGAACCTAGAGAACCTTCATCAAGTTACCATATAAGACTTGATAAGATTTTTTCCCAATGTTGCCCTTTGACATTTCAAAGGTCCCTGCTAAAGGGATGTGACATAGATATCATACCCATCCTACACTTTGCATATAATTAAAAGTTTGACTTTTCTTATGGCCTTGAAATGTCAAACAAGAAAGTTCTGGATCAACCAAGAACGTATCAAGACAATAGAGACTGTTATCTCTTATACTTACTTGTGTAAGAGCCACTTTACTAGGGATTTCATTCCTCTCAATTAATATACAATGAAACTGAGCTGTGGACGTTGGATATAGGACAATGATTTCAAGGTTGAAAGAAGGACACCAGTGAGATTCAGGTATCCCACCTCTTGCAGTGCAGGGGCCCAGATATGTATCGAAACTAATGTTTGAAAGAGAATTTCCATTCATACTGCATTGGGAATGGTAGCCAAAGAGGAAGTATCTAGCACCCAAAGCTGTCAACATTTCTAAGGCAGGTAATTTGTCCATTATAACACACCCCATAAGCCGACAGATATTGTCCCATAAAGACATTTACACTTCATATTTATGCCTCTTACATTGCTGATGTGCATGGCATTGATTTGGGCTTGCAGTATGACTGGCATGTCAGAAGGAATGCTTATGTTGCTTTTATCTTTATTCCAGGCTTCTTGATATAGTTTCTGTGGAGAGAAGGAAAATATTATTTTAATACAGCAATAGAGATGGATGTCTAAACATTAAGCCTTAGCAACTATTTAACCTGGGAAAACGTTGTTATAGGTTTGCAGTGGTTAGTTTTTTGTGTCAGCTTGGCTAGGCCAGCGTACCCCGGTATTTGGTCAAACATTATTCTACATGTTTCTGTGAAGGTATTTTTTAGATCAGATTAACATTTATACCAGTAGACTTTGGGTAAAGCAGATTACCCTCTGTGATGTGGGGGCTTGTTCAGTCAGATGAAGGCCTTAAGAGAAAAAAGACTGACCGCCCCTGAGCGAGAGTAATTCTGCCAGCAGACTACCTTGGGCTTGAACTGCAACTCCTGCCTGGGTCTTGAGGCTGCTGGCCTACCCTGCAAACTTTGGAATTGCCAGCCTCTACAATCATGTGAGTCAATTCCATGAAATAAATCTCTCTCTCATACCTCTTATTAGCTCTGTTTCTCTGGAGAACCCTAATACAGTGTTCTACCATTTAACATGTAGCATTATGCCACAGGTTTTGTAATAAGTATTTGCTTTCCTGAGTTGTAATGGAGTGAAATTTTTCACTTTAGTGCTTCCAGGTCTGTGTGTGAGGTAGGGGAAAGGCGCCTTGGCATTTGTCAGAGTTCTACTTAGCATGTGCCTTCACTAAACTAAACTAAGAGATTCTTAGAGTTGCTCCAAGCACTTTAAGTCTTTGAAGAGAAACAATCTACTTTCTCTGTTTCATCCACAGATGCTCCGTTTGGGTGGCATCTTCTGAGAAGAGAGTCCTGCTAAAGGAGAGCCTGGCGGTAGGATGGTTCTTACCTCACTCATTTGCAGAGAATTGGCTTTTGCCAGGACAACCTCTGGCGTGTCGACAATGGAAGTGAATTTCAAGGCTTCTGGGCGTGTCCTGTAGAGCCTTTCATTCAGCAGGTCTTGAGCACCCTTCACCCTGGTCATTTCTACTGAGCCTTCTGGCATCCAGCCAATGCCACGCAGCCAATCCAGGTCTGCTTTGTACACATTCTACAGAGACATTAGACAGAAATATTGTTCCAAGTGCTAGACATAGCATCCCTTAATTGGAAAGTAAGTTCACGGGGTTGAGGGGTTGATAAGCACAGGAGATGGTGGTTCCAAAAAAGTAGGACCTGAGATTTTACATGAATCAGGGGTTTCAATATCCATGACAGAGTAATTTGTAAAAGCATAATTTTTTATGCTAGCCATGAATAAGGATAAAATGGTAATAATGCTAAATTTCATGGTAATTATTTGATATTTCAAAGAAATTATATAACTGAAAAACAATTTAAAGATATTGTGTCAAATCTCATTTCATTTTCATCCTGTAATAGGATGAAACTCTGTTTAGTGTTTTGGATATAGTACAATAGTGGCAGTTATTTTTTAAATGCTCAGATAATTTATGCTTATTTGAAATATATTTTCATTGCCAGACAGTACAAAGGACACGAAGAAAATAGTCTGGAATCTAGGCCAGGGAGGACATGACCTAAGTAGGGTTCTTCATCTATGTTCTTTGATTCCCATAACATAACTCCTAAATATGGGTTTTGTTTTAACAATGTGAATGGCTCCCCCTGAGGTTGTGCAGTGAGCAACCCATGGGTCTGTCCACAGAGGCACTGTCTGTACAATTAACAAATCTATGTCCTCCCACTCCTCCTTTCCCAAAGATCACGTTACGTACATCACTCTGTAATTCATAGGCCTTCCTTGCTTGGATAATGTCATTTTGATCAGGTAAGCACGTCCAGTGATGCAGGTAATTTCGATAATCAATGTTACTGACCAGAATCTGACATTTCTTGGCCAGCAAGATGCCTAACATGTCCACTGGGCTACTGAACTTGGTCTTCCACTTCTGGAAATCCTTCTTATACTCTCTTTCACTTTGAATCTTCCCTGCATGTATGGCACACATAATCTTGGGGTCATCTTCAATGCTCTGGGCTCCAATGTGGTGGCCTTTCTGTTTCTCATATGCTTCTTTGTATTTGTACTAAAACATAAGAAATATATGTTTAGAAGCCCAGTTTTAAAACCATATGCATGCTGACAATTAGACAACATGAAAACCCACGAGCAAATGGATAAGAATTTCATATTTTGAATATTTTGACATCTCTGAACAATTTTAAACTGTTTTATGCTGTCATAAACGTAACAGTAGTGTAATCATATATCTTCACTGCTGAAAACTTTTTCTGCAACAACTCTAACTACAATTTCAAAATGTGTTTTTCTTCTCTGAGACAACAAAGGGAAAGGTCTTGGAAGGTAAGAAGCATGACTGGAGGGGTATATGAGGAAGCAGTTACAAACTGTGGACCACCAGCTGCACTGTGGTTGTCCAGCAAGGTGAGACCAAGGGGGTTAGACAGAGAGCGCTTACGTCACTGGCAATGTCTCTCGAGGCCTTGGCGCTCTTGATGGGAATAGCATCAGCTCTCAGATCATAGTCCTTCATCTTTGATTCATCCCATCCCTTGGTGTAAAGTTTCTAGGTGGAGGATAATACATAACAGAAAAAGAAAAGAGTTATAGAAAGATAACAGGCCACTTCCAGTAAGGAAGGTGGTAAGATAGAAAAAGTATTTTAATTACTCCTAGACTAAAGGCTGACTTAACAATCAGGAAATCTCTTACTTGGCTTATATTGGCAGAATTGCTCTTGGCCAGCTTGATTTCTGGGGTGTCCGGCATCACGTGGATGGAGGTTTTGTCAGTATCCCAGGCTTCTGTATATAAATGCTATGGGGGAGGTGAGGTAAAACCCTTTGTTAAAGCCAATACATTGCAGTTATTATAAAATTTAACTCATTTAACTGTAAAATAGCCTTTGAAAACTTATGTGGAGGTGAGGGAAGCAAAAGGGTATGGGGAGAGTAAATCATGGCAATATTTAAACAGACATATGATCGTTTCATAGCCAATGTAAAGCAACATCATGATCTCAATTATTGATTCTTTTCATCCAGTGACTCTCAAGCTTACTCACAGAACCTTCAAGGATGGAGCTTGGCTATAGAACTATGATATAGTAGAAATCCCTAGACTTCAGAATCAATCCCAAGGTCAAACCCAACTCCCCGATGTCCAAGCTGTGTGATCTTGAGAAAGGTACATAAAGCCTCACATGCCTCATTTTTTGGAGGGGGATACTCATATCTTTCTCATTAAGTATTTTTTTAAACTTTATACTTACCTCTTTTTTTTAAGTTGGGGTGAAATTGGTGTATTACTTTATTGAGTATTTTTTCAAGATTAACTGTAACATATGTAAAGTGCTTGAGTCATAGTAGGCACTCAACAAATTTTATGTTTCCTATTGTTATTATCACTGTGACTGCTGTTGATGAGTGTGGTACAGAATAGAGTTTCTGGAGTTTTAATACCCCAGACGTTGGAGTTTGCTATCTGAGAGTCAATTTCATATTCTGCACTGAGCCCTCATTCTCACTACCCAGATATTTGGAAGACATTCAGGCAGGTGTGGGAGAATTCAGAAAAGTTCAATTCAATCTCAGCTGTGCATATTAAGGGCCTACCTGTTGGATAAAGAAATTAGCTGAGTATAAGTAGACAGATTGGCAGCACTCTGGAGGGAAAAATGATCATCGGTCTTGTACAATAAAAATGAAAGCAGCAATAACATCTCACTTTCCAAAGTGGGATTTCTACCACCTATGGTTTTGGAAGCAAGTAATTTGAGTTGTGCACTGGCACTGCTATGCACTCCAAGACTTCTGAACAAAATGCAAAACGACTGTATATTTTTTTACAGGATGGATAAAGAGATGCTGATGCCTTGAGTCTGCTCTGCCAAGCAGAATGTACAGAGAAAAGTAGTGCATTTGTGGATGTCTCTGGGTCACTGCTCAGAAGAGTGTATGCCTTACTGCAGAGAAACTGTCCTAGGCTGTACTTCCTCATCCACCCAGAGAATGAGGGGACACAGGGTTGAGAGAAGCATGCAGGTCCAACTAGGATTCAAGCACATGCTCTGTTGAAGGCCTGCATGAGAATTAGGCCCATCACCTCTCCTTTCTCCGGAAATCCTCTAGGACATTTCTCACTTTATAAGCCCAGTCTGTGGAAGGTATGACACAGGCAACTGGCAAAAGCTGGAGACTCACCTTGCTCACGGTCAGGGCATTATTCTTTGCCAGGACAATCTCTGGGGTGTCTGTAATGCATGTGAACTTGAGCTGGTCTGCGGGCTGGCGGTACTTCCTGTCACTCAGGATTTCTCCTGCTCTCTTCACATTCTCGACCTCCACAGAGCCAATGGGCACCCACCCAATGCCTCTCAGCCACTCAAGATCAGCCTTGTAAATAGCCTGAAAATGAAACAATGTCAAATATGTGCAGAAATTACCTCCACAGCCTGATGTCTAATCTTGATTTAGCATGGTGTATACTGATGGTGTATAATTCTGCATCTTGTGTAAATTTCGGGGAAGACACAGGACTGCCTTACTTTGGTGTAGAATGGCTAGTCCAGCACTTTGTCCCTGAAGGTAGTCAATGTTTGCTGTTTTAAAGACCTATGAAATCTCTAATAATATGTGATTTCATCAATGAAAAACCATTTTAAGGAAATTCCTGCCTGCCTCCTGATACAAAGTGTTTATTTTCTGATTTGATTGCCTATACCTCTTTGTATGGGAATAATTCTCTGTTAGAGTATAGCTTGTTCCTATCTCGTTGGGCAGGGGCCTTCACAGCCATTGTGCACAAAAAGAAAGGATGAACACTTCCACATGCTGAATCCACGTGTTTTCTCGGGACAACAAAAAGGGATCTTTTTTCAGATGATTCTATACTCATGTTTCTAAGCCAAAGAGTATATATATTTTTATTCTTACTTATCCTCAGTCCCTCTTCTTGTGTTGTAGTTCAAGTAAAAAAAAAAGATATTTTATCCTGCTTTCATGTTTCTTCTTTGAACTTAAATAAATTGGCTGAAGGAGAATTTTTCTCATAAGTAAGAGTAACAATTCTTTTTGTTTTTATGGCTTTTTGGGAAACTCTTTTTTACAATGCCACCACTTTTATCATTCTTCCAAAAGTGACTACTTGTCAGAGCCTGATCAAAAAACAAGGAGCTACTATACCAGTAAGGTAGTATTTGAGTCCCAAGGACAATCTACTGGCTGACAACAAAAATACTTAACGTATTTCTAAGGAGACACTGTTTTCAGCTTCTTAGAAAAATTGTCTTGATATATATAACTCATTCTTATATTTCCTTCCACAAGCTATAATAGATATTTTCTATAAGTAGTCAGAAAAATGATAATGCAATAAATTCATTTGGAAAATCCAGTTGCATTAAATCAGGATTTCTTAACCCAGCATCAATGAACTTAGATAGAAAAAACATCTTTATTTTCATTAACCTCTAACTAAAACATAGCATTTCTTTTAGCTATAACTATAGGCAACAGATTATGGTAGTATTAACACTACATGGAATTTTATCAGCAATAGAAGTCATAATATTTTCATATTTTATTACAGTTGTTGCAGACATCTTGCATATTTATGTTCATCACTTCTCTGAAATTAAGCTAGTTTTACACCCACTGCTAGATCTTTTTATTTAATGGGTTAATAAAAAGCATATATATTACCACACTGTTGGGGGGAATGTAAATTGGTGCAGCCACTGTGGAAAACAGTATGAAGGTTTCTCAAAAAACTAAAAGTATATTGGGTTGTTTGTTTTTTTAATATTGAGCTGCATGAGCTGTTTATACATTTTGGAGATTAATCCTTTGTCCATTGATTCGTTTGCAAATGCTTTCTCCCATTCTGAGGGTTGTCTTCTCATCTTGTTTATGGTTTCCCTTGCTGTGCAAAAGCTTTGAAGTTTCATTAGGTCCCATTTGTTTATTTTTGTTTTTATTTCCATTACTCTAGGAGGTGGATCAAAAAGGATCTTGCTATGATTTATGTCAAAGAGTGTTCTTCCTATGTTTCCCACTAAGAGTTTTATAGTGTCTGGTCTTACATTTAGGTCTCTAATCCATTTTGAGTTTATTTTTGTGTATGGTGTTAGGGAGTGTTCTAATTTCATTCTTTTACATGTAGCTGTCCAGTTTTCCCAGCACCACTTATTGAAGAGACTGTCTTTTCTCCATTGTATATCCTTGCCTCCTTTGTCACAGATTAGTTGACCATAGGTGCGTGGGTTTATCTCTGGGCTTTCTATCTTGTTCCATTGATTTATGTTTCTGTTTTTGTGCCAGTACCATATTGTCTTGATTACTGTAGCTTTGTAGTATAGTCTGAAATCAGGGAGTCTGATTCCTCCAGCTCCATTTTTTTCCCACAAGACTGCTTTGGCTATTCGGGTTCTTTTGTGTCTCCATACAAAAATGGGCAGACCTAAATAGACATTTCTCCAAAGAAGACATACAGATGGCCAAGAAGCACATTAAAAGCTGCTCAACATCACTAATTATTAGAGAAATGCAAATCAAAACTACAATGAGGTACCACCTCACACCAGTTAGAATGGGCATCATCAGAAAATCTACAAACAACAAATGCTGGAGAGGGTGTGGAGAAAAGGGAACCCTCTTGCACTGTTGGTGGGAATGTAAATTGATACAGTCACTATGGAGAACAGTATGGAGGTTCCTTAAAAAACTAAAAATAGAACTACCATATGACCCAGGAATCCCATTACTGGGCATATACACTGAGAAAACCATAATTCAAAAAGACACATGCACCCCAATGTTCATTGCAGCACTATTTACAATAGCCAGGTCATGGAAGCAACCTAAATGCCCATCGACAGACGAATGGATAAAGAAGATGTGGTACATATACAATGGAATATTACTCAGCCATAAAAAGGAATGAAATTGGGTCATTTGTGGAGACGTGGATGGATCTAGAGACTGTCATACAGAGTGAAGTTAAGTCAGAAAGAGAAAAACAAATATCGTATATTAACGCATATATGTGGAACCTAGAAAAATGGTACAGATGAACTGGTTTGCAGGGCAGAAACTGAGACACAGATGTAGAGAACAAACGTATGGACACCAATGGGAGAAAGTGGTGGGGGGTGGGGGTGTGTGTGATGGATTGGGATTGATGTGTATAAAATGGATGACTAATAAGAACCTGTTGTATATAAAAAAAAAATTAAACAAACAAAAGACCTAAAAATAGGAGTACCTATGACTCAGTAATTCCACTTCTGGGTATACATCCGAAAAAAACAAAAACACAAATTTGAAAAGATACAAGTACCCCAATGTTCATATCAGTATTACTATAATTGCCAAGATATATAGAAGCAACCTAAGCATCCATCGAGAGATGAATGGATAAAGAAGACGTTTATATATATACATAACAGAATACTACTCAGCCATAAAAAGGAATGAAATTTTGCCATTTGCAACAATAGGGATGGACTTGGAGGTATTATGCTAACTGAAATAAGACAGACAGGGAAAGACAAATACTGTATGATATTACTTACATGTGGAATCTAAAAAAACAATAAACTAGTGAATACAACAAAAAAGAAGGAGACTCCCAGATATAGAGAACTAGTGGTTACCAGTGGGGAGAGGGAAGGGGGGAGGGGAAAGATAGGAGGAGGGGATTAAGAGGTACAAACGATTATGTATAAAATTAGCTACAAGGGTATATTGTACAATGCAGGGAATAAAGCCAATATTTTATAATAACTATATGTGGAGTATAACCTTTAAAAATTGTGAATCACTATATCGTGCACTTGTGACATAATATTGTACATCAACTACACCTCAATAAAAAAGCATCACATATTTAGTTTAATTTTTTTCTCCTGATAATCTAATTTTATTTATTTTTAATTTATTTTAAATTTTTTTATTATTTTTTTATTGAAGTATAGTTGATTTACAATATTGTGTCAGTTTCAGGTATACAGCAGTGATTCAGTTATATATAATTCAGTTATATATATATATTCTTTTTCAGATGCTTTTCCATTATAGGTTATTATGAGATATGAATATAGTTCCCTGTGCTATACAGTAGGTCCTTGCTGTTTATCTATTTTATGTACAGTAGCATGTATCTGTTAGTTCCAAACTCCTAATTTATCCCTCCCCTTGCTTAGTATAATATTTTGATAACCATATTTCGATGTAATCGGTTTCTTTTGAAACCTGTGTGTGTGTGTGTAATTTTATGCATCTCATGACGCCGTCCTGAGAAGTTATCCATAGGTTTCACCAGACTGGCAAAAGATTCCACAGCACAAAAGTTAGAACCCCCTCTTGAAACCTTGCTAAAGAATATTAAACCCACTTACATCACTCTGAAGGTCATAGGCCTTCCGAGCCTGAATGATGTCATTCTGATCAGGCAGACAGGTCCATTCATGAAGGGGTTTCTTGTAGTCTATGTCGCTTACAAGGATCTGGGACTTCTTGGCCAGCACCACTCCCAGCATGTCCACTGGGCTATTGAACTTGGTCTTCCATTTCTCAAAGTCCTTCTTGTACTGCCGGTCACTCTGGATCTTGGCCATGTGGATGGACCACATCATCTTGGTGTCATCCTTAACATTTTGGGCCCCAATGTGGTGGCCAAGCTGTTTGCGGTAGCCTTCCTTGTACTTGTACTGAAAAAAGAATAGAGATATAAGTCTCATGATAAGGACAACTTATTTATATCACATTTCATAGTTTCATAGACACATTATTTCTTTTGATTTTCCCCACCACTAGTGTTAGGGAGAAAGTTTAATATTATCAACTCCATTTTATAAAATAGAAACCTGAAGCCTCCAGGAGTTAAGTGATTTGTTCAAGGTCACATCATAAGCAGGTAGCAGGGCTGAGACTAGAATGGAGAGCTTCTGACTCCTAATATTTTCCCCTTCCACTAAACTCTACTGCCTAGTTTACATTTGCTTAACAAGTAAAGATAAAACATCTTGTACGATTTAAAAGAGCATCTACTTAATTTAAAGACATGACTGTTTTTTTCTAAAAATGTTTTGATATGATGAATATTTTAGAATATTTCCCTTGTAATCAGAATTTATGGTGAATTCCGTGGTCAAGGATACAGGCTACATTTAGAAAGTTTCACCAGGAAATACCTCCCTTATTTGCCTGTCAATGTCATTGAACTTTCAACCATGAGAGAGTAATACCTTGGGTTAACACTCTATCTACTTTTAAAATTCAAGAATAATACTTTATGGTCCATTTTACCATGAGATGGTCACAGTGTGGGCTTCTCTAGGTTAACAGCCAGAAAAAGTTTTTATAATGGAAGGAATGAAGCATATGTCTAAGGTCTGGGACACTTCCAGAAGAAGGAAAGTCTGGATTTGGGTCTTAAGGAGCCCTGGTACAGAATGAGGGTACTGGACACCCTCAGGAGATGTTTCTCATGACACAGGAAGGACTAGAGAGGAGAGGAAAGTGGGTGCTGAGTAAAAGCTTTGCTTACTTCTCAACTTGTTCTTGTGTCCAGTTATGGGCATCTTGGTAGGAGAACTTCACTAAAGGTCAACAAAGGATTAAACAAAACTCTAAAATGTATGCATAATTAACATCTTCCCTTAATGCCAGAGTAAACGGATAGAAGTAGTAGGAAAGAGTTCACATTTATGCTGGCTGATTTACATGTGTTACCAACGTCTTTAACAACAATGTTTTTTACAAACGTCTGGGTTATCAGCTGCTCAACTTCTGAGGCTCAAAAATATGAGCCCAGGGCTTCCCTGGTGGCGCAGTGGTTGAGAGTCCGCCTGCCGATGCAGGGGACACGGGTTTGTGCCCCGGTCTGGGAAGATCCCACATGCCGTGGAGCGGCTGGGCCCGTGAGCCATGGCCGCTGAGCCTGCGCGTCCAGAGCCTGTGCTCCGCAACAGGAGAGGCCACAACAGTGAGAGGCCCACGTACCGCAAAAAAAAAAAATTTAAAAAAACCAAAAAAATAAAATACGAGCCCATTTTTAGTGTTCATAAGACACTTATTTTTAAAGAACATAACTCCATCTTTGACAGATTAGCAGGTATACTGGATATAGTATCTTTTGTTTTCTTTGTTTTCACTTGCCACTTTGTACATGGGGGAGTCGTTAAAGGAAATTGAGACTTGCAGGCTAAATTTCTGGCAAGAAAAGCTGTAAAAGCTGCCATTTGTTAACATCTTTGAGTAAGAAATGCCTCTTCCAAAAACATCAACCTACATCACTAGCAATATTTCTTGATGCCTTGGCTGCTTGGATTGGAATGGCATCCACGCGCAAGTCATAGCCTTCCTTCTTTGACTCTTCCAAAGCAAGTTTATAAAGTTTCTGCAGAAAAAAGAAATGATCAATCGTTACTCCTTTCATAAAAAATGAAACTATTTATTACTAAGCTTTCTCTGTCCTCATTTAAACTACACAGAATTAAGTATTAGTATGAGTTTGTAGAAAACTGTCATAGGTGCTCAAGGATTTTAAGGCACATGGTTTAAACTTTGATGTTTTATTGATTAGTAAATCTAAAAAGTTTTTTGGGGAAATCAGCATCAGGCTGCTAAAATTTTGTTTTGCCAAGCAAGCAAAGCTGTAAAAAACAAAAACCCAGCTATTTATTGTCATGATCTTAATATAAAACGAAGGCCATTTTTATGCCAAAGAAGGAGAAGGAATAAATACAGTATTTTTAAATTGAATATATTTGGATTTGTGAACTACTCAATGCGTTGTCCTTGTTTTCTCCCATTTTACCATGGATTATCATCACAGACCTTGATTGATCTGTGTAGACTAGGGTTTCAGAATCCTCACTCTGATGAAAATGTTGGTCCTGAAGGAGATGGCTAGGAAAATGCTTGCAAATAACATTAAATGGTAACCAGAACACAATGAAGTGGCAAAAGAATACACAGTACGGTAACTCACTGTTTTAACCTAGTGACTGCCTGCTAAATAGTTGTTGAATAAAATAATGACTTGATAAGCACACTGACCTGTAGGGGAAAGCTTTAAGAGTATATTCCCTATTGGGATACTTCCCCAAAATCATTTCATTCTCTGGTATCATCTTCATAAAAGGCTAGTCTACTTTGTGGACCTACCACATAGACCAAAATTGAATCAAGGGAAAACTATCTCTTGAATCAAGGGAGAACTATCTCTTTTATTGACAATGTTGTTCTGGAGAATGCACAATAAATTAGTTAAAAGGTTTCACTAAGGATATTATTACAATAGTTCATTTTTGCCTTTCTCTTCATGATATGATCAGTAGTTTACTCACATCACTGTAGTTTATTCGGTTGAGTTTGGCTAGCATGATTTCTGGTGTATCAGGCATGACATGGATCGTTTTCTTGTCATTGTCCCAGGCTTCAGTATATAAGTGCTATGAAAAAAAAATGAGAAAAATTATTTTGGAGTTCACAGACAGTTTTTCTTTTGATTATGTGCCAGTCACCTCTCTTCTGTACAAAGTAGAAATAAAATTACTAAAGTTGCATAAATTCCTACCTTTCATGTAGATAAATTACTATTTCCAAGAGTATTTAGCTCACTTTTTCATTGACTCAGAGTTTTTACTGTTTCTTATTAAAATTTTTTAACAGTTCTGAAAAGTATAATTGAGTTGCAGAATTTAATATCTATAATTGTGAAATAATTACAGCACATGGTATTTTTAACATCAGTTTACTATTCTGAAGTATTACTAAGTAACTATGGTGTTATAATGGGAAAATCATTTTAAAAGGTATTGTAAATCCTACAGGAATCTTTAAAATGTAGTAACATGTCAGAATTTTTACTTCATTCTATGGTAAATTCCTATACCCGATGGTGAGGAGTGAAGACTCACCTTACTCATGTTTATAGCGTTGTTCTTGGCCAGCACCTGCTCCAGGGAGTCAGTTATGCTGGTAAATTTCAGTGTGTCTGGACGCTGGCGGTAGATGTTATCACTCAGTATCTCTCCGGCCCTCTTGGCTTTAACTATTTCCATGGAGCCAATTGGAACCCAGCCAATGCCTTTCATCCATTCAAGGTCTGACTTATACAAATTCTTCAAATCAACCAACAAGAAACACTTTTATTAATTAATTGTTCAGATTCACAGTCACAAAATGGATCATATTAGAGAAACACAAAAGCACTGATGAACAGGTAAAGCTGCCATCACAATCTCTCATTCAGAAGCATTATTGAATCCTGAGTACATTTTTTTCCTAAGCATTTTTTGGCACAGAGGATTGTACTAGGAATGATGAAAGATCTTTTTTGAAAAGTAAAAACACAGTCCTGCCCTTGAGGGTATTACAAGACTTTTTACACAAGAGCAGAGTTTCTTTAGCTTTGGAAAATGTGTTCTAATAGCTCCCCAAAAGACTGCATACTTAGACCAATGCTGTGTAAGTGTTGCAGTCACAAAAACTTTTGCCTTTTTTTTTTAAAGGGAGAAGAGGTGAAATTCAACTATAGTTGTGAGTTTCAACACATAGTAATGTTAAGTTTTACAAATCACGCTCTTGATTTGCATTTTTAATTGAGATATAATTGACATATACTAGTTTCAGGTGTACAATATCATGATTCAGTATGTGTGTATATTGTGAAATGATCACCATACCTACACTTTTTTTTTCTTATGATGGGAGATTTTTAAAAAACTCTTGCCTTTATTTTCATCTTCAAAATCACAAAATATAAAGTGTGTAATGCGGTGTTCTAGGGATAATAATATTAGATATATCCTAATTATTTTATTTTACTCTCAATAGGGCATGCTAACTGTATTATTATTATTGCACTAGTAGTATTGTTGCTGTTGTTATTATTATTATTGTTAACACTAGTATGCAGAAGCAGCATTGGGGGTACTCACATCACTCTGGAGGTCATAAGCTTTCCGAGCATGGATGACATCATTCTGGTCGGGCAGGCAGGTCCACTCATGCAGAGGATGTTTATAGTCCACATCACTGACCAAGGTCTGACATTTCTTGGCCAAAACGATACCAAGCGTGTCCACTGGGCTGCTGAACCTGGTCTTATATTTTTCAAAATCTTTCTTGTACTCACGGTCACTCTGCATTTTGGCAACGTGGAGGGACCACATCATCTTGGGGTCATCATGTATCATCCGGGCACCAATATGGTGACCCAACTGCTTACGATAAGTTTCTTTGTATTTGTACTGAAAGAAAAGAACCCAGTAAATGAGGAGGAAGTGGCAAGGGCTGGTCCAGTTGCTCTCTCTGTGGTGATGCTTTTCTATGAAATCCTCAAGACATCAGGGGAATTTCATCAAACATGATGCTGTGATGCTACACACTGGGGCATGCTTTCACCCAAAAAAGAAGATACGGTGCTCATTTCCACACCTCTATAGAGAATAACTCCACATTGATTCCTTTATATTATGCTAGAAAATTAGGTGTTTTAATCACAAAAAAAGTGATTAAAAAGTGAACACTGGGCTTCCCTAGTGGCGCAGTGGTTGAGAGTCCGCCTGCTGATGCAGGGGACACGGGTTCGTGCCCTGGTCTGGGAGGATCCCACATGCCGCGGAGTGGCTGGGCCCGTGGGCCATGGCCGCTGGGCCTGCGTGTCCGGAGCCCGTGCTCCGCGGCGGGAGAGTCCGCGACAGTGAGAGGCCCGCGTACCGCAAAAAAACCCCAAAACCAAAAACAAAAACGAAAACAAAAAGTGAACACTGAATGAGCTCAATTACAGTGACAAGCAGTTTCTCAGAAGTTGGTCATGTGAGTGGACCCAAGTGAGAACATACTGGGGGGAATTGTTTACATGGCTCATTAATTTTCTTTTTTTTAAGGCATTCTGAGAAATAATTTGTCCTCTGCACAAATAAACTGGAAGGAGTAGTTTTAAAATGGATAATTTTTGTTGATAATGAGCATAGCGTTTCAGTTTTGCAAGATGAAAAAGTTCTGGATGTCTGTTGTACAATAGCGTAAATATACTTAATTCTACTAGACTATATACTGAAAATGGTAAAGATAGTGAATTTTGTTATGTATTTTTATTATGATTTAAAAGAAAAACCTACCAAAATGGACAATTTTACTACTCTTAATATTTACTCTTAATATTTAAGTTGTCCAGGAACCTGATGTATTAATTTTTAGGGTAAAGGAATGTTGATTTTTGTGGGCCCCATAGCAGAGACGTTTAACTTTTTTGCTATCCTATGTCCTTCCTCAAGTCATGGGGAACTCAGTTAAGCCTGCTTCTTTATTGGCATCTTTGCCTTGAGTGTAGCCTGAGGAGAGCTCATGAGGTTTCATAAGCAGCTCAACATATGTCCATTTAACTTTGACCAAGGCACTCAGTCTTACTAAGCAAAGACCAAAAGATGAGCAACAAAGGAACCATATCCCAGTGTGTCTCTATGAAACTTGTAATCTTGGGCAGGTTACCTACTGTCTCAAAGCCTCAATTTATCTGCCTGTGCAATGAAGGCAGTTAAGATGGATGATGACTACAGAGACTTCCAGCTGTGTCCCAAGAGTGTGATTCCCTATGCAGGTGGCTGGCCTGTTGGTAACAAACGTAAGGATGTGATCAACTCTTACATCACTGGCAATATCCCGGGAGGCCTTGGCAGCCATGATGGGAATGGCGTCACTTCTTAAGTCATAGCCTTCTTTCTTGGCTTCTTCCATGGCCTGGCGATAGAGGTTCTGAAGGAAGAAGTAGTAGCTTTTAGATACAGTGCTCACCTTCACCCTAAAAATGTATTTCTGTCAAAGGAAGACTACTTTTGGATGCAGAACAACACTAGTATGTTTAGCCTTAAATAAATTTAAAAAAAATCTCTTTCTTCCTTTTACTTCCTACATATACAAGCTATTTATTTAACTTGAAATTTTACTTTCAGCAGGTCTAACACAACTTTTCCTTGGATAAATCCTTCTAGATTTTACACATTAAGTCATTAACTCTGAAATGTGCTTGGATGGCTCAGCACTTATTCTTTTCATGAAATAACCAAGAAATGACTTTATTTAACTGCAAATTTGAATTAGGACCAATTTTACTAGCAGAGAATATGATTATATAACAACAACACTACCATCATGAGCATGTACCTGTATTCAAACAGTGCTAAACGGAGGATAATCCATTGTTTCTGAACATCTTTGTTAATACTGATTTGCTCTCTATTCATTTTTTCGATTGCCAGAAATTGCTAGCAGACAGAGGGATAGCACATACCAGATATTTATGAGACAAAAGGACAAAATTGATGAAATTATAATAATTTATTTATGAATTGGGACATACCCACTGTTCAGTTTCTGTGGCAGGACAGATGCACACAGAAGGTGGAACACAGGTATTCCATGGGAACACAGCTTGAAAACCATGGCATTAAACAAATCATCTATACCAGTAGTATTCAGTCTTTTTTGCTTGTGAGCCATTACAAGAATTTAGTGCTTTGTTATTAATAATTTTTAAATGACTTTAGAGTCTGAGAAGGATGTCATTAAATGTTTTTAATGTAGATTATTAACGTGTGACAATTCACATTTTTTCATGTTGAGATTTTACAAGGTAAAGCTAAAGTAAATAAGAATAAATTTAATGTATTTGAGATAAAGTCCCAAGGGCATTTGTTCTTCTTAAAAATTTATAGGGACTTCCCTGGTGGTTCAGTGGTTAAGAATCCGCCTCCCGATGCAGGGGACACGGGTTTGAGCCCTGGTCCAGGAAGATCCCACATGCCGCGGAGCAAATAAGCCCTGTGTGCCACAACTACTGAGCCTACGCTCTAGAGCCTGCGAGCCACAACTACTGAGTCCATGTGCCACAACTACGGAAGCCCTCATGCCTAGAGCCTGTGCTCTGCAACAAGAGAAGCCACTGCAATGAGAAGCCCTCACGCTGCAACAAAGAATAGCCCCTGCTCACTGCAACTAGAGAAAGCCTGCGCACAGCAATGAAGACCCAATGCAGCCACAAATTAATTAATTAAAAAAAATTTTCTAGAAATATTCATTTTGTAACTAGAGTCAAATACTCTTATACTTTATATTTTTCCTTTGAAGAATAAATTCTCAAGTTTATCCTTATGTATAAGTGGGAAAAAATGTGCTTGAATCATCTTCTGGCTTCAGGCCAAACAAAATTTTTTCATTCTTTCAACATTAGAAAAAGATGCAGGGCTTCAAAGAAAACAACTTTATTATCATCAAGGCTACGTTTTAAAGAATGTTTGGTACGTTATTTATCCAAGAGAACTAGAATAGGTAGATGAGAGTTTAAGAGAAAAAAAATAAGATATAGTTACTTTGTTTTGTTAAACTTTACTGAGCTAAGTATGGAATGAAGGTACCATTGGTAATGGGTTGAGAAGAAATTCAGGTGGGCCGTTTTGAAATCTAATCTTCAGGAGACAGTCTTTAGGGAATTAACATAATCATGCAATTTTAAAGAAATAAATCCAGATGACAATTTTAGAAATTAAAAAAATAGCCATATTTCCTCTCAGCAGTCTGAAAAGAAAATACCCTACCTCATCTGACCTAATTTTACCAAAGGGAGAGGCTTAAAAGCATTATCCCTTTGGGATAGAAACTAACTTCATCTGCCTGGGGTGAGGCAGAATGTCTGGGAAAAGATAGTCCAACAGAGAAGCCCTGTGGCCAAGAGAAAAATCGTTCATTCAAAAATGACCGAAGCCAAGGTCAATCAAATCCTCGTGATCAGGCTTGTCCTTGGGTCTGTTTTATAATGCTAGACAAAAGGAAATCATCTCCTCTTCATTTCACTTGTCATGCCTCTTCTTTAGGGCTACATTATGATAGGCAAAAGTAATTAATGGGTAAAATAATAATATGGTCAAGTCTTGAAAATGAGTATTTAAAATTTCCAGTGTTCTCAAACTAAAGGGAAGTCTGCCTTTTTTTTGTTTAATGAAGACACAAAACAACATGTAAGAAATCAATATTCATCTTGAATGAACCAGATAATTCTTGACTTTGGCAAGAACAATTGGGCAAGAAGCTTTTTCTGCGGCAGTATTTCTATTCTGCAAAGATTTGTGATGACAAGTTTAGTGGGGCTGGAGATAGTATGTAAAAAAAAATGTTTTTTTAATTGTCCTCAGGCAATTTTGAGATGGATGAATTTAAGAATTCTTATTTCAGTTCTTGTAAATAAACTGAAGTTATTTTGAGCATATTAAATAAAGCTAATCTTCACGGTGACTTGAGTGTAAAGGGAAGAAATTAAAGTTTATTAAGCAGCTACTGTATGCCAGGCTCTACACTGGGCATATTATATATACTACCCCATTTAGCCACCACAAAAATTCTTCGATAGACATTTTTATCTCATTTTACAGATGAGGTAACTAAAGAAAAACTCATAGAACAAATTTTGAAGTAAATACTAATTTGATAAATAGCAATAATTATTTTTTAATTAAAATTACAATATGATTCTATCATTAATAGTTGACTTTGAGAGTTTCCCCCCCGCTCCTGACATGGAGATATTTTTGTATTTATCCATTTCCCTATGTATTTTTTTAATTGAAGTATAGTTGATTTACAATGTTGTGTTAATTTTTTCTGTAACTATTCTTGAATATAATGATACATATATTCAGGGTAGGTTATGGTAAAAATAAATAAATAATTGGTCAACATGAGAATTAAATCCATAATTCTGACCTTTCTACTACATCAGCAAAATAACGTGGCCAGGTCAAAACAAACGGTCTTACCTCACTATAATTTATTTTATTTTGTCTCGCCAACATAATTTCAGGTGTATCAGGCATCACGTGGATTTGGGTCTTGTCTTTGTCCCAGGCTTCTGTGTATAAGCGCTGTGAAGGATAAAAAGGTTAATGAATTAGAACAACAATGTTTGCTGTAAACAGAGGTTTCCAACTTAGAGATCATGACAAAGTTGAAAGCCAGCCTTCTGACTATCTGGGCTGTCTGCTGTATATCAACATTCTTCAATCTCTTTGATGTTACAAGATATTATTGTCACTAAATATAAGTGTAGACTAAGATATGAAAAGAAAATGTGTGTGTGTTTCATTACAAGATCACCTCCACTCCAATTAAATTAAAAGCAAGTATCTTCCAAGCATGTATACACGTCCATATGTACTGAGGCTGTATCAACAAATTCTTCCCATGATTTTGTCTGTTTGTCTGTTTATTAACTGCAAATTTACCTGGATATGCCATCTCTAGATTTCTTTTTGATAAAGGTTATGAAGATTTGTACCTGGCTTGTTTGTTCTATACTTACTTAGATAAGTACCCAACGAGAAAGGAACCTTGATACCAAACATGTATAACTGTTATAGACTTAAAACAATTTAAACACCAAACAGCTGTCCTACTCCTAACTCTATTTCACAAGAGATGTCAAAGCAGAAATTCCCACATATACTTGGGGAATCCTAATACAGAACTCAATCAAATCACCATACACAGGATGGCAACTAGATAAAACAAACAAAAGGACTAACTTAATTAGTAATAGATATTCTCAAGGACATACAGCCCTGTTTTATTTTCCCCCACATTGGGGGCTCACCTTGTTCATGTTGATGGCGTTGTTCTTGGCCAGCACCTGTTCCAGAGAATCAGCCACACTGGTAAACTTCAGCTTGTCTGGACTCTGGCGGTAGATGTTGTCACTCAGTATCTCTGCAGCTCTCTTGCACTTGACCACATCCACAGACCCAATGGGGACCCAGCCAATGCCTCTCATCCACTGGAGATCTGATTTATAAATGTTCTGGTGAGATCAAACACAAAAGCAAGGATTACTGAAGCTGTTAGGACCCTTGATTTCAAAAATGAATGAAAAGGACTGGAAAAAGTGGATAGGCAAACTTCATGTCTATGTCTTTTAAAATATGAAGCCCAATTGGATATAGTTCATGGTATTATGTTCTCTTCAAAAGAAAAGTAAGGCACAGTAAATTAAAGGTGGAGGGGAAAAAACGTTATTTTTTTTCTGAGGGCTTTACCTAATCCTAGGCCATTATCTGCATATTACTACGTATTATCATCATGAGCATGGTCAACGGTGGTGTTTAATGGGTCTCAGTACTCACGTCGCTCTGGAGGTCATAGGCCTGCCGAGCGTGCATGACGTCATTCTGGTCAGGCAGGCAGGTCCACTGGTGCAGGTAGTTCTTGTAGTCCGCGTCACTGACCAAGGTCTGGCACTTCTTGGCCTGCACCACCCCCAGCATGTCCACTGGGCTGCTGAACTTGGTCTTCCACTTCTCAAAGTCCTTCTTGTACTCCCTGTCACTCTGGATCTTGGCCACATGCATGGACCACATCATCTTGGGGTCATCTTTGATGTCCCGGGCTCCAATGTGGTGGCCAAGCTGCTTGCGGTAACCATCTTTGTATTTATACTGAAATAACAGTAGTCATTTTAAAAATAAAAATTAATGAAAAGGGCTAAAAGTCTTATTAATATAAAACTTCATTATTTTAAAATTGGTAATTCTTGCAGAGAAATAAATCATCTGAATATCAACTTATCTCCTCATCCTAAACTCTGATGAGATTTCACAGCAATACTCTAATGGGGAGCAGGCCAAACTTCATAGTTCTATGCTTTGCAGACACTAAGTCTCTGGAAATAAAGGCAGCAGCACTTTTCAGAAAATCAGTTGGAGTTGTAAACTGCCGTTTTTTTAATCTTTTTGGGGCCAGTGAAATCATTAACCCAGAAGTTTTACACATGATTTTTAGAACAACTCCTGAGTTCAGAGGAAACTTTTCACTCCCCTGCCCATCCCGCCTCTCCCAAATCTGGCTCTGCTAACTTTCACAGGACTCCTGAAATAGACTGGCTTGCGTTTCCATCCTGTATACCGGCTCTACTGGACACCAAATTTGGGTGAGGTCTGTTGGGATTCCGTGAGGAGAAAAAACGGATTATATAACTACAAGAAAGTGTTTTGTTGTTGGCGATGGTAAGAGCTGACTCTGGATTAGCTTCTCTCCACTTCAGGCATCAAAATTACACAAATCCTAGCATATATTTACTGAAGTCTGAATTCTCTACCAAAGGAACTTCTTTCGGAGACAGCGGAAAGAGAAATCAGGCTATTTTGTTGGTTTTGGTTGTTATAAAACTTTTTTTTTCTTTTTTCATTTAAAAAGAACTCAAAGGAAGCACTTAAGGCAATTTTTCAAAGAAAGGGTTGGCAAGAATCCAGAGCAGGTTTGGGGAAGGGTGATTTTCCTGAACCTGGCTGTACCAGATCTTTTTCTTATGCTGAACCAATACACGTACCCAAGCTTTTTCCCCAACTCTTCTGTCATTTTCTTATTTCTATGTGCTCAAAATATGCAGATGAATGCCTTATAGTTACAGATATAAACAAATGTAGATTCAAATTCCATTTTTTAACTGAAGTTTAGGATACCCCCTCTGCATATGGGACCTGAATATTAAAATCTTTTGGAGTTAAATTATTAAAGCTCTTTTGAAATGAAAAACATTTCATTTAAAGCACAGTAAATGTGCTTTAACTGGCACCAGGATGTATCTTGCTGTTGTAATACTGATTCTGCCCCACCCCCATCCAGCCATGTACATATGTGGAGTGTTGGTACTCACATCACTGATGATGTCCCTGGAGGCCTTGGCTGCCACGATCGGGATGGCATCGCTTCGCAAGTCATAGCCTTTCTTCTTTGCTTCTTCATTGGCGAGTTTATACAGAGCCTATAGAAGCAAAGTCAGACTTAAAGCAAAGTTTTGATAGCAACAATTTGGAGTCTAACAGGTGACATATCACAAAATTTTAAAAAGGACAGGCTCCAGAAACAATCTAACTTTCTAGCAATATTGGGAAGTAAATAAATTATATTTTACCGAAAAAAACTATGTAGCATTAGAGACAAATGAAATATATCAATGAGCATTAACATAGATTGATAGAGTAATCTATTATTTATATCATTATAGATTAATATATATAATATGTAGATTATATGATACATTATGCATATCAACATAATATAATGTTAATGTTAATATAATCTATGTTAATGTAATATAGATTGATAGGCAAAGCATCAATCTATACGTATTTCTAAATGAAAAAATTGCAGAACAATGTGTTTAATATTATTCATTTGTATATAAAATATATATTTATATACTTTTACCTAGTTCTTTATCACTTAAACATTTTTGAAAATCATGTAATATCTTATGATATTTAAAAAAACAAATGAGAAAAAAATTAAAGTACAATTTAAAACATAGTTAACTTGACTATAATCACAACTTTATGATTCTAATTTTTGGCTGGATCATATTAGTAAAACATTCACCTATAAAACTGCATTTTACTTTAAAAGAATAGTAATCAATATTGTTAATGGAGAGCACTTTTTCCCCATGCCTGAGGTTCTCTTTCTATAAAAGGAGCTCGATTATTTCATCTCTGCCCCTTTACTCTCTTTACCCTGGAGAGGTGCAGTGATTTCCTGATGTATCTAATTGGTAGGGATGGGATAGCAGGGCATGCCCAGCTCAGCTCTGACCTCCTCCCTCTAGGAACATGCCCAGTGCCCTCCTCTGCTTCTCTGTGCGAAGCAGGACTCTCCCCTGAGGGAGGTAGAGCCGATTGTCCTGCTCCAGTGTGGCCTGTGCCTGGATGGGGAACCTAATTCTGGGGTTCACTTAGCAGGTTTGTTTGGCTCTTATACAAATGTGTCCTTGAACCTAACTTTAGTAGTAAGAGATGTGAGATTTTGACTTCTAGTTCCACTCCTTTGTTTTACTTCTCAATTTTATTCAGGATCCAGGTGGGAAAGAGGTGCATATTATTAGAGGTCCCCTTGGTAGGGTTGCCAGATTTAGCAAATAAAAAGATAGCATGCCCAGCTGAACTTGAATTTCAGATAAATAACAAACAATGGTTTCATATAAATAATGAGCTAGTATTATATCTGGTTATCCTACGCCTTGGAAATGCCAAAAATACTCCTCAGTTCCACTGACCCACACTGGTAAAGACCATAAATGGAAAAGATAATGTGACTTCAGTTTGCCCCTGGAATCCTATACCGTATGATATTCAACCCACAGATGAAAGGTTGGATGGGCTGAGTGTTCATATCGCAGAGCTGCACGTACCATGATAGCTGAGGTCCGAGAATATCCACAAAAGTGTAGAAAACTAACAATAACAACAACAATAACAACAAAACAAGCGTGGTCCCCCAGGATTTTGCCCCTACCTCACTGTAGTTGAGCTTGTTCTGCCTCGCCAACGTGATCTCCAGGGTATCAGGCATTATATGAATTTGAGTCTTGTCTTTGTTCCAGGCCTCTGTGTATAAGTGCTATCAAAGAATATGTTGATAGAAAACCATTTGAAAAAAAAAAGAAAACCATTTGAAATAGGAATTACAAAAAGCCAATTAAAGCAGGAATGTTACTGATCTAATTAGGAAAATAAACCACACTAGGATTTAAGGTATTCAGCTGGAGGTTTGTCTTAATGATAGTTATCAGGGTTACAACCGGGGATAATAGAAAGTACTTAGAGGATTTCAAGTACATCATTTAGGAGATAAACGTGACCCCACACCTGCATGGATAATTTTAACTCTACTAGTCACTAAAGTCTAAAAGCCTCTTTTGGCATCTTGAAGAAGCTTGAGGCAGCTGGGGCTCACCTTGTTCATGTTGATGGCATTGTTCTTGGCCAGCACCTGTTCCAGAGAATCAGCCACACTGGTAAACTTCAGCTTGTCTGGACTCTGGCGGTAGATGTTGTCACTCAGTATCTCTGCAGCTCTCTTGCATTTGACCACATCCACAGACCCAATGGGGACCCAGCCAATGCCCCTCAGCCACTGGAGATCAGACTTGTAAACATTCTGTGAGGAGGAAAAAGGCAGGAACTCTTCAGTAAGACTGAAAGATTTAGGGTCAAGGTGCAAATAGAATCGATAGTAAAGTACAATTCTGGTTGTTGCTCTTGTTGGTTTCATAGAAAACTGCCTCCCTGTGTTAGGCAGACTAACAGAGGAAGTATGTTCAAAAACGACCCAAAAATGTAACCAAAAAATGATAGAATATTTCAGGTTGTTAGGACAGGAGGAATCCAAATGAATATCTTCTGTCAGCCAGTTCAGTGGATGTTCACTGCTCGTGTGCACAGGAAAAGAATGCCAGCCCAAAGTGAGAGAAACCACACATATGTCGACCTACAGGCTGTCAGTAAATAAATATTAGGTCCAGTCAAATGAAACACTCTGCAGCCATTAAAAGCCACATTTTAAAGAATATCAATGATTGGTAGAAATGTCAATGTAACAATAACGAAAAAATAGCACATAAAACAATCTGTATATAAATTACATGAGCAGGAGTGGGCTTTTTCAGTGGTTGGATTACGTTGGATTCTTACTGCTTTCTGTGTATTTTTTCTTATATTTCAAAATATCTGTAAAGCTCTTGGTTTCACAACAAAAAAGAGAAGTTAAAATATAATAATGACATAGAACCTCTGAAGCCCTGAGGCAGACCTTTGACTACTTCAACACTGTCCAAGATTCAGGACAATAAATGACCATCTTATTGGCCCAGAACCCGTCTCTTCCCCACCAAATCCTCAGGCTGCGAAGCACAGACTACTTTCCAGAATTGTCTTTCCATATCTTTATTTAACACTTTAAGTCATTTTTTCTGCTAAAGACTTTTGTGTACTTATTAGGCATTCATAACTACTTCACAACGGTGGCATCAGACCTTTGCCCAGATCATTTGAAGGATTTTACCTGTAACGGCAGTTAAGTAGAGCATACAGACAGCTATTTTACTGTCTAGACTAAAAGCCTATTGGAACTGCCTTATGCTGACTAGTTATTGCCCCTTAAATAACAACAGCAAGAATGAAAACAATAACATTTCACACCTCTGGAGTGCTTCTTAACTTTCGAATGCTTCCCATATTATTAAGACTGTGTCACCGTGAGAAGGAGGTGATCTCAAAAAGGCACTTGACAAATAGACAGAGGCAAGCAGTCTGTCAATGCTGTCATTCTATGGGTGACATTAACCGTTTTTAACTACCTTTCAGATGCAGGCAAAGCCTTTCTTTGTAAAACACAGGGTTCTGCATGTTGTGGAAAGCTACAGAACAAATGTGGGAGTTTCCACAGGTAGGCTGTACAATTTCTAGGAACAGCCATTTAATGTATAATTACGGTTAATTCATGTTATTCTTCAAAGTCCTCTAATGCTTAATAATTCCTTTAAACATCTATAAAATATATGCTGCAGGAAATGTGCTTGTCACACCCAGATTTGAGATGCTGCCTCTGTTTCTAATAGGTACCGGTTCTGTCATTACCACATGACCTCTCCACAAAGAGAGCTGTGCTGAGAGGACAAAGTATCAATGAAATGACCCAACAGCTTCCAGACACAGTGATTTCTTTTAATTCATAAGAGTAACGATTAGTGTTGTAGCAGTATTACGCTAATGATAACCTCATTTGTTTTGCAAGGAAGCTAAAAACAAATTTCTGAGTAATTTTTAAAAATAAAAATGTGTTATTTCTTTCCCCCTTAAAAGAATAAAATAAAACGTCTTCCTGTGTTGGACCCTGAATTCTAACACTGCTTAATTCCAGTCTTATTTTTATAAGGCCAGGTCCAGTTGGTAAACTTCACTTCCTTATAAAGCCTAGTAATGTATCCACAATAAAGCAATAAAACCATACTCTGATTCAAATCTCATTCAATGAACAAGAAATCCTAGCTTGAGTAGGCCTGTGGGTTGTTTACAAAGGATAACGTTCATATGCTTCAAGTTATTTCCGCACACAGCCCTGTTACGGACGCAGTACTCACGTCGCTCTGGAGGTCATAGGCCTGCCGAGCGTGCATGACGTCATTCTGGTCAGGCAGGCAGGTCCACTGGTGCAGGTAGTTCTTGTAGTCCG